AAAATCTAGCCAACAGTGCAGACTCACTAGGAATCTTGCTCACCCCCATGTTCTAATAAACCTTGTCTTTGGCTGAAAAAAGAAAAAAAGGAAAAGAAAGAAAATGGCAGGGCTGACGCTTCTATTTGTAGTACCAGTTCTTTATCTGCCACATTACAAAGTAAAAATAAAGACAATCGAATCAGATCTCACAAGAATCTAGGCAAAAAATTCAAAACTATCAAGATTATAACAATAAACCTCATCCTGTCTATACACTATGTCTTGAGATAGTCACTGATAGTATGAAGACATCAAAATGAGCAAGACATTTAAAAACCTGTTTTTGTTGCAAAAATGATGCATGGGTCATCTGTACAAGAGATTGTGCAGATGACAATCTCTCACATCAACACACTTCAGAAGCTCAGAAGTGGAATTTTTTAATCTGTTTGAAAATCTTCCAAATGAGCTTCAATGGAACCCACTTTAATTCTTTTATTAAAAATATTCAAGTGTAGCACCTCACGATGAGTTTGCAAGAATTAAGTGACTTCAGGGAAAATGGAAATTTTTTATAGCATTTTGTTTTTCCCAATTATATGTAAAGACAACTTTTAACATTCATTTTTACAAAACTTTGAGTTCCAAATTTTTCTCCCTCCCCTCCCTCCCCTCCCCTTTTTCTAAAATGGTAAGCAATTTGATATACATTATATATGTGCAATGATGTAAAACATCTCCATTTTAGTCATGTTGTGAAAGAAGAAACAGAGCAAAAGAAAAAAAAAACATGAAAAAAATAAAGTGAAAATAGTATGCTTCGATATGCATTCAGAGTCCATCAGTTCTTTCTCTGGATGTGGACAGCATTTTCCATCATGAGTCCTTTGGAATTGTCTTGGATCATTGTAATGCCGAGAAGAGCTAAGTCATCCATAGTTGATCATCACACAAAGCTGCTGATACTGTGTACAATGTCCTCCTGGTTCTGCTCATTTCACTTTGCATCAGTTCATACATGTCTTTCTAGGTTTTTTCTGAAATCTACTTGCTTATCATTTCTTATTGCACAACGGTATTCCATTACATTCATATGCCACAACTTGTTCAGTCATTCACCAACTGATGGGCATCTCCTCAATTCCAATTTTTTGCCACCACAAAAAGAGCTGCTATAAATATTTTAGTGCATTTAGGCCCTTCTTCCTTTTTTATGATCTCCCTGGGATACAGACCTAGTAGTAGTATTGCTGGATCAAAGGGTATGAACAATTTGGTTGCTCTTTGGGCACAGTTCCAGATTGCTCTCCAGAATGGTTGGATCAGTTCACAACTCCACCAACAGTGCAATAGTGTTCCAATTTTCCCACATTCTCTCCAATATTTATCATTTTCCTTTTCTGTCATGTTAGCCAATTTGACAGGTGTGAGGTGGTACCTCAGAGTTGCTTTAATTTGCATTTCACTAATCCAAAGTGATAATACAGCATTTTGTCATATGACTATAGATAGCTTTGGTTTCTTCATCTGAAAACTGCCTGTTCATATCCTTTGACCATTTAATAATTGGGGAATGGCTTGTACTCTTATAAATTTGACTCATTTATATATTTGAAAAATCAGGCCTTTATCAGAGACACTTGCTGTAAAAACTGTTTCCCAGCTTTCTGCTTTCCTTCTAATCTTGGTTTCATTGTTTTTGTTTGTGCAAAAACTTTTAATTTAATATAATCAAAATTATCCATTTTGTATTTCATAATGCTATCTCTTGTTTGGTCATAAATTCTTCCCTTCTCCATAGATCTGGCAAAAAAAAAAACTGTTTCTTACTCTCCTAATTTGCTTATGGTATTACCCTTTCTGTCTAAATCATGTACCCATTTTGACCTTATCTTAATATACTGTGTAAGATGTTGGTCTATGCGTAGTTTGTGCCAAATTCTTTTCCAGTTTTCCCAGCAATTTTTGTCAAATAGTGAGTTCTTATCGTAAACGCTGGGGTCTTTGGGTTTATCAAACATACTAGGTTATTATGGTCATTTACTAATGTGTTTCATGTACCTAATCTAGTCAACTGATCCATTTTTCTTGGCCAGTACTAGACAGTTTTGGTGATTACCGCTTTATAATACAATTTGAGATCGGTACTGCTAAGCCACTTTCCTTTGCAGAAAATGGAAATTTATTAGCCACATTTCAGCAAAAAAAAAAACAAAAAACATTGCATAATTAGTACATTAGACTGAAAAAATAAGGATCCTAATTTAACCTGTGCAGTCACTTTTGTTTAAATCTATGAATTTTCATAGATACAACCTATTAAAACATAATGAACTTAAAACCAGACCTTTGAATCGCTATATCACAGCAATTAGCATGGTGTCTAGTATATGGTAAGCACTTAATGCTTGCTTGTGAACTGACTGCATCACAAAGTGCTCAATAACATTTTTATCCAAGCACACTGCATATTTAACCACACTGCTTCCATCTAAAAACACTAATAATAGTTTCAGTGAGAGCAAAAGAGTTTTTTTAAACTGTTAATAAGTAAAATACTTTATTTTTAAAATATTTCATCTTTATCTCATCTTTTTTTTATTTCTATTTTCATGTGTTTATTTACACATATGTTAAAATACCAGTACATGTATATAACTTATAAATTAACATATCGGGCAGTGAATGCTCAATTTTTTTTTTTACTGATTTGTTATTGTCGTTGTTTAGTTTGTCTGACTCTTCATAATCCCATTTGTGGTTTTCTTGACAAAGATACTGGAGTGGTTTGCCATTTCCTTCTCCAGCTCATTTTGCAGATAAGGAAACTGAGGCTAACAGGGTTAAGTGATTTGCCCAGGGTCACACAGCTATTAAGTGTCTGAGGCCATATTTGAACTCAGGTCCTTCTGACTCCAGGCCTGGTGCTCTATCCACTGCACCACCTAGCTGCCCTCTCTATTACCTACCAAAAAATAACTAAAACTCAGACCTAAGGGCCTCCAATCTCCAGTACCAACCTATCTCTCTAGGCTTGTTTCTCACCATTTTCCTACATAAAGATGAAACTCTGGTCAAATTGGTTCATTCATGTTCACCAAACACGTCTTGCACTTTTCTTACCTCTGCATTTCTATGGGATTTACGACAAAGCATAAGAGTTTGAAATTGACTTGGCAGGTGATTCGAAATAGTCGATTTAAGCTAATTATCTGCTGCAGACACCCCAGCATAAATATAATGATTTCATGCTTTCCAGCTCAGAGGTAGCTGAGAAGGTGGGAATGGGATTCCTACTCCTTAATTATAATAACCAAGCAGGTGCAAAACGTGGGCCGGACCCCACTCTATCTGAAATGTCAGGGAGGGCCCTGTCATATTCCCTGAGTCACTGGGACTTCAAGAGGCCCCTGCTGTGACGGGAACAAAGAAGCCAACAGTCTCCGCCACTTTGAACCACACAAGCCTTCTGACAACGGCAACCAAGTCCTCTTTCTTTCTTTTTTTTTCCATTTTATCTTTTATTTTACTCTTAATATATGGAATAAAACAAGTATTTCCATAACATAGTACAATTAAAAAAGAGGATTTTACATGAAACTGCAAATCTACTATGTAGAACTTGCTATTTCTTTCAAATATATAACAAAATTATCCAAGTCCTCTTTCTTTAATGTATAACTGTGCTTGACTAACGTGGAAATACATTTTGTATGACTTTATATGTATGATGGTATCGCATTTCTCACTTCTCAATGGGTGGGGGAGGAGTGGGGGGAGGGAAGGAATGTGGAACTGGATATACATTTTTTATAATATATATAAATGTGATCACATCATGCTTCAGCTCAAAAATCTTCAGTGAGTACACCTAGCAAGCAAAATTCAAAATCCTTTGCTAACTGAAGTATCCCTTATGCCACAGTTGTCAACCATGGGGCCTGTGGCCCACAATACTCCCCAGTATAGTCAGAACCAGATTAAAATACAATTAGGGATACAATAAAACATTACATTTTAAGTTAATTTACTATGTGGATCAGTGGCGCTGATGCTATCCTACCACTCCAACCTTTCGCTTGTGTTATTCCCTCCCCCATACACCCAGAGAAGGAAAACAGCATGGCAGACCTTGGAGCCCAGGAAGACCTGGGTTCACATCCTACCTCTGACACTGACCAGCTGTGTGCTTCTGGGCAAATCACTTAACCTCTCAGCACTCTAAACCAGCAGTATTAAATACTCTGCCCTTGCCAGCTATACACCCAGTATGGCCGGAACCAGATTAAAATGTAATTGGGAAATATTTAGCAAAATAAATCTAAATATAATACAACACAGATAATGTTAGTATGTGGTTTTCTAAGTCAATATACATCTCCCTGCCCTCTCATCTTTGTTTCTATTTGAGTTTGACACAACTACTCTAGGTGACTATGTCTCTAAGATTATAAATTACAGAGAAGGTGTTAGCTACATTGGTAGAGAGAATTTCCTCATTTGGGAGTTCCCTATAGCAATGAAATCAGAGGTCCAGCCCCTATACTTATGAACCCTGTGATTCAGCTGAAATGGATTTCTTTCTATCTCTCAAACACGTCCCTCTCCTACTATGACTTTACTCAAGCTGCTCTCTCTTTAGCACTGGAACATCTCCTCTCCCCATCTCTGTCAGATGAATTCTCACCTGGGCTTTAAAGACCAAATCAAACATCACCATCTCAATATTAGCCTTTTCCTGAGCCCCAAATTAGTGATAACCTTCCCTATCCCCAGACCTCATGTAGCAAATACCAAGTTTTATAACCTTCTAATGGACTCATCACCTATTATTGCGAATTATAGTTATTTACATATCTGTCATAGCTCCTTATCAAATGGTAAACTTCCAATAACACCATCATCTCTAAACTCTGTGGCTCTACACAGAAAGTGCTTAGGAAATGCCTGTTGTATTACAGAACATCCACCCCCGCTGAAGGTGTGGGAGTAACAGAAGCCAGTAACTTTAGTCAGTATCCATTTGGAGAAAAATTTCCTTTTATTTCCATACTCATTCGTGCAATACATTCACATAGGTTCACGCACATATAAAACTCACACTCAACAATATGACTTGCTCCTAACCAGCCTGAATGACGTTTCATACTACTGACTAAAGGTAAAGTGGCTAAGTTGGGTGCCAATGGGTATAAATGGTTAGTCTACACCACAGAATAGCAATTAATTTTGTAAAATCCCAATTGATAACCCCAGTAATGGAAGAATCATTTATGGGCTTCTGCCTTAAGTCGATATAGTAGAACACAAACATATGTTTGCAGCCAAGTTTGGCAGATACATTTCCAGTTCCTACCAGCCATGATTTAAAGCATAGGCAGAGAGAGAAGGCAAGTGCAAATAGCAGATGTTAAAGGGCTAAATGTTGGGTCATTAGTATATCACCACACTAAAACTAGCCTTTAAGGAAAGCACTGCCTTCTTTGAAGAGGTGGGGGGCTACAGGTGAGGAACACTGCATATGTTGCCAAGCTAAGCCGATATATTGTTTAATATTGCTGAGCTGCTCTTTTTTAGTTAATGTCACAAGACACAGCTTGTGAGGCAGGGAAGGGATAGATTCAGAAATGAAGGTAATATAAAAATACAAGATCTCAAAAAAAGATTTTTTTAAAGAATTAGTGCAATTCTGCTCTTACCAGTAAAGCACTCAGATGTCAGAATAGTTAACTAAGACAAATAAAAGCCTGGCGCAGTTAAAAAGGAAAACAACAGGCTTGGTTATCACCACGTACTCATCAGTTACTCTGTTGTTGATGTTACAGTATAGTAAGAAGAAGTAAACAATCTATGGGAGATCTGTGAGGGAAAATCTTCCTTTAGCAAAAAGTCAGTGATATACCTATATAAAGAAATCAGTGCAAAGTAGGACATTGAAACTTTTTAAAAATGTTTTTCAAAAACAATGCATAGGCCCTTTCTCCACTTTAAGAAAGAAGAGGCCAGAAGAAGCAGAGAAATGTACATGTCCCCAAACCTTCATTTTAGAACTAGCTGATTTCAAGAAAGTAGAGTCAGATAGATCAAGCTTTCCATGGGAGGTTCAGTACCAAATGAGATATTCCGGGTAGATCTGGTGCTTCTCAAAGACCACAAAGATGGAAGGATCGCTCATACTGTTCACGCAGCTGTTGTAGAAGATGTTGCTCTGACCTTCTTTGGGAGGAGGTCGCAGATAGGAGGAACTGCCCCTGGTAAACTCTCCCACCAAAACCCGGGCCAAGAACATGGGATGGAATTTCAGGGAAGGCTTGCTATAGTGGTGGGAATAAGCAGCATCTCGGGCGAAGTAGCTTCCTGTAAGAGAAACACATCAATCTGGAAAGGGGGCTGAGTGTTAAGGCAAATCCACAGAGGCCTAGATGGTTACGATACTTCCATCTCATGAGGGGCATCTGAGGCAATGAGAGATGGTCCATCTGTTCTTCTGTTCTTCCTCCTGCCCTCCAACTACACCTCTCTTTCTCCTCCCACTTCTTTTTCTTCTCCTTCTTCTTCCTCCTCTGATTACACCTAAGGTCTGCCATTGGCAATAACCTCCCCTAATAGCCCTAGCTAAAGAAATGACTGAGACTTGTTCTGATGGGGCCAGAAATGACAGCAAAGGTTGCTGCAAAAACTTCTGTCCAGCCCACACGGAAGAACAACATTTTCAAGTTACATTTGGAGAACATGCTACCTGTTGCACAATTCTGTGCCATACTAAATAGTATGCAGGCTTTCTTCAATAAGTCATATCTCAACATACAGAGACCATAAATCAGAGATTTAATTGGCTTCACGCTAGTTGAAAATCTGGGTTCACAGAATTCACCAGAAGCCCTGTGTCAGACAGGCCTGACTACCAAAATGGAACTTGGTTTACAAAGAGCTACCCAAACCACAGAAGAATGTACAGCTTGACTAAACCATAGCTGGGGTTTGTATTTCATTTCCACGTGAATAAATTTGTGGGACGTGTGAAGAATTCAGTGCCAAGGGAATTAAGCTACCATCCTAGAAAGGCTTGGCCCAGGAGTTGGAAAAGTGTCTTGTTTCTTGCTCAACTCCTCCCTGAATCCCAGGTTAGACTGCCTTTTCGATTCAACATTTAAGTGCCTTCTTTCTTCAGTACATTATTCTAGGCACAAGACAGTCTAATTTGTCCCTCAGACAGATTCAAAACACTGGCCTAAGCAGAAATGCCCCTTCTCAACTCGCCCCTGGAAAAGGGCAAGTATTTGGGTTTTGAAGGACGTTGGGGTACATGCCAAGTATATAAAAGCTAATGTTAGCAAAGCACTTTTCACAAACTTGAAAGCAGATTACTGTCCACATATAATCAAGAATTACATTCTTTTCATTCCTTAGGCCAATGCCTCGAGGCTTCTCTCTTAATTTTCCAGAGTTGAGTTTTAGGAACCTTCATAAACACCTTACTCCAAAGCTTCAGTGTGGCATGGGAGCTACCATGAGTTCTTAAAGACTACACTAATGGAATTCAAGATCTGCAGCTCCTACCAAGCTTAGAAGGCTTCAGGTGATATACTCTATGTCTGTCACCTAAGGACCAGTCAAATCAGGGTTCAGAGAAGGGCATTACCCAGCTGACCCAAAGCTGATGATTAATTTCAGCTCCAACAAGACTAGAAGACCACCTACTAAAATTATAGATAAGTTGTGACCTGCATCAGAGGAGCATGCTAACACATAAGTACTACCACAACAAAATCACATATTCTTATCATGTTTAAGCATTTACAAGTTTTCAGAAAATTTTTAGTTGGTTTTTTTTTTAAATTTAAATCTCAGCTAGTTACCTTTGCCATAGCTAGTACCATGAAGACCAGAGATCCTCCAGTCAAAATTCTGATGGCAGATGGCATCAACATACTCGAGACTGGTGCCATGAAACAGAAACCTCTCATCCACTTCCTGCCCTCCATTACTCTTCTTCATCTGTACTTTCTGCCTGTGGCAAAGAAAAGACAATGTGGGTGGTTCCAACCAAATATAGGTTGTGCAGCGACTTATAGCAAGCCAAGAGAGTACACTTGTCCCCAAATAACCAACATGTTTTGAACCTCAAAGAGATTCTCAGGTACATTAAGTGACTTTCACTAAGAGTTTAAAATGACTGAACAACAAGAATGGGCTTTCCATCAACGACCAGCTCCGGACTCTCTTTGGTAGCTATCATCTCTTTCCCCTTCAGTATTTGGTGGGCATAAGAAATAAAGGAGAAACTCTATCCCTTACTCCATTCAAGATCAAGTTTCTTTATCATCCCAGAAGAGATAAGGCCCTTAGGAAAGAAGTCTGTTTTTCCTCCTATCATCAGGCCCAAATCTGGTGTTTTCCCCTCTCAAGGAAAGACGGGAAAGGATAAGAAGCTCGTGACTGTTTATGGTTTCCAGTAGTCAATAAGCCAACTTTCTCTCTAGAACACAATACAGAGCATTATCGGTCTTGAACTAGCTCAAGGTGACAAAACTCTCTTCAAGGAAATGATCACATGAGATAATATCTGTTAACGCATTTAGCACCGTGTCTAGGATGCAGTAGGTACCACATAAATGCTTACTCCCTTCCTGGTTCTCCATGTACAGCAGACATTCTATAAATGTCTAGAAGAGGTAGGCCTTTGCACAAGGGCTTCCTTCTGCTGGTGTTAGCCCAATAAGATACGGGAATGTAATCAACAGCTGTAGGAAGTGTGAAGGTTTTAGCAAAATTGACTCTTTCACCAATAATATGGAATGGGGCAAAAAACCATTTCCCTTTGACTATAGGTAGCTAAATACACCTCCATCTTATTCCTTGTGATTAATTATTATAGAATTTATGACTGTAAACTATAAATCCATTGCACATGGATGTATGTCAGAAACCATCATTGTTACCCCTTAGCATGGGGAGGTAAGCATGGCCCTGGCCCTACAGTGGTGTCTCTCCATATATTTTATACCATATCCTACACACAGAAACTACTGTGTTTATAAAGATGTGAGCGACTGTGATACACCATAAACAAAAGTATCATCCTAAACAGAAGAAGCATGCTCTTGACACACTTAGTACAGTGGATACTTTATTTTTCTGCAAGTGGCAATGGGTTGCATGGATCGGCTTAATTAGTCCTCTGTCACCTTGGTCTCCTTAAGAATAGTTCACAAGTTCGTTTAGGGGAAGAAGCATGTACCTGAACAGCCCCTGTGGTGAGGGGGACAGAACCCTAGCTCAGGAGCTGACAGACCTCAGTTTGTGTCCTAGCTAGCACCAGGCTCTGCTTTTTGTTATTCTCGGTTGACTGTCTCAAACATACCACTGATACACTTCCCAGAGTGTTGGGTTCTGGATTCTCTCGATCTTATGAATGGTGTATTTAGGCATTGTACGACAAAACTTCTCTTGGACCTGCAGATACTCTCCAGAGGAGGGGGATAGCAGGATTCGCTAAAAGAGACAAAATTTTTAAAATCAATATATATGTATAGATATATAGATATATAAAAACACGTGAAGGACATGGAGGTTCCATATCTTTTTTTTTTTAACAAAAAGAACAAACACAGGTAAGAACTGACTGATGTAGCAAGAAGAGAACAAAAACAAACAGGAAGGAAAAAAGGGAAAAGGAATCCGGTTAATTAGATTCTTATTGAAGGCTGTGTGTACCCTCCCCCCACCTCAATCCCCTCCCCCAATGCACACACATGCACACACATCACTCCCTCTATTTCAAGTTCCAGTTTCTCCTGATAACCTATCTGGTTTTTTGCCTTGGTTTTTCTTTTTTGGACAATATGACTTGTTTTGTGGACAAAACATAGTGGCTTCATCCTTTATTTTCTACTTTCCAGGGGATTTTCACAGTTAATAGTCTCCCCTTTCTTAACTGGTTTCACCAATTTCCTCTCTGGATCCATCCACCTCAGCTAGTCTCCCAAGTCTCCACCCCTCTAAAACCGTCTCTAAACACTTCTTCCCCTCCAGCAGTGCACACAACCATCACCCTGTTCACCACTGGGTCCTTCACTGATGTATCTGAGACCTGGTCACTTTAATCTCACTAGTTTTAGCAGCAAAAGGCCTGGGTTTCAATCTCAGCTCTGCTTCCTGCTACCATGGGCAGGTCACCTCATCTTTATACGGCCCTGAGTTTTCTCTTCTGTCAAACAGAGGATGGGGCTAAGACCAAATGACCAGATGACCCCTAAGGTTTTTTTCCAATACTAAATCCTACAATAATAACTGACATTTACATAGCACTTTTCTTTACATGCATTTTCATTTCATCCTCAGAGCAATTCTATGAGGGAAGTATTACCCTGAAAACTGAAGAAAGGGAGGGTTGGAGAGGCTATGTGCCTTGTCCATACAACAATTAAGTGTTAGAGACAGGATATGACCCCAAGTCTCTCAAATCTAAGTCCAGCGCTCTTTTCGTTATACCAAGCTACCAATCCGTTTATAAAGAATGACATTCATCCTGGTCAGCATGATGTAGGAACCAGACAGTCAAGTGAGAAGATCTAGATTCAAGTCCCAGCCTTTTCCCTAAATAGCTTTGTGGCCCTGGTGAAGTCACCACTATTCTGGGCTTGGGCAGCTAGGTGTCACAGTGAATAAAGCACTGGGCTTGGAATCAGGAAGATTCATCTTCATGAGTTCAAATGCAGCCTCAGACACTTACCAGCTTGTGCAACCATGGGCAAAGCACTTAAACCTGTTTCCCTCGGTTCCTTATCTGTAAAGATGAGGAATATCCTCAATATCTTTGCCAAGAAAATCCCAAATGGGGCCACAAAGTGTTGGATACAACTGAAACAACCAAACAATAACACTTTGGGCCTAAGTTTTCTCATGTGAAAAATGAAGGGCTGGACTAGGTAATCTTTAAGGTCCTTTCAGGCTCCTAAATTCTAAGATTATCAGCAGTTCAAGTTCCATACCTTAAATCCCAGGTCCGGCAATGCAGACATATCCCAATGAGATGGAATATCCCTTGGGGCCTCTGATATGTCACCACTGAACATAACAGAAAATAAAAAACATTTTCACATTTTCAGTATCTCAGGCAAATATCTCAGGAAATATCAATACTATTACTACTCACTCAAAATGCATATGGACCCCTATCACTTCTATCCTTCCTTGTCTCACTGGTTGATTCCTCATCCTATCTCATCTTAAGTAGGCTAGGAAGACTAAAAACAATAATAATTAGTCATTAGCATAGTAATTAGATTAACACCTAATTTTTCCACTAAATATTAGTGATACAGAAGATTCAAAATAGCAAATATTCTTACAATCTTACAATTCCTACATTCTTATTTGGCTTTAGGATGCATTTTTTTTTCTAATAAATCTACTTTCCTAATTATGTCTGATTTGGGTTGACATGATAACTACTTGGTATTCCCTAGACACATACCAACAGAAAGAATGAGTTGTATCAACATGCATGTGAGACTGTGGTGAAGAAACCTGACAAGGATTTAAAACTTGCCCCCAGATAATCCCCAAGTGGATAACTGAGAGATGATGTAGTGAAATTAAGCAGCATTATCACAGCCAAATGGGACTTAGGACCTCCTGGCTGAAGGGGGGTCAAGCCTTTGAAGAACCCAAAGCTTTCATGCAGTTCTGGGGTGGAAGACACCATTTGCTAGAGTTGCTAACTTGACTTCTTGAATATTATTCTTCCTAGTGTTATTTTTTAATTATTTTTATTAAAGTGGGGGTACGACCTTTATCTGTAGAGCATGAGAATTCCAGTACCTGTCCCTAGTTTTTTAAAAGAAAAGATGACAGCTCAAGGTGGATGTTATAGCATCATAAAAACAATGGTAAGATTAGGAACAAAAAGGGGGTGATCTAGTATGAAGTACTTGAAAGATCAGATTATGGGATGATCACGAAGACTAGATTATTAGAACTATATTCTTAATAATGGAAAAATTCAGTTTGTATTGGTTTTTAATTTTTGATACATGTGCTAAGTGAGTAGAGGACTTAACATTTTTCATTTTGAGCCAAACAGGAAAAAAAAATCTACTTAAATGAGTTTCAGACAGCAATTCTGGTTAGTTTGTACATGTGGATTGTATATCCTGTGCCTTAAAGTATAAAGTGCAAAAGCATTATTGTTTTCAATGTTTCAAAATAATTAAAGGAAAAAAAATTCTTTTGCTGTACATATCACCATTTATATTTTATGCTATGAAATTTCTATAAAAATTCTCATTTTTGTGAGAAAGGCTTTAAAAAATAAATTTTAAAAAAAATAAGTGAAAGTGTACTCCAAATGTGATTCAGTGTGGGTAGCACTTGTAATCTGGACTAGGGGCAGCTAGGTGGCACAGTGGATAGAGCACTAGCCTGAAGTCAGGAGGACCTGAGTTCAAATCCAACCTCAGACCAAACACTTGACACTTAACTAGCTGCGTGACCCTGGGCAAGTCACTTAACCCCAACTGCCTAAAAATTTTTTTTAAAAAATATGTTCACTTATAATTCACTCATAAATAAAGTTGTTCTTTTTGTCACAATTCCTTCTATTTCAGAGTTGCAGGAATCTGTAAAATTGGAAATCAGTGAAGAGGGACTTTTTTTATTATAGGTTATCCTTTTTTGCTTAAGTAATTTACATGATGGTGCATGTATTTATTCAATAAATGATTCATATGGTGAAAAAAAATAAATAAAGTGAGGGTATGAGAGCTGGGTTGCCTTCCTCCATTCAGATCATTTGGCTTGAAGATGGCTCCCAACCTTTTCTGCAGTATGAGAACCCATTTATAAGGTTTAAAAAAAATGCTGGATCCTATATAGAACAGTACTAACCATTCACCAAAAAAATATAATCACAAAAATAGCTACTGTGAATTCAGTTATGCTTTTAAATGAATTTTTATCTTTAATCATAACATCTACATACACTTGAAAAACAGTAAAATATGTATGAGTGATACATTATTTATGTTTAATTATACTGATAGGTGCTGCATATTTTGCTGGAGCTAAATAAGGACAATAAAGTTTGATGTTGGCCAGACATTTCTGGTTAATCTCAGTATCAACCAAAGTTTGGATTTGAGCCATAACAGATCTGCACCAAGGGACAAATCATTCAAGTACAGCTTACCGAGTCTGCTTCGTCTTCACATTCTCAGGAGAGACATATTTCGGTCTCCGACAAACATTTCTGACAGTGCCATAGTGTAAGCTTTTCTGAGTCATGGCTAAAAAACAACAAAATTAGCTTTTAACTACATGCTGACAACTGACTTCCTGAATTAAGTTAGGGAAAGGTTAATAAGAATTGGTGACCATTTTTTTAATGAAATAAAATTATAGAGAGCTGCAGAAGATCAGTACTTATAGTGTGGTGGGTACTTATCAATCATTCATCCTTACTCCCTAGAGACCACTACCAAAAATCCCTTTTGCTGTAAGTCTTTCTTGCCCCCAACCTGTCCCTGAGGTGCCTTTGATAACACAGGAGAGAAGTCATAAGGTCAGAATACTTTTCCATCTAGCTCTACTTTGTGGTATAAAAGCCTCTGCTTTATGGGGGCTGGAGGCCACTTCATTATGGGACAGTGTCCTGCATGCATATTTGACATCCATGAGGCCAGCAGCATATCTCAGAGTGCAGGGAATTCAGACTCAGGTTGGCTATGTTGACTGGGACTGCCACTTCAGGGCTGGATTGTGGAATAAACTGCAGGGCTGCTGATTTCCACCTGAGCCTGTCTGTATAGCCTTCGATAAACACGTCTGCTCCAATGGGTCTCTCAAAAGCACTTCTAGCACCCTGTCAGCATGGCTGGGTCTATCAAGCCAGCACATGGAATAAGAAGTATCATATTAACACCAGATTGTCAAATGAACATCCTTGGGAAATACCTTTGAAATTCAACTCATAGTTGTGCTTTCCAACTGAGAACTGAAAGATAGGTGACTCCTGGCTCAAGTAGGCCTTCTCCACGTCACTGCTGCTAACATCAGCTGCATGGCGTTCAGCACCCTGTCAAGTTAGAACCACAAAAGGACCATTTCTTACAGCACGAGACAAACCCCCAATAAAGCTGATGACCATCTGTAGATTCTGCAAACACAAGACTTTAGGCCAGGGATGGGGAATCGTTGGCCCTGCTGAAGGCTCTAATAAGCTGACTGATGAGCCCAGCAGCTCCAGAACTGGCAGTCAGAGCTAAGTGCAGGTCCTGCCAGTTCAACTATAGGATCTGGGTAGGGTGGGGTGGGATTAGAGAGTCCAGCCTAGGAAAATGAATAGAGCCAGAAGGGAGAGAGGTGTGACCAGAAGGCTGGAGGAGTTGGCACAGGGGCGGGTTGGGGTAGAAGGATGGGGGGTGGAAATATGTGTTAGAAATCCATTGAGGAAAAGGTGATTGGACCAGTTGCTAAATTCCTTTGGAAAATAGAAATATAAGAACTATACATCTTGTGGGTTACAAAGTATGATTTCTGCTGAATAAGAGAAGATGAGGTCAAGAAGACAAGAACAGATAGACCTCTTTATTAAAACGGGCAACTCTCAAATTCTTTTAAAGCATTAACAATGCTTTTGCAGTCAACAAACATTTGTTCACTGTTGTTGCTTTGCTGACATCACTGATGGCTGAACGACTGGCATAACCAATGAGGCTGTCTTGTGAAGTTTACTGACTGATTTCACTTCTCCCTACCTTTCTGACCTTCCTTCTATATCTCCTTGGAGAGCTCATTATTATTGGGGTTCCAGTTATCAACTCCCTTGACCAATCACCCATATTCTATTTGTCTAAAAGACCCCTCCTTTTGGATACAGAGAAGTATCAAAAGCATGGTAGACTTGAAGTCAGAAAAACTTGAGTTAAAATCCTACCTGTGACATTAATAGTGATGTGACCAAGGGCAAGTCACTCCATCTCTCCAGAGTCTCAGTTTCCTCATCAGATAAATGGGTGGCTACACACTGTACTGTTTGATCTGCCCACAACCAAACCAAGAGTTGTTTGTTGGAATGGAAGCAAAGACTTCTTTCCACCTCATTTAACACAAAGAACGGAAAAGACACTCACTGAGTTACAATTTCCTCTTATTCAAGTGGATTTGGATCTTACATGTAAAGATTAAGTCTCACTAGATTGAGCTCCAAATTCCTCAGTTGCGTTGGAATTTTACTGGACCAAATACTGCTTGAAATGAGCAAGCTTTTTCATCAAAACCGCATTTGACCTCCATTTTTCAGATGATTGATCACTCTCAGCTCACCAAAAGGACTATTTAGTCTTGTTCCACATCACTTACAGAGTCATAGGCTTGAGCTGGAAGGGATTTTCAAGGCCAGCTAATCCAAGTCCCTCGTTTTACTGATGAAGAAACTAATTCTAAGACAGATGAATATAGGTCATCCAGGCAGAACTAAGGAATGATGCATGGTGCCGGGGATTTTAATCCATGTGTTGCCCAAGTGAGCCCCTCCCTTACCTTTAGGCCATACTCCTGCCACAAATCACGATCATTTTTCCAATACCAAAGCCACTCAGTCGTGAGGATGAAGTGTGGAGGCCTGACAACGGAAGAAGCTGTGGAGAGACGCCGAGCTTTGTAATGGGCACAAGTCATGTTATCAAAGTTTACGGAGGCAATCCCAGGGCTCCATGCAACCTTAGTAAGAAAACTGTGAAAGAAAGCAAGTGGGTAAACATTCCACAACTAAGTGGCACCATAGTGCATAGAGTGTCGGGACCAAAGTCAGGAAGACTTATCCGGAATGTGTTTTCATGCTTGCATTGGGATACAGGTCTGTCTAGGAATTCACTTCAAACCGAGTTTCAAACCAAAGCTCACCAGAAGAACCAGGTAGCTTCCCACTTTATATACCCTCGTGATCTAAGGCCTAAAGGGACCTCAGGGCTCATCTGTCCAACTTCCTCATTTTCCAGATGACCAAAGTCATAGGGTGATTAAGCAACCACTTCGGTTAAGCACTCTGTGGGACTAGAAAGTGTAGCTAGTGAGTGATGGAGCTTGGATTGGAACCCAAATCCTCTCTCCAAATCCAGGAGCACAAAACAGTATCATGCTAACAACTCAATCAACTTCACCAACTAATCCTTTAATGGTGTTCCTATTCGGTAAATATTTACATAATTATTTACTTCTCTCTCCACACCCTCCACCAGCTCCCCACAGCTGGGAGAAGTGCAGGAGACAGGGCAAAAAAACACACTACCAAAGACTGGTATTTTGTTTGTTTGTTTTTGGTGAGGCAATTGGGGCTAAGTGACTTGCCCAGAATCACACAGCTATTAAGTGTTATGTGTCTGAGGCAGGATTCGAATGTGCCACCTAGCTGCCCCTGAAGACTGCTATTTACCATGCTTCCACATCCTTATAGGCAAATTAAATAATATGGAACTTAATAGCTTCCCAAATTCCCCCCAAACAGCCTGGGCACAGGGCAGAAATAAATAACATTTCATACCAGCTTTTACTGGGGTCACAGTATGCCTTTTCAATCTCTTCCACTTCTTCCAAATCCTTCCAAGTTTTCCCATCAAGAAACTGCCATCTATATGGCAAATGAAAGTGGACTTTAAAACACTTATCTAAAACAAAAAAAGAAGCAAAATCAAAATGGTAATTCCATACAGTGTGGCCTAAATAAACAATGAAAAACACAGTACAGGTGTAACCTGATTTATGCAATACCGCCTAAGGCTAAAAACCACTCCAGCATCTTTGCCAAGAGAAACCCCAAGATCTGTATTGGTGTGCAATGGGCCACAGAGTCACAACTAGGAGACCGAACACCAACAACGAAGTAAAGCTAAGACTCCAGCAGTGAAGCTTCGAAGACAGTGCCAAGACAGGTCATGCTGCTCAGACCACCTTGCCAATAACGCCTAGAACATGAGCTCAGGCCCCAGGAGGTGCTTTGCTTCATTTACACAGGCCACCAGTAGAAAGGAGCAGCAGATGAGTCCTGTGTGGCTGAGACATCCTAGATCCAGAAGAATAATCTCAAAGCACACATTCTGTTGAAACTGGCTGCCCAGGCATCATCTTCCTTCCTGTAGGACAGGACACCAGCCTCCAATCATCTCCCCCTTCTCTCAAACAATACTGCTCTGAGTGCCATTTAGTCATATATTTCATGCCTTATTTTCAAATCCTGGACACCAGGGGTAGACACTGGGGACAGAGGATGTCTATGAGCTGGATGGGCATGAGCTCTGAGCCAGACTGTGCACTTATAAATGTGCCAGCCTGCAGGGGGTCTGAACTTAGAGTCTTTACACTGTAATAAAGAAACTTCCTGCATTGTAAACAGCTTCCTGAAAGTGATCTGGCTGATGACTCACTGTTGAGGAAGGAATAAACCAGGGCTTCAGCCAGAGAATCAGAGAGCTAGAGCTGGGGCAGACACTGAGGGGATGGGGCATCCAATAATCCAACCCTGCCATTTTATAGACGAAATTACCAAGGCTGACTTTGTGTTCTGCAGAACCTTCAAATAAAGAATCTTGCCCCTCCTTCCACACAGCACTGTCCATGGCAATATGGCAGTCCCCACCTCCCACAGGATCTCCTCCCAAAATCCCTTCCTAAGTCAGGTGTTTGGAGCCTGGAATACTTTTCCCCATGTTAGTGATAATCCTGGGCCAATCCACACATGTCTGAAATACTACTAAGGTAGCCGCCAGCCCTGAGCCCATGGCCCCAAGAGAAGGACTGGTTGGAGAGCCTCAGGATTAGCAGAAAGTGTCTTGCACTGGACCTCACGAGGCCTAGGTCCTAATATTGGCCTCACAACTACCTGTGACCCTGGGCAAATTACTTCACTTTTTGTTTTCTTTCCCTGTTAAATGAGGGGGTTGGAAAAGATCACATTTAAAGTCCCTCCTTGCACTAACATTCTAGGATTCTACTTACTACAACAGTTGACTTGAGGCCTGGTAAGGATCTCACAAAGAAGAATTCTGGGATTAGATAATTGAGTAAAACTAGGCACTTGACTCAAGGGGCAGCGTCCTGGCTGTGCTAATACAGGAGACGGCAAAGTGTCAGCACCTTACCTTTAAAGCTACAAGCCTTCCTAATGTGGTACAAGCAGATCTGATCATTCTCTTCATCGCTTTTAGGGGCGGTGGCAGGTACAGAGTCACTACTACATCTTCTTTCTGCAACATAGATGCATGTAAAATAAAGAATTAGTTTCCATCAAGCCTCAATTTGGAGTCAAAGTATTTCAAGGTACAAAGGAATGAAAAGGAACCCTTTTTTATTCAAAAAAGTCGAAAGTTGCTCCATCAGGCTACGGACGATATAATTCTACACTCAAAGTTAATTGAACCCTAAACCCCAGTTTGTGATTTGTTCAGATGAGTATATAAAAAAGTCTCCCTGAAATATCACAAAATGTCTTCAGACCCCAAGTTCTCCATCCCCACCCCGCCTCAGCACACTTTAAGACACAGGCAGGAACGGACCAGATCATCTCCTGAGGTCCTTCTCAGCTCTGACTTGCCAGTAGAAGGCACCAGTTTTTGTTTTTTATTTATTTTTGTGTGGGCCTGTGATTTTATCAGTGTGATAACAGCATTTCATACATAAATCGATTTATAGCAAAGAGCTTTTCTTATATTAATTAGCTCATTTGATCCTCCAATTGCTGTTGTTTAGTGATTTCAGACTCTGTGATTCTTGGCAAAGATACTGTCATTTCCTTCTCCAGTTCATTTTACAGATGAAGAAATTGAGGCAAACAGGGGTTACACAACTAATAAGTATCTGAGGCCAGATCTGAACTCTCATTTTCCTGACTCCAGGGCTAGTACTCTATCTACTACACCACCTAGCTGCCCCATTTGAACCTCCACTCTACTACAACTTGTCTTAAAGAGCTGCCTGAGGCATTAAGAAGTTAAGTGACTTTCCCAGGGTCACACAGCTAGAATATGTCAATGGTAGAATTTGACCCCAGGTCTTCCTGACTCAAAAGACAGCTCTCTATTCCCTATTAATATGTCGTATTTAACTGAAGATTAGAACTAGTCTCTCATGCTAATACGAACTGCCAAGAAAAGGGCCTAACACAAAAATCTAAATTTAATGGTAGAACTTATTAAATCTCTGAGTCATATTTTTCTGAAACCCCTAAGGGACAACACTGGTTCACATGTTATTTCTCCAACCCAGAACTATGTCTGCTATGCAGTTTTTCTTGAAAAATATGCCTGTGCCCTTTATTAGCAACCCCAAGTAATTTATTCAGTATTTCAGAAACCTGTTGTGCTATTGGTGTGGGAACTTCCTCCATCAACTTGGTTCATGGCCCATTGATAAATTATAGTTTTAGAGGGCTGCCTGGGCTCAGAAAAGCTGCCCTACCTGTCCACTGTCACACAGCTAATAAGTGTCAGAGGTAGCCCCTTCTGACTCCAAATCTAGTCATCTATAACCACCATGGTAAAACGCTTCTCCATTAATTTATCATTATCTGAAAACTTGTTGAACCTCCCTTCTTCACCCAAAATGGCATAGTAACAGTGGAAAGCACTACTGACTTCCAAGGTACACTGTTTGATACATTCCTCCATAAGAAAGTAATGAAGAGAAACTGATCATCCTAATTTGGATGCGACCTGAGTCAATCTACCTGTTCACCCACCTACAAAGACCAAAAACTTAATGAACAAAGATAGAAATATACTCAGTTTTCTTGCAATTAAGAGGAATTTATACAGAGCGATTAAACAAAACCTGAAGAAGACATTAAGTTCTGGTCAAGAAAATATTCCAAAACTTTTCCGAAGGCAGGAAGCAAAATTAAGGCAACAAATGTATTTGCTGGAATTCCTGACATTCATTTCGTATGACAAATCCATTCAGTAACAAGCCCAGAGACCAATACAATTAACAGCAAGTCATGAATGGCAAAACATTACCCCAGGAGGGGCCACAGAATGTGTAACTCTACTGAATGACAAACGTAGGACAGGAAAAAGGAAAAATTTGGATTGTTTCCGGCTTGAAGACATGAAGTTTTATACCTACTGCAAAAAAAAAGGAGACATATATTTTCAGATACAGTCAATGTGGGAATTTGTTTTACTTGAGGATGCATATTTGTTACAATAATTATTTATTTTTTTCTTTTCTTTTCTCAATTTGGAGTTGAGAGAGACAGAAAAACAGAGAGGAAGAGACAGGCACTAAGAGAGTGACAGACACATAAGGGAAGTGAGGGGATCAGGACAGCAAGTAGTTAATTGTGGGAACTGGGTGAACCACAGTGACTCCATCTTGTGACTCAATTCTGGAGCTAGCTCAGTTTCTATTTGGTTATGCATCTGGCCCAATTTCTGTCTTGTGAGAAAACTTTATTTAATTGTGAAAATTGAGAGAAAACCTTATTTCATTGTTTGAACCTAATCCTGCATGGCTGGGAAACTGGACTGCCTCTCTCTACCTGCTGTTTCAAGACCCTTAACTAAGGACCTAGGTGATACTGACCAGAAACTGAAGCAGGGAGTTTTCTCACAGTTGCACATCTCAAGCAAGCTATATGCCTTATCTGAAAACTGGCCCCATACTGATTAAGCAGTTATTGTCTCCATGTTCCTTTGATTGTTTAGGGACAGTTGGGGGGAATGGGATGCCTCTTTTTTCTGATTTCAGGTAATTGCTCCTATTTGCTCTGCCCTTCCTAACTTGGAAAGCCTCTAATCTTTCTTCCAGTTACAAATCAGATTACCTAATGTTGTATTATTGATTAATTGATTATATTTAATTGATTTTAATGCATAAAAGTCTATCTCCCCCTGGATTCAGGGTCCAGGCCTAAGCTGAGGAGGTCTGGTCCTGGTTTGTTGGGCAACTGGCATGCACTGCTTAATAAATCAATATGCTCGGAAGAGCAAACCTTTGTTTTCTCAATCATTTTATCTTTCATCTGCCACACAGACGGAGACATAGAAAGAGTAGAAAGAGACATAGAGAAAGAGGAAGAGAGGGAGGGAAGGAGGAAGGAAGGAAGGAAGGAAGGAAGGAAGGAAGGAAGGAAGGAAGGAAGGAAGGAAGGAAGGAAGGAAGGAGGAGGGAAGGAGGGAAAGGAAAGGAGGGAAGGAAAGGAAAGGAGGAAGGAAAGAAAGGAGAGAGGGAAAGAAGGAAGGAAAGAAGAAGAGAAGGAAGGGAGGGAAGGTGGGAGACAGGGAAGGCGAGAGGGAAGAAGAACAGAAAGAGAAGAAGCCCACCTAGCTGTCCTCTATCAGGTTGGACATTCCCTGAGTGCATGGAGAATGGTGAAGTGTTGCCTACCTTTTTCAGATGTTGCTGAGCTTTCATTTTTGATGTCAAAAGCATTTCTATAAGTGGAAGGCAACCTTTTAATGATAGCAGCACTAAGCCCCCACTTTCCCAACTTCTCCTGACATGTGGAATTAAAGACATGGGACCGTTTGCAGCTGCTGCCAAACTTACAGTTTCCCTGCAAGTAATAATGGCACAGGTGGAGTTTGGCACAAGTATTTTTAAAGGTACAAGAACCATACTGCCCATCTCCTTTATTATAGTGCACGCAGATCTGTGAACAAGGAAAGAGAAGAACATAAATTATTAAAAAATTCTTATACGTTACCATTAGCTTCCTGTTTATCTTCACTAGCTATAATACCAGGCTAATAGGACAATGGTCATGAGTTGCATTTCTATCTGGGCTTACAAAGCCCATGAGTCTTGGCCAGAGACTATACCCTTCACCCTGGTAAGCCATCTTGCAAATATGTTACCTATACACTAGAGGAACCAGGCAAGAATATGTACAAATCGATTCCCATTCCTAGAAAAATAGCTCAGAACATATGTCCCACCTTCACATGGACATGAAGACTATAAGTATTAATTACTTGAATTGTATACTCTCATAGTGGCCTCACTGATCACACTTTTCCTCTCAGCTATCTACAAAAATATAAAAATAACTAAATTAATGGTATGTGAAGTAATGATCTTAATAATCTAATTTAAGAAAATAAAACCAAACTCACTGTAAGGGAGCAATCAAAGGCAAAGAATCCTGGTGGGGATGGATTTATAAGTTTCACAGAATTCTATCAAACATTAAAAAAATTCCTACCTATAATATGCAAATTATTCTCAAAATTAAGAAAGAAGACTCGATCAAACTCCTTTTATGAAAATATATATATATATACATACATACATACATACATATGTATATATATACATATATATATGTATATATATATATATATATATATATATATATATATAGTCTAATACATAAGAAGAGGCATCTTCTTAGGTTTATTCACTCAATATTTACTAATATATACAATGAACTGTCCTAGGTCTTGGGAGGACAGAAAGACACGCAAGATATAGTTCCTACCTTTAAGAGGTTTTCGATCTAACAGAGCAGAAGGACAGGCACAATAACAAAGTTAGTAAAAAAAGTACAATATGTTATCAATTCAAATAAGGGTGAGATCTGACTGACTTCGTACCCAGTCCCCAATTTCTCCTATTTCCCTATTCCAACAGCTCTAAGAGTGTGGGAGCAGGGTTAAGGAAAACAAGTGCAGATCATCACAGTAACTTTTAAACCCAGTGCTGGGCCATGCCCAGGTTCCTATTTCTGAGTTCTACTTGGACCCCTTCATTCTAGTCACCTTCTCTGAGTCTCATTCAACTCCCATACTCAGTATCAGGTACAGCAAGAAATAGGTGCCCACCCAACTCTTTGGACTCTACATTCCTCAATTCAATTCAAAAGACATGTATTAAATGTCTTTTAGTTCAGAGTACCACACTAGGCATTGGTGCATCCAAAGATGAATAAAACATGGTCCTAGTCCTTAAGGAGCTTAGGGGAGATAAGATGTGTACACAAATAATTATAACGCACAATAGAGCACATTTGCACAGGACAGGCACAAAGTGTGGAAAAATAATCAAAGGAAGGGAAAAATACTTGGAGCTGGGGAGGCTGGAAGGACAGGGATTTGGGGAGGGGAGGGATATTGAGGATGAGTCTTAAAAGATGCACAGGATTTCAACAGGCAGAGGAGGGGGAGAGGGTGGAAATGAGTTCCCAGCATAGGAAAGGGGAGAATGAGTTTGAGAAAATACCTTTTATTCTAGTTTGGGGGGATTATGAAAGGCAATAACGTGAGGAAGAGAGAAAAAAACGGAACCAGATTATAAAGAGCATTGAATGCCAAGATAAGGAATTTGGAATTGGTTCCACAAACAAGAGGGAGCCATGGAAGGATTTTTAGCCTGAAAGTGACAGTGTTAGAACTATCATGAGAAATATTATTTTAGAAAAGTCTCACCTTAGACTTCAATGTATCACCTTTAAGATCCTGCACTTCAAAATTCTACTTTCCAACCATACTTGTTTCCTCTATTTACACCTCATTCCTTCATTCCCACTAAACCTGTTTTTTTTGTCTTTATACGAACTCCTGAACTCTGCAACTGTCCCTGTTCATCTCTCTTGCTCTACCTTTGTTTGTCATTATGATAGCAAGCCTTGGCCCTATGGGCTGCCACTTTATTTTTTTTTTAACTTTTTTAGGCATGTGGGGTTAAGTGACTTGCCCAGGGTCACACAGCTAGTAAGTGTCAAGTGTTTGGTCTGAGTCCACATTTGAACTCGGGTCCTCCTGACTCCAGGGCCAGTGCTCTATCCACTGAGCCACCTAGCTGCCCCAGGGGTGCCACTTTAATGATTCAATATTATTAGTTATTAATCTCTTAAAAGTTTCATTTGTGTCTTTCTATACCCCAGTGTCTGGCACAAGGGTGGGGAACCTGCAGCCTCCAGGCCACATGTGGCCCTCTAGGTCCTTGGGTGCAGCCTTTTGAGAGAGTCCAAGTTTTACAGAACAAATCCTTCTATTAACAGAATTTGTGCTGTGAAGTATGGATTCAGTCAAAGAGCTGCACTTGAGGACCTAGAGGGCCACATGTGGCCTTGAGGCCACAGCTTCAATGTCTAGCATCTAGAAGGCACTTCATGAATGTTTGTTGGCTGACTGATTGAAAGGCCTTTTTGTGGTAGCAGAAAACTGGAAACAAACCTCACAAAGCATTTAGAAGAATGTGAGCTGAGCAAAGAATGTCTGAGGAACCACCTTACCTGAAGGGCTCAGGAAAACGATGAGAAACCTTCAGAGAAGAGGTAGGAGCAGGAAAGTTCCATATCTCAGAAGTCAAGGAAGGAAAGAGAGTAGTAGCCAGAAGTTAGCAGTCAACAGTGTCAAGTGCTGCAGAGAGGTCAAGAGAGAGAGTGTCAGAGAAGAGAACCCAGCAGAACCTTCAAGAGCTCTTACATTTGAAGAACCAGGGAAGGAAATGAAATGGAGAGGCAAAAGAAAACCAGGACATGTGGTGTTAGGAAAGCCCAGCAGATTAACATGAAGCAGATGGGTGGTTGGTGCTGTGAGTGATACACAGAGATGCAAAGGAAAATGAGGAATGAGAAAAGACCATTGCAGCTGGAAATGATGGGTTATTCGTGACCTTTAATGGAGGAGTTTCAATTGAGTAACACACGTAGAAGCCAGACTGCCAAGAGACTGAAGAATGAGTGAATGGTAAGGAAGCATAAACAGCAAGTGCCTGCTGATTAATCTTCCTACATTTTGGTAGCAAAGCAGCAGACCAGTGACGGATAACTTGCCAGAATAAGAGGGCAGGGGGATTTTTTTTTAAGCATTGGAGAGATCTCAGCATGTTTGTAAGCAAATGAGAAGGAGCCAATGGAGAGGGAGAGAATGAGTATAAGCATGGATATTTCTGAATATGAGGTTGTTTACCAAATGTTAACACCATAAAGGGGTACAGCTGCAATGAGGTCAGCAGCATACAGGGCTGACTGAAAGAGGCTTTCCAGTGCCTGAATGATTGAGCTTCTCAACCACCAGAAATACAAATCAAAAGCAGCGTGGCATCCACACCAGGCTTCAGCCCATCCTACCCAAAACAGCCAGAACAACCTTCTTCAAAAGCCCTTTGAAAATCAAGCTCCTCTTCCCCTGGAGACTCTCCAGGAGCCATCTCAAGCCCATCAGATCCGTGCCAAAGCCTTCAGCCTGGCATTCAAAGCCAGCTGCTCCCTCCCTCACACCTTCTCACCAAGTTCACGTCTGAGGAATCCCACACATGGCTGGTCCAATCCATGTCCATCAGGCAAACCTGCCAGCTTCCCTTCAGGGCTCACCACAGCACTTATTGTTTGCACTACACACCTGGGCACCTCACTACATGCATGGGGTCTCGGCCCACAGTTTGAGAGGTGCTGAAGGGGCCACAAGTGGAAAAAGTTTAGGAAGCCCTGGAAGATTAGCCACTAGATTGTAAGTTCCTTGAGGGCAGGGACCGTCTTCTGCCTCTTTTTGTATCCTAGGCATTTAGCACAGGGACTGGCACAAAGTAGGAGCTTAATAAATGCTTACTAATTGACTGGCAGTTTAAAACATCATTATTTACTTCCTTGTGCAGTTAAACTGATCTTTCAAACGAGGTAATATATGGAGAAAACACCGTAAAGTATAAAAGCACCATCTAGATTAATGTAAGGTTTTATGTTTTTAAAGTTATTCCATATGTAAGTCTTGTTGTCCCAATGGGACTGGGGGTTTCTTAAGCACTAGGTCACATTTTTCCTTTGTCTGCTATGGGACCAGCAAAATGGTTGTGGGGGTTGTTCAGTCATGTCAGACTCTTTGTGACCCCATTTGGGGTTTTCTTGGCAGAGATACTGGAGTGGTTTGCCATTTCCTTCTCCAGCTCATTTTACCAATGAGGAAACTGAGGTGAGCAGGGTTAAGTGACTTGCCCAGGGTCACACAGCTAATAAACATCTGAGGCCAGATTTGAACCCAGGAAGATGAGCCTTCCTGACTCCAGCCCCAGTACTCTGTCCACTGCTCCACCTAGCTGCCCCAGCAAAATGTTAAGAGTGAAGAAATACTTGCTGAATCTACCAAAAATTGCTCAATAAGCCACAAAGACAGTTCTGTCTCTTGCTTCCTCCTACCCCACCCATCCCCCAAATCTCATGCCAAAATCTAGAAAAGCAATTAAATGAAATCTCATGGCATTTCAGGAATCTTCACACAAATAAGGGAAACAAATAAACAATCCTTGCAGGGAGGAGGGGGAGGGAGGAATCACATGCATATGAAATAGCATGCTATGGGTAAAACACTAGATTTGGAGCCAGGAGACCTAGGTTTGAAACCAGATTTCCTAGCTGCGTGAGCATCGGCAAGTCTTTTGCCTCTCAGAGCCTCATCAACAAAATGAGAATATTACTACTTGCACTACCTACCTCACAGTTTTGCTTCAAGGAAAGCATTTTGTTTTGTTTTGTTTTGTTTTGTTTTGTTTTGCTAGGCAATGGGGTTAAGTGACTTGCCCAGGTTCACACAGGCAGTAAGTTGTCAATTGTCTGAGGTCGGATTTGAACTCAGATCCTCCTGACTCCAGGGCTGGTGCTCTATCCACTGTGCCACCTAGTTGCCCCAAGGAAAGCATTTTGTAAGCCTGAAAGTGCTATGTAAATAAGTTATTACTTGCTGAAGTTTCCTATTATCCAAAGTTTTATAACAAAACAAATCTGGGCTGCCACTTGTAACACCATGAATTCCAATGGAGTTAAGATGATGTAGTAGAATGGGAAATGCACTGTTGAGTTCTACTTAGCTCAACAAACATTTATTAAGCACTTACTACGTGCAAAGCACTATATTTGGTGTTAACCCCTGGGAAATTTGAGGTCCTACCCTGCTCTGACCAGCAGTTTCTAACTGCCCCCAAGAAGACTCCTATGTACCCCAGTTGTTTCTAAGCACCCCTGTTCTCAGATAGAAATAAGGACATTTCTGCCACCTCATTTTTGTTGTCCCTCCAACACCCCTTTCCTGCAGCTCGGCTGTTCTGTGTATCCAACTATGTCCTATAAAGAATCCCCTTCTCCACCTCTCTCCCCAGACATCCCTGTCTAGATAAGATAGCCTGTTGTCCTGAACTGCAATTCCTCGACCCTGAATAAATGCCTCCCTTTACTTACTGATCACCTGGTCCACCTGAGTTTTGTTTTAGGCTGACATAGGCACAAAGACAACATGAAAACAATCTTGGTCCTCAAGGACTTTATATTCCAGTAGGCCCACCTGTGCCATTATAAAGAAAATGCTATGCCTCCTTAAGGAGGAAATACACTATTCCTTAAAACAAGGATTGGCAAATGATGGCCCACAGTCCAAATCTGGCTCACTGCCTTTTCAGTATGGCCCTTGAGCTAAGGATCGTTTTTAACCATGAGTTTTAACCTGTTTTTACATGTAAAAACCATTCATAGCTTGCAGACTATGCAAAACTAGGCAGCAAGACAGGATGAGCCTTCAGGCCATAGTTGGTCAATCCTAGCCTGAAAGAGTAATTGTCTTGCATATTATATAACTATGTGTAATTCACCATGGGAACTCTCTGTTTCCTCACCTACAAAATGAGCAGATTGGACAAGATGATCTCTAAGGTCCCTTCCAGCTTAAAATATATGGCACATCTAATCTTCTTGCCTTGCAAACTTTCTTGACTCACTGTATTTATATTCGTGGCTTGACACAAGGGCCATTCCCCAAAATGGAATATACTCCTATCTTGAACTCAGTTTTCCTAGTCTCCAAAGCCCTTTCTCCTTGGCAACCTTTGTAGACAGTTAAAAAAGGAAGAATCACACCCCCTAAGTCACAGTATAGAGGGTCACATTGAAGCCTACTGTACACACACAAACATACTAGACATCTGCCACTCACCTCTGGCAACAGCGTAGAATCATTCTGAAGCAAAAGCTGACTTAATTCGTTCAAATTGAGGTGTCCTATTCCATGGCTTTTCAAGACATTCGTGTTGTGTATAGAATCAATGCTGTGGCTATATTTACATTGTTTCCTGTGAAGAGAAGAAAGAGAAGAGAGAAGAGAGAGGAGGGGAGGGCAGGAGGGAGGGGAGGGGAGGGCAGGAGGGAGGGGAGGAGAAGAGAAGAGGAGAGGAGAGGAGAGGAAATAAGAGGAGAGGAGAGCGAAAAATCAGGGTTTTTTGGGGGGGGAATCTCAGCACATCCCACCGTCAAGAACACATCAAGACTCAGTTAACAGATACACAATAAAATCAACTAGTCTTGGCAAGACAGAGGAAACATTTCCTCAAAAAGTCAGCATGAAGCATCAAGGCAAAGAGGATAAGGGGGCTGGATTTGGAGGCTGTGCACTTGGGTCACTTACTACTTGCATCACCTTGGGCAGCTCACTTCCCTTCTCTGGCCTCAGTTCCCTTAACAGTAAAATGAGGGGGTTGAGCTAGATGACCTCTAAAGTTCTTTCCAGTTCAAAATTTATGATCCTTTGGCCTTACATTATTCCTTAAAGAGGAAGTACCTCATATATTCTATCAAAGTGACCCATAGGAACATGGCACTATCATTGTAAATTTATGGCCTCTGGGTTACTCAGTAATTATGGGAGCCTACAATTAGGAGCAAATGGCTATGAGGACACTTTTGCCAGGTCTACTTTTGCCATTCCGACTCAGGAACACGCTAATAGGAATACTGGGGCTGGTTAAAATTCTGTCTCTTTAATTAAAAAAAATTAAATAAAAATTCTGCCTTTTTAGTATTTGCCTCCCTTGGTGCTAACTTGCTACTTTTGTCTACCTTCCAACCTACTGCCCCCTCCCACCTTTCTTCCAATTTTAGCAACACAGACAGATGCAAACTACCCATAACTCAGCCTCTCCAAATGCTCTCACACCTATCCTCAAAGCTTACCTCAACACTGTACATCAGTAGTGTTCAACTCCAATAGAGATGGATCCCTGTGGATCACATAATTAACTCTGCCATTGACAACTCTTCAATGTTTCCCCACTGCCTACTAAAGTCAAAACTGCTTAGTCTAGCCTTTAAGGCCCTTCACAACCTAGAACAGGCTTCACTTTCCAGTCCCACCTCCCCTCCACAAAGTCTAGGATTCACCCAAACTAGAATACTATCAGCCCTTCACATACAAACTGTGTCCATATCTTTGCTCACAACCACATCCCACTTGCAAAAGACCTTCATACTCCAATGCCTACCTATCCTTCAAAGCCTTGCTCAAACCCTACTGCCTCCACGAAACCTTCCCTGAGCCCCTAGTCAGAAACATTCCCTTCAGACCTCCACAGAATTTTATCCCTCACTTATGCCTTTACTCTATTCTCCATTAGTGCTTTTATTGGGCAAATACAGTTGCTGCACATCTGCATGATCGTATGACCTTTGCTTGATTGTAAGCTCCATCTGAACTGGAATCACATCTTCATTATCTCTGTGTCTTCTCCAGACCGTGACTTGGTACCTGATAAGCAGCTGTTAAGTGAACCAATGGTTAGCACTGTGGCCCCATTTGCCCCAAAGAAGAGACGAAAGAAAACAAAAGGCCTGCCTTAAACCCTTCTTTTTCCCCACTGCCACCTATCTATTCTCTCCTGCTGTCATCCTATTGGGTTAGGCACGAATAATTGGGTGGGTATAAATTATGCCCAGTACAGAAGCCAAACCCTTCTACTGGACACAGTCTGCAATGTAAACAATATGTCTATTCAAGTAGTAGCTTTGTTAAACATCACCCCACAAGGTATACGATGTACAACCCAAAAGTGCCTTGAGGGGGAGGTGGCAATTCATGAAACCAGTTATTACCTGTGAATTATTAAGTCAAGATAGAAGTATCCTATGCAGTCATGACATACCAGAGTGTGCTGTTACCTCTGGACACTGGGACAGGAGGTTAGAATAATAGTGTTCAAAGCTGTATACTAAGCCAGTACTGTGGAAGGACACAGGAGAAAGAAGATGGAATCTCAGCCCCAGAGGAGGCCAATCATTTCATCAGGCCATCTCATCAGGACAGCAAAGCACAGACAACATGAAAGGCGTGAGACTTATCACAAAAGAGCCATTGTATTAGACAGTATAGATGGAGAAAGACGCTGGCAAGAAATGTGACTACTAGTTAATATAGCCCTGAGAAAGTTTAAATTCTGGAATTACAGAAATTACCAACATAGCCAACTTGTATTCATACCTAGTTGCTCTTCTGGAAATAAAAGAAACCCATGGTTATCTTAAATTGTTCTCAGATTTCTTTCTCCTATCATGGTACAGAGTCAGAAGACTAGGATTCATATTCTGAGACCGCTACTTAGTATCTGTGTGATATTAGGCAAATTAGTCTCTCTGAGCCTCAGTTTCCTTGACTATAAAAATGAAGGGGAGTCTTCTAAGATCCCTTCCAACAACAACAAAGTCTATGCTTCAACAACCCTATGGTGTCTTTTTACTTAAAACACCCATATCACCACCCTCTTCTGCCAAAAGACAAAGCATTTTATAAGGAAGGAGAGATAAGGAAAACAAAAAATGGAAGGCCTTTTCTTCTTTGAGGGAAAGGAGTTTTCTTAATCTCCAAAATTCTGCTCAATGCCTTGGCAGGTTTTTGCTAGCAGCAATGCCAAAATACCTTTACTAAGAATAACTCATTTATGCAGGGCTTTAAGGACCTCTCCTCTGGATAATCCTGGGAGGTAAATTGCTGAGTCTTCCCCCCAGACTACACAAACATCTGCCAAGAGGATAAGGATCTTTAAATCAGCCCTGACCAGGAAACGTCTGAGTTGGCCAAAGGTCACCCCATAATCTGCATTTTTCTCTAATGTGATCATTTTTCCAACTCATACAGGATTTCCATTGGTCCAACCATCCTTGTAAACAAATATCTCGGTACAACCTAATCATGCATCCAGGGAATGGATGCAGGGGCCAATGCCTACATTCTAATGATTGAAACATGTAGGACACACATGTACATATGTGCGTATGTGTGTATATACAGAATGCCCATGTAGATACACAAACATATGGGCATGTGTGTATGTATATATTCATATGCATATACATCCACATACATACATATACATACAATAACAGAGATTCAATACAAATAAATACAAAGTAGTTAAATATAAGGTAGTCTGAGGGGAGGGCACCAGTGGCTGAGGGGATCATGAAGGTGTATGAGCTGTGACTTGAAGGAAGCGAGGGATTCTGGGAAACAGAGATGAGGAGGGAGTGTACTTCAGGCATGGAAGACAGCCACTACAACAGCAGACGGAGTGTCTTGTGTGAGAAAGAGAGTACAGGAAGGTCAGTAATGAATAACTATACTGGACAGATAGGTTGGAACATGGTTATAAAGGACTTTATGGTTTATTCTAGAGACAATAGGGAGCCCCTGGAGTTTACTGAGCAGAGGAGAGATTTGGAGAGGTCTGAGCTTAAGGAAAATCATTTTGTCATAAAGATAATTGGAAAGGAAATCAGGAGATCTGGGTTGTAGGCCTAACTCTGCCACTTTGTGATTTGGGGAAATTCCCTTGGAATTATGAATCACAGACTCATTAATGCTGAAAATAATCTGAGAGGTCAGTGTTTCTCAAATTATACTGCAGATCTCCCATATTCCAGATCAACCAACAAGCATTTTTTTTTTGGTCAGGGGAGGGGGGGCAATCAGGGTTGAGAGACTTGCCCATGGTCACACAGTTAGTAAGTGTCCGAAGCCAAGTCTGAACTCAGATCAGCCTAACTCTATGGCTGGTGCTCTAGCCACTTTGACACCTAGCTGCCCCATCAACAAGCATTTATTAAGGATGTACTATGTGCCAGAAACTGGGTTAGGTGCCGGGGAAAAAGGGGAAAAAAGTGAACCAACAGGAGGGATACCACCAGCAAGTAGAGCCACCATGTTGCTGGGGCCATGACAACAAGACAACCTGATTCTCCAAAGAGAGGCCATTCATCCAGATTCCTTCCACGATATATATGACTCAAAAGAGGAGAGGGAGAGGAGTCTTCAGCTACCTGGACTATGCCAGCCTGCCAGGGAAACAAAAGATGGGAAGCCTGAGCAATCCAACAACCGGGTATGTACTGGGGCAATCAGAACAGGTGAGAAAGACAGACACAAACAGGAAGGCAGGAACAGAAAAGCTATGAGTCAGTCAAGAAAGAAAGCCATCACCCAGGCCTGTGAGGTCTGCTGGTGAGGGGGGATGGGGCAGAGGAGAGTACAAGGAAGAGAGAATGATCTAAAGAACTCTGGGTTGCCTCCTTCCGAGGGGCCAAGGAGGAGCGCCCGCTCCCACCGCCGCCACTTGTGGCTTGGCTTCTCTGACAAGGAGGAGAGCCCCCTTCTCAGCCGTGGCCCTGTTTCTCCCTCAGTCCTCACCTCTTATCCCCCTAGTCTCCTCCCTGATGTCCTTGATTCTTCCTGGACAAGTGAAATTCAATCTCTTTAATAACAAGCTGGATTAAATCTGGATACCTACATACAGATAGGCTTGCCTTTAAGCAATCCCATTATACAAAAGCTGCATTTATTAAAGACATATTAGGAAGTTCATTCCTTGTTTTACAAAAAGAATTTGGGCTCAAGGAATAAGAGTTGGAAGGAACTACAGAGGTCATCAAATCCATCCCCTTCACTTTACAAATGAGGAAGTGACTTGCTCAAAGTCACAATGGGAATAAACATCAATCCAGATTAGAACTCAAGTCTTCTCTCTCTCTCTCTCTCTCTCTCTCTCTCTCTCTCTCTCTCTCTCTCTCTCTCTCTCTCTCTCTTTTTGGTTAGGCAATGGGGTTAATTGACTTGCGCAGAGTCACACAGCTGGTGAGTGTTATGTATCTGAGGTCACATTTGAACTCAGGTCCTCCTGACTCCAGGGCCAGTGCTCTATCCACCCTGCCACCTAGCTGCCCCCAGAACTTATGTTTTCCAGACTCTAAGAACAAACCTTTGTCTACTAACTACACTTACAAGAGGATTTCCTTAAATGTTCTTTCCTGGTACATTCTAAATACTGGCTTATTTCTGCAAACATCTTTTCCACTTTTTTAGAATACAGCTATGACATACTGCAATGATCTTGCCCTCTCTGGGCTTCACTTTCCTCATCTATATTATACTCTCCGTTACAGTAGATGGTCTCTAAGATCGGGACCAGCTCTGAATCTATGAACCTATTTCGTGGGTTTTCACTATAACTCATATTTGTATAGTACTTTAGGGTTCCAAAGCGCCTTTTACATATATCAATTCATTTAATCCTCACACCTGTTGGTGTGGTCCAGTTAGTGGCCTTATGTTGCAGAAAATCACAGGCAGTAATGAGACCCTGGACCTCCGATACCCTTTATAATTCACCACGTCTCCACCCACTTAATTTTATTAGGATTTATTTTATTTTTTATATTTATATTTCATTCTATTTTATTGGAGATTAAATGTACAGAAAGGTCAGAATTAGGAAAGTACTGACACAAATACTGGCCTAAGTAGGGATTAGAAGGGGGAAGAGCAGGGAAGGAAAGGGCATGATGGGGAAGTGGTCATCCCTCTGACTTCCTACATCCTCGGACAAGTAGAGGAGACCATCACCTCTTCCCCCCCATCCCCCATCCCTCCCCTCCCCAGTATTGTGCAGAGGACTAGGGGGCTAGTAGACATTCGTTTTCGGATCTGCTGCGCCGAATAGGAGACGCTTAATAGATGTTGATCGTTGGACTGATCTAAAGGGGCGAGCTGCAGCAACTACTGTCCAAACCGAAGAGAAGCGAGAGATTTAGGTGAATAAAGTGTCGGACCTGGAGTCAGGAAGACGTGTTCAAATCCTGCCTCAGCTTTTTAGGCCTCAACTTCCTCGTCTGTAAAACGAGGATACAGACAGCGCTTGCCTCAGGGGGTGGTAGAGAGGCCCAAAAGAACTAAGGTCTCTAAAGCTACTCCCTGCGTCATCCCTTAAAGAGGATGGATAAAAAGCACTTACCTCCTCGGGCAGTAGGGGGGCTCAAAGGAGCGAACTCTAGTAAAAGCCCTTGGCAAACCTTAAGGCGCTCCGTAAACGTTAGCTGTGGATGTGACAGTGATCCCAGTGGCGGGGACTTTGGCTGGGAATGACCCGAGACAAGGCTCCGGTGCAGGCGAGCGCCCGGTCCGCAGGTAACCTCCCCCTCCCTCCCCCCAATCCTCCCGGGACCCAGACCCGCAGAGCCGGCAGGACCCTCACCCGATATTCGAGAATCTGCAGTTTCCATAGAGGAAAAACTTGCAGAGGTGCAGCTGCCCGCAAAAGCCGTCGCAAGTGGTCGAGTACGCCTGGCACAGCCTCGCGCCGCTGGCGGCCACCAGCACCCGCTTCTCCGAGCTGCTGCCGTCCCCTCCGCCGCCGCCCTGGGCTTCCCCTTCGCAGCTCCCCCCGCGCGTCCTCAGCACGAAGCGCCCCGGGGCCAGTTTGCGCAGCGTCTTCTCCAGGGCATCCTCGCTAATGCCGCCCGGGAGCCGCCGGGCCAGCTCGCCCAGCTCCAGGCTGCCCCCGGCCGCACACAGTTCCTTGGTGACCAAGCTGGCAAAGGCTGCCTGGGCCATGGCTGGCCTCCCTCAGCTCGCTCGCCCCAGCAGCAGCCGAAGCGCGCCCCACCCCGCCTTGGTTCGCCTTGCACCGGAAATGGGGGCGCGCCCGGAACCAGCTGGAGAAAGGCCGGGCCAGCCCCAAATAGAAACCGAAAGCTGTCCCAAGACAGGAAAACAAAACTTACCCCAAACCCAGTCCCCGAGCGAGATCGCTCAAAGTCAAGTTCTCCAGGGCTTACTAGAGGAAGTCAGGGCGTGGGGAGCAGCTGGAGACACAGCTCATTCATTTAACCAAAGGATTCCACCAGTCAACAAGCAGTTGTCGTTATTTATTAGTATATATTACAACATGCTTAACATGTGTTTGTATTATATGATAATTCTGAGTGTATTTCTCTTATATTGGCATATGATAATTAGCGATTGTTAACTACTGCATAATTATTTTATCATATAAAATATATCTATAGTATATCTTAAATTTTAATTTAAGTGCCTGCTATGTACCAGGCACTTGGCACATATTTTCTCATTTTATCCTCACAACAACCCTAGGAGGCAAGTGCTATTATTATCTCTCACTTTACTGATAATGAAACTAAGGCAGACCGGTTGTGACTTGCCCAGGGTCACCTAAGTATTGTTTTTGGGCACTTTTGAACTCAAGTCTTTCTGACTCCAAGTCCACTGACTCCATCCAGCTGCCTCTTAATCATGTTATCATATTATTAACAATTACCATGTGATACTATTTAAATATTATTTAAACAATACTTTAGTATAGTCATGTAAAATCGGGATTTTACATGTTGTGATCTGACATGAGGGTGAGGTCTCAATAGTAATTTTCTTGAAAATAAGAGGGTGACTGACTGGGCAGCTAGGTGCTGGGCCTGGAGTAGGGAATACCAGAGTTCAAACCTGGCTTCTGACACTAGCTGTGCAACCCTAGGCAAGTCACTTAATCCTGTTTGCCTCATTTTCTTTATCTGTAAAATGAGCTAGAAAAGGAAATGAACCATTCCAGTATCTTTACCAAGAAAACCGCACATGGGGTCAGATAGGCCTGAAATGACTCCACAACAAAGACTCAAAAACAACAACAAAGAGGGGTGGTTAGTTCTATTATTGAAAGCTACTATTGACTCAGTGACTCACTGTTCCTAGCTCAGCTTCTCAATCAGTGTTGGGGCAAGTATCACCCAGTCCCTAGATATGTCTCCAGACAAGTCACCCCCTACCGACAAATAGTCGCAGTCTTGTTATCCTGGGGAGGAAGCGAGATGCAAGGAGCCAACCTCTTTTGTTGATGCTGACATACCTGAATTGTTTTAAAATTACCTATAAAAGCTGGCCCCACCTCGAAGCAATTGCCAATCTCCAGTGATGGACATGTTGTTACCTCGATGTACTTATAATAAACTCCTTTTAATTCTCTGTCCTGAGCTTTGCTTTGTTAATCAGGGTGAAAAGCCCAAAGACTTTTCCTTTCATCTATATATATTGTGTGCAGCCAAGCTGCTGCTTCCATAGGATTTGATGTTTTAGACTTAAAATTTATCTGAGCACTATTGCATTTAAAGTCTTTCTTCACTTTCTTGACAAGGTCCAATCAATGATTTTGAAAGTCTTGTCCATTTTTACATTTCTTCAAATTTCTAATCCATTCTTTTTGAAAAGCAGATGGTGATGGACTGATAGAATGGTTTGATGGCCACTATTTAAAATATTATCCACTTCCATCTCAGCATTTTTGTTACCTCAGTTAAAACTCTCCAAAGGGCATCTACATTACCATGTTTTCTCCTAATTATTACATCTTTCTAATTCTCAAGAGACCTATTCTGAATTGGCTCTTTCTTCTTATTTTCAGTTTTCTGTTCAGCAGCTATCACTGAGGAGAACCTCATCTAAATTACTATCTACATTCTCCTCCCTATTACAGTCCCTGGCACTAACCCTTGCCGTGTCTTTAAACAAACAAACAAAACCTCACTGTTCTTATTCTTACCCTAAATCTAACCTTAATTCTCTAGCCCTGTTTTTTGGGGTTTCTTTTTTTGGTGAGGCAATTGGGGTTAAGTCACTTGCCAAGTCACACACAGGGTAGTTAAGTGTTATGTGTCTGAGGCTGGATTTGAACTCAGGTCCTCCTGACTCTAGGGCCAGTGCTCTAGCTACTGCACCACCTAGCTGCCCCCCCAGCCCTATTTTCTCTCCCTACTAGTTAACTATAATCACATCCTTACTCGAAGTAAAATATATATATATATATATATATATATATATATGGTTATATATATATATATAAATATAGAAGTTGCGTGGCTTAATTGATACCAAGCACCAATATTACTAAAGAGGTAGCACTAAGCCAGCAGCTCCTCAGCTGTCTGGGTAATCCTCTCAGATAGGCGTGGGAACAGGCCTTATTGGCATGACTGGGCAGAGCTTCCTAAATCTTTTTACAGGATAGCCCCCTAGTGGCTGCCAGTATCTGGGTTCCCCAACTCCACTGACGGGTTATAAATTGGAGCACAATACAGTCTCTTGTTGGTGCTCCTTGCACTTAGGAAGACCTGACTTCAAATCTAACTTCAGGTACATCCTAGCTGTGTGACCCAAGGCAAGTCACTTGAGAACCTCATTGCTTTAGTTTCCTCATCTATAAAATGGGAATAATAATACCACCTAGCTCACAGAGTTGTGCAGAGGAACAAATGAGATATTTGCAAAGCACCTAGCACAGTGCCTGGCACAAAGCAGGTGCTCTATAAATGCTTATTCTCTCCTCTTAAATAATGCAGAACATTTATGAGGGCCACCTCATGATGTGAGACAAAAGGTGAAGGAAGAGATAATGCCAGAAGGCATCTGGGTGATGGGATATAAGAAGGTGATAAAAGGGAGGTCTTGTAGTGGTCTCACCTTTTTCAGTAAACTATGAGGCAAGGTTCTTAACTGAGAGGTCTGGGGAGCCATGGGAGGTTTGAGGAGAGATGAAAAGATCTGGAAGAACTACTGTGGTGAATGAGATAGGCAGGTAACTAAGGAGGTATAGAAGGATTGCCTAGAAGCAGGGAACACTCTGTTTAGGTAACATAAATTTGAGTCTCCTGTGTACAAGTCTTTAGCTTCTTTTATTTCTTCTTCCTGACCATGCTGTTGTAGTTGAGTCCTTTCAGTCGTGTCTGGGCTCTTCATGACCCCATCTGGGGTTTTCTTGGCAAAGGTACTGAAATGGTTTGCCATTTCCTTCTCCAGCTCATTTTATAGATAAGGAAGCTGAGGCAAACAGGGTTAAGTGACTTGCCCAGGGTCACATAGCTAGTAAAATTTCTAAGACCAGATTTGAATTCAGGAAGATGAGTCTTCCTGACTCCAGACCGAGCATTGTATCCACTGTACCACCTAGCTGCTCTCCTGAACCATGCTGCCCATATATTTATTACTCAGCATCCTCACCTTCTCCCCACCTCCGCTTTGAAATTACCAAGTATCAGAATTCATGGAATTTGGAGGTTTTTATCCAGCTCTTCAAAGAATTTCTCTATCTTTTCATCCTCTTCATCTGATGTTGGTGTATAAACTGAACTTATTTAATGCTGGTCTTTTTACAAATATAACAACTGCAATCAGAGATAACCAAATAGTTCCATGAACCAATGTTTCTCTTTGCCTTTGGGCATACGATAAAAATTAACTGTCAACTCCTTTTCTTGTCTCTCCAAGTCTACTTGTAAACAACCTCCCAATTAGCTGTGACTTCTTTCTTGTGGTTTTGTTTACAGCAATGATGTTGACTGATATCATTTAGCTCCTCCAACAGCATATCTGCTTACTGGTCACTGAGCAGAAATGTTAGCACTTAGAATACCATTTTTCTTGTCTTTTTCATTTTCAATAGGGATAGAGGGAGGTGGAAGAGAGAGAATACAGATCTTATGCCCTTTCCTCCATCCTGCCACTATCATTGGGGGAAGGTGGAAGTGGAAGGGGTCCATAAAGGATAGAAGGAAATTATGCATTTTTCTTTGTTGCATGGAAAGCCATGGCCCAAGAATTTATGAGCCTCCTTGGTACTTAGCTCCCTGAAAAGCAAAGCCAATCTATTCCTGGGGGCATGACCAAAGCTTTTCCAACATGGTAGAACTTGCCAAAACTAAGGCTGGGTTGACATAGTCTTGGAGAATCAAGGATCATCCCATGTAGCGACGAGGCATTAAAGTAGAATTTTGTGGATTTAGTTAATTAAAATATTCTCTCTATTAGTGATTTTTTGTAGTGAATCAAAATAGCAACTGTTGTTTTGTTATTCTTCTATGATACTTACAAAGTCACCAGCTAATTAACTGAAATTTGTAAATTCCTCTCAGGTTTTATAACCTGATGATATTCATGCATTCATTCACTTATTTATTCATCTTATTCAACAAGAATTTATGAAGCACTTACTCTGTGCTAGGCACAGTATATATCCATGACAAAGACAAAAATGAACTAGTCCTTGACTGCAAGGAACCTACATTCTATTTGGAGAAAACAACATGTGCATAGAAAATTATATAAAAAATATGTAAGTAATCTCTGGGGAACAGGCCACTACATAATGGTAGATCAGGAAAGGTTTCATGTTAGAGAGGTATTTGAACCGAGCTTTGAAGAAGCTAGGGATTCATGAAATGGAGATGAAGAGGAAGTGAATTCCAGGTTTGCGGGACAGCCTCTGAAAATATATGTTAAAAACTATGCCTAAAGGACTATAAAACCATGCATACCTTTTGATCCAGTAACACCACTACTAGGTCTGTATCTCAGAGATTTTTCAAAAAAGGAAAAAAGACTTATAAATACAAAAATATTTAGAGCAGTTCTTTTATGGAGGGGATGCCCATGAACTGAAGAATGGCTGAACAAGTTGTGGTATATGATTGTGATGGAACACCTGTACTGTAAGAAATGATGATCAGAATGCTTTCAGAAAAACCTGGAAAGACATAAACTGATTTGAAGTCAAATGAGCATAACCAGAATATTGAATACAGTAATAACAATACTGTATCATGATTAACTGTGAATGACTTAGCTATTCTCAGCAATACAATGATCCAAAGACAATTCCAAAGGACCTAGGATGAAAAATGCTATTCGTCTTCAGAGAAAGAATTGGAGGAGTCTGAATGCAGATCAAAGCTTACTTTTTAAAATTTTATATTTCTTGGTTGTGTTTTCTTTCACAATATAGAGATATATTTTTGCATGACTGAACACATATAAACCTTATCAAATTGCTTGCTTTCTCAACGAGGGGAGATGGGAGAAGGAAAGGACAGAATTTAGAACTCAAAATTTTATAAAACAAATGTTAATAGTTTTTGCATATAATTGGAAGAAAATAAAATACTGAATTAATATTTTTAAAAGATGAAAAGGCATGGAAAAAAGAAGAATGTGTACAATACACAGTGGAGAAAAAGTAAGGTTAGTTTAACTGGAGTTCAGAGCGACGGGCAAAAACCCTTGAAGGGTCAGGTGGACCCAGAACATATATAGCTCTAATAGCCAAAAAGAGGAGTTGTTCTTTGTCCTTCCTTTTCAAAGAGACCGACATCATGATGTGATGGGTGATGTCTTGTCTTGCACATGAATTGAAGTGAGGAAGAGTTGCACAAATTAGTCAGCCTGACTCTCAGAATCATCGATGTCCAGTGGCAAGACAAAAGTCAAGATGACTGGCAATGGCCTGGGATGCAGTGGATGACCTTGGCATTTTCAATGTCTGACCAAATGCTAAGTGCACTATGGTGTCTGCCTCAGCTGTCTTTATAGAGATTGGAACAAATTATTCTCATCCTCCCATTCCCCTGAAGGAAAATTTCACACAGTCAGTGTAGACATCCTCTTAATTCACCAGTGGGTTTGAGGCCTGTCAGTTACCTTCAACTTGGTTTAGCTCATCTGCCAAGACAGTGTGGTTGCTGCATATGCTAAGCTTCTTGGAGCCATGGGTGAGAATTGGGTGAAAGGTGAACACCAAAGGTACATAGCAGCCCCAAAAAGAGCTTGGCAAGCCCTCATATCAGAGGTGCTAGTCCTCTCCAAGTACCTCATATACCCCTAAAAGTAATAAGGAGCTTAATGAGCAGTGAACTGACATGCTCAGATCTATACTTTTAGAATATCACTTTGGCAGCTGAATGGAGAACTGGGAGAGATCTGAGGAAGGGAGATCAACTAGAGCATATTACAACAATCTAGGGGAAGAGTGAAGACTTGTGCCTGGATAGTGGACAGGAGACAAAGGTAAGAAATGTTTCGGAGGTAGAATTATTAAGGCTTGGCAACTAAATAGGGGTAAGGATGAGTGAGTAGTCAAAGATAACTGAAGTTTTAAATCTGGGTAAATTAGAATGATCGTGGCATCTTTAACAGAAATAGGAAAGTTTGGAAGAAGATCGGGTTTGGCAAGAAAAGATGAGTTCTGGGTATGCTGAATTAGAGATACCTATGAGACATTAAGTTCAAAATGTGCAGTAGGTGGCTGGTGTTGAGACTAGAGCTCAGGAAATACACTAGGGTTCTAGGGACTAGGGATTACATATCTGGGAATCATTAGCATAAAGATGATAATTACACCCATAGGAGTTATGAGGTCACCAAGATGTAAAAGAACTAGAAACAATGGTGGATGCAGGATTATTTTTTAGCCTAAGGTAGTTTTAAACTATTTGAAAGACTTCCATGTAGAGGAGGCTTATTTTGCTTAGCCCCAGGAAACAGAACTAAAAAAGCCACCAGTGGGTGGCAGGTATAGAAATGTACATTAAGGTTTAACAGAAGAAAAATCTCCTAACAGATAGGACTGTCCAAAAGTGGCATGGGCTCTCTTGGGAGACAGCAGGATGATGACTCATTTCCCACCTAGCTGCACTACTTCAGGACTTCTCCACCATGCCACCCTGTCAGGTACCTTCAGGAAGCTTTGCAGCTTCCTTCTGTATGCCGCCTTCTCCATTAGACTGCAAGCTCTTTGAGGGCAGAGACTTTACCCGCCCTTAGCACAATGTCCGGCACATAGTAGGAGCTTCATGTTTATTAACTATTGAACATGTCAAAGAGGAGATCCCTATTTAAGTATGAGTTGGACTAAGAGAGCACCGAGGTCCCTTTCTACTCAAACTACAAATAATCATTAAACCTGCCATTCCCACTTACTGTGTCATTCTCTACCTTCCTACTTTGGTAATTGGTTGGATTTGTCATCTCATATGGGTACTTTCTTCACTGGTACAGATCGCAATTGATCTACACCTCTTCTTGTATGAACTTTGTCCAGGGGTTCCATACATGGTACAAATCCTCCACAGATAATTCACCCAGTATATCTGAAGCTTTCACGTGTTTTCAAGTGGTTATTAGATACCGAAGAATTTGAGGTTATCCACATGTTCTCTCTCACTCTCTGAACACAACCATCTAACCTGTTATAGTCATCCATGTCCTTGGTAATTTGTTGTAAGTGGCAGACCCCACTGTTAACATTCTGGGGCCTAATTATACCCACCATGTGTTTCTCCATTGTTCTTCAGTTCACAATTCTGATTATTAGATGTCCAGTGTTTAAAAATTTACTCCATATAGAAAGCATGACCAGGATGATATTTGTATGGAAAAGATGGACTTTGAAGTCAGGGAGCAGATTGTAATTACTGACAGTTGGCAAATTTCCAAACACAATCAAGCCTGGTTTTCCCTTATTTTGCTAGCATACCGTCCTTCTGCAATATCCACTCTAGATTAGATATATACATGTGTGTAGACGTACATGTATAGATGTGTGTATAGATGTGTGTGTGCATCTGTGCACATACACCCCAACTTAGTGAACTCCCACATTCAGCTTGATGTCACAATCTGGGCAAATGCATTTTTCATCCACTTGGTTTTTATTATATGGACTAACTGATTAATCTCTCGAGGGACTATAGTTCTTAGATGAAGCCTAATATGATTTTTTCCCCTGATTCTTTTGCAACCTTCTATTACTTACAAAACTGATCCGTGTGCCTTTAAAATTGTGTCACCTCTAATACGGGATTCTTCTGGGGCTATCTGATCAGGTTCAACTGTTGAACTGAATTGATTTCCTATAGTTTCACTGGAGTATAAGCTGGACAGATGGAAAGTGTTAATTTTTTCAGCTAGTGTGCACTGGAGGTGTTATCAGACAAGAAATAATACCTTCAACATAATTTAACCAATACTTTCCCTTCTGCCAACAGGGCTTTCAGGACTTCACAAGGAAGTGAAATCTACCCTCATAACACCAGTGTTCCTAAAGATTGGAGTCTTCATGCTCATAACTTGGCAACTCCTCAGTATGAAGCTATATATAAACTTAGGGCAGCTATCCCAACTAGCATTTAAAAGGTGCCTATTGTAGTGCCAGGCACCGTGCTAAGCTCTTTACAAATATTTGATTTGGTACTCACAACAACCCTGTGAGGTAGGTGCTGTTGTCCATTCCTATTTTTTCCCAGATAAGGAAACTGAGGAAAAGAAAAGTTACATAACTTCCCCAAGTTCACAAAGCTGGTAAGTGTCTGAGCCCAGGCATGAACTCAGGTCTTCCTTGCCTGAAGGCCCTAGCCACCTTATTGACTGACAACTATTACTCTTGCCTAGAACTACACTGACCTTGCAACCAGCAGCAACTGCCGGGGGTTCAGCATGTCGGGCCCCCATCGTTGGGGCGTGCCACTTACCCGTTGGATATGAGCTGGGCCACCAAAAAGAGAATTCCAGCGGCAATACCAGAGGTGACAGCGCACCACAGCACACCAGGACTGCCATTTTCTTTTCCAACTTCCCTTCAGGTTTCTACTTCAAACTGAAATCTCATTGGAGATCTCTCAAAGCATCTTTTGTAATTAATTGCTCGACACCCACATTAGAGTTAGCAAATCCTTTACACCAATACCTGGGGTATTACTGGCAACATTAAGGGATGGCAAGGGAAAAGAATAAAAGGAGAGGAGAAATGGAAGTCAGAGAGTTGAAGAGAAAGCAAAAATAAAAAAGGAAGAAAGGGCAGGGAGACAGTTCATGGGAGAAAAGAAGAAAGTAAATGTGATCAGAAGAGAGAGCAGGCACTTGAAGTGCCCAACCCCCAGGGCTGCCTACTCCAAACTGTCCTAATTTTTGAGATGTTATTAACTAGCTACCAATCTTCATTTCTACAATTCATATTAATATCATACTTCTGGCTTTTATGAGCTACCAGTTAACAGTAAGTCCCAGATCACTATCTAGAACGGAATAATTTATAATTCAATCCTCATTTAAACGATAAGGATCTGTTGAGTACACTATGCCTATAGGGATCTATGATATGCTTCACATTCCTCTGCCTAAGAGCTACTCAATTAACTGAAATTTAGTCACAGACTAGGCCCAATTAAGGGTTTTATTAACATTTAGGAAATCATCTGGTAATTTTTAAAAAATCTTAATTTTCAATGCTCAGAAATACTAAGATACATTATATCTGTGGTCACTTCCCACAACCCCAAAGAATATTCTCATGAGTCAGGAGACAGTAAAGGGGCACAGTCAGAATTGGAAATAGAATTCAGAATTTTTTCTTCCAAAGACACAGTTTACACAGCTTTCAGCATTTATACTTTCAAACAAAAGGAACAACAAAAAAATTACACTGGTGTGCTAAAATCAAAACAAAAAGTAATACCAATTTTAATCTCAATATCTTAAAAGTACAGAAATTGGAAAATATGAATACCAAATACAAATTTAAACATGTCACTTGTCCTTCCCTATGACCAACGTAAGCTACTTCAAAAACTTACAAATTTAAAGTAAAATAGAAACAAAATAAATACTGTACATACACTTTCCCTGCCTGCAGGCAAAAGATGGGAAATACTGTTATGAATTGAAAAAAACGTTCTTCACACTTCAGCATCCCATTTTCCAGCCAAACACCCACTTGCAACCCAGTGTGTTTCTGTAACAAAAGGACACACTCTGTGCACACACACTGACAACCTATACAAATAGACAACATACTACTCCAGAGACACCCAAAGTAAGAAAGAATAGCAACAGTCAACTTGGACCATAAAAATCATCGGGGAAGAAAAGGCAGTCAGGTTAGCAAAACATTACTACAAAACTAGTAAATACCATAGCCAACAACTGTCCCCTTTTAAAATTTCACAGATTAAAAAACAAAACATCACATCCCCTCTCCAAAATATCACCACAAAACCTGCTGAAGCACTGGCAAAGTCAAGTCATTTCACAGTAAATGTGAAAATTTGTATTATATAATCTCTTAAAGTGAAGCTCTCCACTCTCGTTCCACAGCATGAAATTATTATGGCTTAATTCATATTAAAAGTAGAAAAGTCTTTTCCAAAGGAAAAACAACTGCAAAGACGCAGATGCATTTCCTGATGCATGCTGTGACATCCCACCAAACCGCTGCATGATTTGTGATGCACCTCTCTCAGAACTTCTTTTTTGGGGAAAATGAGATTGCAGCTTTTAATGCAGCCTCACCTTATACTGTAAGGCCCTTAGTTTGGTTTAAGTTTCTTCTGAAAGATAAAACAGCTCTAGGGTTCATGTAATGAGTTACACTCAGGCCCCTGATTAGATAATGCGGAAGTAATGTGTAAGTATCTTAAATAAATAAAGGGTTAATCTTTAAAATTAGTATTAGAGAAAAAATATTTCAAGCAAGGGAGTTAACTCCTTAGTAGATAGTAGATTTACTGCTAGGAGCTCCCCCATAAAATCTGCCAAAGATGAAAATCATCTCTGGGTGATTTTATTCTTATAAAACCATTACCATAACTCACTGCGTTCTAGTCAAATATACCTTGAGGAAAGCTTAAACCTATGAAGAAAAGTGGCCGAAATAAAACCAGGAGAAGGTAAAATTTACACAGAAACTTTCCCTCTCCTGGGATCTTCTTCCTGAAGTAGCAGAGAAAAAAATAACGAATGAATGGGATATGACAAGTTGCATAGGTAAACTACTTGGAGGTCATCAAAGGCTACCTAGTAGCCAGGGTTTATTAGGAAAGTAGTGCAGAAGAAAAACTTGCTGGAAGATTCAGTGCTACTGGTTTCTAAGAGGTTTTACCCTCATTTTCACCTTTTCCTTATTAAGACACAAATTCTTAGGCAACTTAGGAAGGGGACAAGGTTTAAGAAAGAAGAGGGGGAAGAATATACAAGTAAAACCACAGTTAACCACAAGAGGCAAATTGCTTTATCGATACAGTTATTGTTGTTGTTAGGGTTGTTATTGTTTTTTAACCATTTTAAAGATTTTTTTTTTTACACAAGTACACCAAATGTTTGATTATTAATGGCATGGCCCCACTAGAAAAAGGAAACCTCATGAAAAAGGTAATCATTTCTCCATTTCAGTTAGGTTCAGTCCCCTAACTATAAACATTGAGAAAATTAAAATTGATCCTGTATCATTTTCTTATTGATCCTATTCATATGTAATTGATTTTGCCCTCTACTTTTGTCCTATAACTGCTTAAGTCATGGTTCTTTGTCTCTAAACTTAGTTCAGAGTTCAGCTGGCCTGTAATGGGTTAAGTTTAAAAATCTAGCTTTCTTACCTCAAGGAATTTAATTGACCGTGGAGAATGAGTGCTAACAGAAAGGGAATTTGGGCCTGATATCTTTACATCACCAAGCTATCCTTCAAGGATGTCTGGTTTGTGGGCCAAAAGTCTGGGCCACTCTCATACCTGGACTTGAACAAAGAGTACTTCTTAGTCTCATGAGAGAAGGGGAATTATTGCTAGCCCCCCGTTTCCAAACTTCCCAACAATCATGTTGTTCCCTGAACCTCAGTTCTGTTATCAACCATGTTGCCCTTAATTCCATGATGTCATCTACCCTGCTGTGTTCCTTGCTCTGTACTCCCCAAACCCTATAAAGGGAGAGCTGTCCTTTTGCTCGGGCTCTTTGGCATTAATGGAGGCAAGCCAGGGAATCATTTATTGACAGGTAGCACGCCCCTGTTAATCAAGGCTATCTTGCGTAGAGATCTGCCTCAGTTTCCCCTTTTGTTAAAATCTCAATTGTGATACCATGGTACAATAACGATTCTCTTACTCCTCCTTCTAATTTCCAGGATCCAAATCAATACAATAAAAAACAAACAGCTGATACAGCATGGCAAAATGGAAGGAACACTGCAGAAGGAAACTTTTAATCTCCATTATTAAAAGGTATTTAAGTAGCTGTATGTGGCTGATGGGGGGGGCAGAAGAGATTCTCTGTTCTCAGTTGCTTCATCTGTAAAAGGGAAATACTATACTTTTATCAGTTTGAAGGCAGGGAAGCTCTACCAATAATCTCCTACTGTGTTCCAAGTTAGTCTCTCTCCCTTCAGGCTCAATGTTTGCTAGAACAAATGAACTTCACGGCCTTTTTTTTTTTTTTGCATATTTATCTTTTGTTAACTACCTCCTCAAAATGAAACTGCAGTCATTCACCCATGGAGATACTTTTACTTTTGGCGACCATACAAAGAGTAAAAAAATTCTTCTATCAACTTTTATTAAGTATACACTCGTCAAAAGGGAGAGACCCTCAAAAAGACCACAGGGAAAAAAAGAGGAAAAGGTGGGGGGAGGGGAGGCTGATTATTTTAAAAAGAGTCCAGGTGTCTAACAAAATGTATTCTCCCTCACTAAAATGAATTTTAACTATAATGGGATCGGGCAGAACTATCTTTGCTGGTGTTCCTTCTAAATTCTCAACATCCTTGTTCTTAATAATTTCCTTAAATGATATCACAGTATTCAAGATGGTTTAAAAATCTAGTATTACCTTCACCTGGGAGGTGGGACTGACAGTCCATTTCTTCTTAGAAAGTTACTATACCTGTTCAATTATATATATTTTTTCAACAAAAAAAATCCAACTACCCTCTTTTCTACCTCAACCTCCCCTTCCCTCCAACTGAACATGAATACCCTAGTAACTGTTAAGATTTTTTAAACTACCTCATTATTCTTAGGGCAAATAGTATCATCTTTTTTCAAGAACTGTAACTATCTCTTTATGCAGCCTCTTACTAAAGATTTTTCAGAATTCTTTATAATGAAATTGGTAACGAGTTTCCCATCAGGAAATAAATGTTATGATCTGCATTATTTTCACTTCTTAAAAGTTTTTATGCTATAGTAAAAATGTGCCCATTCATAAAAATAGCAATTTTTTAAAATTAGTTTTAAGTTACAAACATTAAAATGATCAACTTTTCATAGTTCCTACTTCAAGTATTTCTGGGTTTGTTTGTTTTTTTCATTCTATAGTGGTCTGTCTCAGATTAAATTAATAAAACTGTGCTGTATTTTTCCCATGGATTCTTTCATTTCAGCAAGCCTAAAAATGAAAATGCTCAATAGAGAGATACACTCCAAGACAGAACTGTGGTTTCTCCTTTTGTACTCCTTCCCCACCTCAGAGTGCACACATGCAATACACAGCCAGTGTCTTGACAAATACCTTTTCACCTGGTGTAAACTAAGAGTACATTTGTTAGGAAATTGGTTATTGTAACTGTTTTTGACAGTCTCAGATTTAGAATCAAACTAAATATTCAACTAATGATAAATACGAATGGTTTCACCTTTATGTACAAAAATAGGCAGCTTATCGATTAGAAATTCCTTCTTTGCATATAATACTTTAAATGATACTGATCAAAGAAATGTTTTCCAGAATATTTCCAAAAAACTGGACCATTAGAAAGTTGTAAGTTGTAGATTTTACTACATTATCTACTGTTTAGTTATTAACCATCACTTCATGGTATAGCATTATTTGACATAAACTTAACAGAAGAAAAAAAAATCTACAAGAGAACTCAAACCATTATCTATTATCACATAAAAAAACTGGGTATCTAAAATCATGACTTGAAATTTGGGAAGCCTTGAGCCCTTTGCTTATGGCTAATTAATTGCTCCAAAATTATTCTACATGAGCTTGCTGAGCCCATCATAGTGCCTATGAACTATTTGCAAAAGCAGTGCTTTGAGAAACCATAAAATGTTTCTCTCACCAAGAATGAAAGTTTTTAAGACAGTTGCAAAAAAGGGGCTGTTGAAGATGACCCCACTGGTTCTGTCAAATTAAAGGGGAAATAATGGGATGGTCTCACAAAATGCAATTTTCTTGGCTGTCTCCGAGAAGAGGTGCTTGAGCAAGGCTATCTTTGTGCTAGAACTCCTCACTTCTTAGAAGGGCAAACTTTGAGCACTAGATATAAATACAGTATCTCCTTCAGATCTAAGCATGAAAGACCAAGAAACCTTGGCAAGACTCGATGTCCCTAAGGGACTTGAATAGGAAGTCAACAGAACTGTAACTACGGTTCCCCTTATTCAGAAACATACAATTCCCATTTCAGCTGCAGTGGTTAGTAGAGGCATCTTTTTAACTAAAGTATCTAGTTACTAGAATTACTTTGGGGATGGCGACTTGATTCTATTAAGTGAAGTTCATTTTCAGAATTTACATGCTGGCTACTCATAGTTATTTACTCATAGTCAAAGTATATAAAGGTTGAATATAGAATATGTATTAATCTATAAAATAATTGTTTGATTTTAGGCTATCTGGCTAAAGAAAATAAAGTTAGGCAGCTACAAATACCTATAACTGCAGATACAAATTAGATCAGCATCTAATCTCAGTTTTTAAAAAAAAATCAGTTTTAAAGTTATTTCTTGACAGGCAATAATCTATTTGTAATCTATCCCTGACACTAAAACACTGTCTATACAAAACCAAAATACTACTTCATTTCAGTGGGAGAAAAGATCAGTCAAACCAGTTTTTTGGCATCATGTAGAAAAAATAATCAACTAGTTGGCTTGATGAATAATTCAGTTCTCAACGAGTTGTTTTGGCATAGTGTGGACACAGCTTAAAATGAGCTCTTTATAGACATCTGACGTTTGATAGATTCTTCTCCCTGACAACCAGAAATGGATCAGTCTCGAACCAAGTCATTTTGGGCTTGGAATAACCAAGGAAGGCAAATTCATCAATCACCTATTTACAATTTACTCCTTTAAACTTTGGAAAGAAGATGGGATAAAAGAACTGCTACTCTTCTGAAAACGTAAATGTAAATCTGAAAGGAGACATAGATCTGCTTGTTTTAGCTCATCAGTAGAAATTACAGCACAAAAAAATAAGTCCGTCCTGCTTGCTGAATGAAAGTAACATGAATCAATTACATGGCCATAGCTCTTCATCATAAAAATAAAGCCTGTCCAGTACATTTGCCTAGACTTGAAATTCTCAGTTGGAACATATAAAATGCCCTCTTTGTCAGAAACAAAAACAGTTACTTTTCCACTCCAACATCAGATGTTCAGTATTTAAATTGTTACTAAAAAATATCAATTGAAAAATATAAGCTATTAACAAGCAACTGAAAATTGGTATCCAGTAAGAAGTGTGTATAAAGCAGACAGATATTTACTTTAAAAATTAGGTCTCATCTTCTTTATGTATTGGCAAAGTCAAGAAGGAGTAAATTGCAGGAGGCACCAACTTCATCTCAAACTCAGAACCAAAATCAATCTTAAAAGGTTACAAGATTAAACAATCAACCTTACTTCTTTCAATACCGTTGGCTCCTCTACAATTTAATATATTAGAAGCCTATTATGATTGATAGGTCTTAATAATATAGCTTTATATACACTGCAGGTCAAATCATACCCCCCCCAACAGTTAGGATATAATATTTTTTAAAACTTGTTAGAACAGCCTGTAAGGCAGGTGTTATTCCTGACTCCCTCTTCTTCTCCCCTTAACCCACCCCCCCCTTGCAACAAAATTACAAAAGGAACCCATTGTAGCTATAAATGTATTTAAACAAATACTAATATGACTAAATTACACCAATCATATTGTTCTTTTCTGAACAAGGAAAAGATATTAAATAGCAGTTTCTTTGGGACCTAACATCAAAAGCACAAATGAAAATTCAAGATGTCTATTTTTTTCTACCTAAGTAGAAAATCACAATTGTCAAAGTGAGAAAAAGGAGGTTTGGGTTTTGTTTGTTTTCTTCACAAGGTATTTCTTTTTCTTTCTTTTTTTGGAAAGCGTAGGATATTGAAGTTGTTTCCCTGTAAAACAAAGATTCTTGTTGGGTTGTCACAAAACGATGGACAGCAGAGAAAGAAGATGGAAAAAGGTAATTAACCTGGATGACAATATGCAACTTGGAAGTTAGAAAAAGCCAAGCTAATAGCTTATTTAAAAAAAAAACACCACAAAATATATAAAATAAAATGAATTTCATATACATCTTAATTTAAAATAATTAATGCATCAAATCCCTGTTTAAGACTTTAACCTGAATTTCAAATTTTAAGAGTTCAGACAAATTACTGTTACTACGGCTCTTCACCACATGTAACTCACGCTATCAAAAATAATTTAAAAACCTTCACATTCTTAAATCTAAATTAGTGAGATACTTCCCCACGAGTCTTCCAAATAAATAGCTTAAAAAAGAATTTAAAAGCTGTTAACTTTTTTAAAAAATCTGTTAAATAAATTATTGATAACTTTCTTTACCCTACCACTGAAAATAAGTCAAGACACTACCAACAACAAAATGATACTCAAGCCCTGACAAAAGACCAGCCCTAGGTTCCTGGTCTCTTTTAAAATTCTCCCCTCCTTCATCCTCCCCCCCACCAGGTCCACAATGGTTATTGCTCAGTGGGTGTGGCACAGTGAAAATGCAGCATCAGGTTCATTTTGTTCTTCAGGCAGTGTTTTATATTGTACATGCAAGTCTGCTTTAAGCAGAGGAACAGCAGAAGCTCCAGGCCCCATTGCCCTCAATACTGGTCTCCAAAGTTGAGAGTGGCAGCAAAAGCAGCTACCATCACACAAAGAAGCGTGCGTGGCCATTTCTGTTCAACTTCAGGATCTTCCCAAGGCGCTGCTTGGCGGTTGCCATTCCTTTCTTTGGACGTTTACCTACAACATATTAACCACCATGTCAACTAGGATTTTAAAGATGACAATTCATCAATACGGATTTGTTTTTTAAAGGAAGGGCAACATTTCAAACGTGCTATATGTTCTACATGGAAATGCCTATCATCTGAAATCAAAACATCACATGGACTAGGCAAACTAAATTACATTTGCACTACTAACACATTTTTCTTCTTCCAACAGATGATAATTATAATGCTTCTATAAAAATATTCCTTTTATTATGGACATTATTTAGATGATATTAAGGTGAAAAAGCACCTTTAGACTCACTTTGAAGATATAGCTGGAAAGACCACTAGGCTTGTCAGTAAACCTGATTTACCACTTACTAGCTCTGTAACCTCAAGAAAATCACAAAATGAGAATAATTCACGTATCATCATCAAATGAGATGCATCAAAGAGATACTATAAAGAAAGAACTTTGTAAAGTGTAACACAGAATATCATTAAAATGTGAGCTACTACTGTTTCAATTTTCTTATGAGAAAAATATTCTCTCTTTATAAGACATCAACTACAGTCATGAATGTTAATTTCTCAAAACATTTAATATGAGCTAGTTTTAAGAGGGTAAGAACTACAATGAAGAGCCTAAAACGCTCTCTGCACCAATAAAAAGTGAATTTCATGAAGACTGGTGTTCTCTCAGTGTATAAAAATATACCAGGTAGGACCCACTTGGCATTGTTAAGGGACATCACAGAACAAAGCAGATCCCAAAGCCAAATGGGTTCCTGTATTAGGGCAGGACTGATTAATAAATTGTCATGGGTACTTTTGTACTCTCGCCCCTGTATCATCCTACAGTGAGGGAGCTAGGTGGTGCAGTGGATAGAACACTGTTCCCTGGAGTCAGGAAGATCAGAGTGCAAATCTGGCATCAGATACTTAACTAGCAGTGTGACCCTTGGCAAGTCACTGAACTTCTGTTTGCCTCAATTCCCTCAATTGTAAAATATCGATAATAATAGCACCATCACAGGGTTGATGTGAGGATCAAATAAATTAATATTTGAAAAATACTTAGTCTAGCACCTGGTACGTGGTGCTATATAAATGCTTATTTTTCCTATGGGGTACACACAGCACCAGGGTTATAGGCTGGCTGATCTCATTGTCCAGTACCCATGGTCTGATAGATATGGAGCCCCAATCTGACTATTATACGTATTTTTTTAAAATACTCATGTCTATAAGTGTAGCACTCCATATCTACTGCTCTCATGCTCTTTCATCCATCTCTTATTTTTGACAGTTAAAATTACAAGAACTTTCTGTAGTATTTACTTAGAGTCTTTCGTCTTATTCATTCCTCTCATGAAGTAAAACAGATATTCTATTTTATATAGGAAGCAAGAAGAAGAGAATCAGAGCTGGAAGGCCCCTTACCTTTTGTTGCCTGGTTGCTGATGGGCGGTGGGTTGGATGCAGGTCTCTTGATTGGATGCAGCGGTAACGAAAAGGAAGTTTCACTCCCAGACCTTTCTGGGCTAAAACTGCTATTGCTTATCTGGCATGTGCCCGGCATGAAGCTTGGATTCTGTGCACACTTCCCATTTTGGAGGCTTGAACCACTGTTGTCTATGTAACTCCTACTTTGAACCTTCTGACTGAATTCTGGTGAACCTTCCTTTTTGATCTGTTTCTGGGCTTTACCTGGATCCTGCAGCCAAGGAAGCAAAACAGCTGAATCCACACAAGGAAAACGGCACTTGGGCTGGCTCATAACAAGAACTAGCTAGCTCAGGGATTCTTAACCCTTTTTGTGTGTCACAGAACTCTTAGGCAGTCTGATGAAGCCTAAAGATCCCTTCTCAGAATGTTTTTTAAACGCATAAAATACATAAATTACAAAGGACTTCATTTATATTTAGTTATCAAAATATACATATATTTTTAAATTCATGGACCCCAGATTACGGACCCCATGTGCTAGAACCAGGAGAACATACCACAACAAGCAATAGTGTAAGGGCACCTGGGTGGCACAGTGGATAGAGCACCAGCCCTGGAGTCAGGAGGACCTGTGTTCAAATTTGGCCTCAGACACTTGACACTTACTAGCTGTGTGACCCTGAGCAAGTCACTTAACCCCATTGCCTAGCAAAAAAACCAAACCAAACCAAAAAACAAAACAAGCAATAGGGTAACAATAATTAACTCTGAAAAGACTTAGTTCTATTAAGACAATGATCGACAATTCCAAAGGACCCATGATGAAAAATGCTATCCACCTCCAAGAAAGGGAACTGATGAAGTCTGAGTGCACACTAAAGTTTATTTTTTCACTTCATGTTTCTTGCTTTTTTTTCTGGCAACATGGCTAATGTGAAAATATGTTTTGCGTGACTTTGCATGTATAAGAGGTATCATATTTCTTGTCTTCTCAATGGGAAGGGAGTAGAGGGAAGGAAAGAATGTGGAACTGAAAATAAAATAAAAGAACAACAGAATTCCTTGTGCTTGCTATGGAATTATTACCAAAATAAAGGAATCTTAAGTCAAGACTATTCTAAATATTCCTGTGAGTTAAGACAGAGAGTTGTGACAACCTATGCTGATTACCTAAGTTTAGGGAATAAATATTAGAGATAATGAAACTTATTCCAATAAGGGCAACAATGCTCAAACACTCAATACGTCCCTGCTTCTGTGCTCTTATTAGTGACATCTTAAGTGCCAACTGTCAGGATAAGAATAGGGCAAAATAAACACATTACTATAAACTTCTTTAATATTATTTCTTAACACTTAATTTCCCTAGCTTGTAAACTTATGGAAATGAAGCACTCTGAAATCACAACCCAAGGGTGTGAATGAGCAAGTATGGTTAAGAGATTTAATTACTGACTCTGAAGCATATCTTAAAATAATTTTTTTAAAAAGTTTTATTGATACCTTTTCTTTTCACACCAGTCATTCCTAAACGTATTTCCTGGCCATTAAGCAAATGAACATTCTATTCTAACAAAGTCAATCAGTTAGGGAAAAACAACAGTCACTTTATCTGACAATATATAAAGCATATTTCTTCAATAAAGGAATTGGTACAAATGATATCAATGCTTTTTAAATATAATACCCATGCACCCCCTAAATATAAACACTTTGTTAAATATGAGATTTCTGGAATAAGTAAACCACACTTGTTGTCTCATAGTGAGGGAAATACTACTTACAAAAGGAACAAGTAAGAAATTATCTTTTGCATTTCTGGATAGGGGAAAAGTTCATAACTAAATAAGGGACAGAGAAGACCAAAGAAGATAAAATGTACAATTTTGATTATACAAAATTCAGAAGCATTTGCACAGATAAAATGAATGCCAACTAAAATTAGAAGGGAAACCATACTGGGAGGGAAAAAATCCTTGCAGCAAGTATTTCATTTCCAAGATAGATAAAAAATTAATTCAAATTTATAATTCCTCAATCAAAAGATATTCAAGGATAGATAGGAGATATCTAAACGAAGAAATCTAAGCGATCAAGAGTCACATGAAGAAGTGGTGGGGGTAATAATGAATCTGCTACCCATGCTTCTGACAGAGAGGTAATGGATACAAGATGAAGAATAAGACATATTTTTGCACATGGCTAACAAAGGAATTTGTTTTGACTATACATATTTATTACAAGATTTTTGTTTTTCTCTCTTTTTTCAATGGGGGTTGGGAGAGAAGATAAAAATAAATTTTTGTTACTGGAAAAATTAAGCTAAAAAAGTAGTATTTCCCTCTTAAGAGATGGAATTAATTTACAAATATTAATCATCTGTAGTATAATAAAATCTTTCCTCTTTTAAAAAAAATTTTATGATACTTTCGCTGATGTAAGAGCAAAGTTTATTAACTACAGATGATTTCTACATTATAACTAATATTAGTAAATTGTATTTCCCTTACTTCATTATAAAAGGACGTCAATCATTCTTTAGCAATTTGACTTTACTAAATATTACATTTCAGCTGTCATTACTATCAATATCATCATTCTTGCTATCACAAATCCCCATCCGCCATAACCCCTACTACTTCTTCAGGAAAATGAGGGCTATACTTCCCCTCTCCTCTTCCTTCCCTTTTCCCCAGAGTAAATAAACACAGATGAACCTGGTTACTGCTGTTGCCTTTTTTCATTCCTATAGTTTCTGACTATGTGATAAGATCATAAATGTAGGTACACATTATTAAGGCAATATCAACTCTAGTTTGGAGATTAGCAAGATTTCCTCATGTTTAAGTTATTCCAATGACACTGAAATTATGTTCCCCAGAGCTTAGGGCTGACAGTTTTTCTTACTGGTAATGAATGATAATGACTATGATCACTATTTCTTTTTTCTTTTTTTTTGTTACTGACAGTTTGTTTTATTTTATCTTATTTATTTTTGTATTCAACATTCACTTTTGTAAGATTTTGAGTTCTAATCTTTTTCCCCTTCTTTTCCTCCCCCCTCCCAAAGACGGCATGCAATCTAATACAGGTTATACATGTACAATCACATTAAACATATTTCCACATCAGTCATGTTGTATGATCACTATTTCTTAAGCACACATTTGCTTATTGAAAATTGGAGCAGCATGGTCATGTATCAATAAAAATGTAGCTGTTCAATAATGCCTATGCTGTAACATTTTAATTTCCCAAATCTCATAGTTACTAATCACCTATACCACAAAAGTAAAAATCTAAGTAAATTATAACTTTGTAGTTTCTTTAAAAGTGCCTGGCACATTGTAAGTACTTAAATACTTGTTAACTGATTAACTGAAAAAAAGCTCCAAAATTTGGACATACCTGAGAATTAAACCTGGAAGTCGTAAACTGCCTGACCCAGGATGAAGTCCCCAATTCTTGTTCCTCTGTCTTAATGTGACCTAAAACCAGAAGTTTTAATTAAACAACAAGACAGAACTATCTTTTAGGATTTCAGAAAATGTTTAAAATAGAAAACAATCTGTACTAATGTTATATTTATTGTATATTAATAAGTCAGCTATTCATTCACATTTTCAAAAGAAAATGTCCTTTTATTAGGGTCGCTACGCAACATTCAAATTACTTTGTCAGTTCTCAAGCTGGATTACAACTGCATGAATCCACTGAAGCCATCTACTGACAGTAGAAAAGAACAGAGAGATTTACACCATTAACTCCTATATAAGAGTTTTGTGGTATTTCCTGAAAGAGTCCTTCTTATGAATGTGTAAAATATTCGTATAAAAAAATAGTTTCTGCAATTTGGGAAATGAGCATTTACCCTAAAAGAAGCATAGGAACAAATAACATTATTTGGAGGGACTAATAATTTGGCTTTGTTTTTTTCCAATTTACTCTCAGGTAGCACTTCATCAAGAACAAAGAAGGGGGTATTGAGATTTTTAGTTACCCTCTCAAAAAAAAAAAAAGAAAGAAAAGAAAAGAAAGGAAAAAAAGGAGTCTATTCCCCATGCCAGGCAAACCATACATAGTATGAAACCTGAATTGTGTTATTACTGACATTTCCATAATGTGAAATGACTTTCAAAAGATTTTTTAAAATGAATACAAAGGAAATGAAGAAAGCTATCAAGAGCTCAGCAAATTGGTTTTTCGGCCTGGACTACCAATCTGGCTTACTTCCCTCCTGATACTCATCAATTCTGAGAAGGATTTCTTGACAAAAACATCCAAAAGCTTAGATGTTCACAATAACCAACAACTTTGGGGATCTTCCCAACATACACATATACAATGATTGTTGACAGCACTGAAATAAAATGATGAAGATCATTCTCAAAATTATTTAGTTCAGCTGAGTTACTGGCCTCGTTCTTCACATATCTTCTCAAAATATTACTGGTGTATAAAGAGTAGTAAACAGGAAGAAACTGAAGAACTGAAGGGTATGTTTTTGCTACTGAGAACTACTGGGTAAAAAAAGTAACCTGCCAATTTCTGGATTACTCCAGTTGAGAAGACCTAAAGTTGTTAAACTATTCATTGTCCTTCAAAAATGTAACCAGTGATGAGCTGGCATAATTGGTAGGATTTTCTATTTCTGTAGGAACAGATCCATATAATTAAGGCAATCAGTCAGTCAACAAGCATTTATCCAGTGCCATGTGCCAGACACTGTATTAAGCACTAAGAATACAAAAACAATCCCTGTCCTCAAAAAGAATACACTCTAATGGCGGAGATAACATGTAAATAATTTAGTAAATACAAGATATGCGTTAATCTATCTTGAGAAGACAGAAGTCATACGGCAGTAACTGGATCCTTCTGCACAAGGTGGGACTTGAGCGGAGGCTGGAAGGAAGCCAGACAAACCATGAAGTAAAGGCAAAGAGATGAAGATGGAGCACAATTACATCCAAGGAATTACATGGTAGGCTAGGGTCGCTGAATTGTAGATTGTGAGAAGACTGAGGACTGGAAACACAGGAAGGGATTAGGTTCAGAAAAACTTTAATTAGCTGATTCTGCTGCTAACAGGAAGGCATCAGAGTTCAATGAGCAGGAAGAGGATTTGGGGAGAAAACTGAACAACATTAAAACCGGGAACCTGGCTGACTGGGAAGATGGTGATGCCCTCCACACCAATGGGAAAGTTCAAAAGAAGAAACAGTTGTGGGGAGAAAGATGGATTCTGTTTTGGACATATTAAGTTTGATGTGCCTAAAAGACATCCAGAGTTTGAGGCAGCTGGTAATGTATGATAGTAACTCAGGAGAAAATCTAGGGGGCTAGGCATATGGATCTGAGAATAACTTGCATAGAGATAACTGCTAGAGTCACTTTGGCTGTAAAACTGCATAAAGCTATGCCCTTTAATCAACTCATCTCTTAGAGGCTCATATGTCTATGTGTGGTATCAAAACAAGAGCTGTCAATGACTTTTTAAAACATGACTGGATGGGGCAAAAGCGTTAAGAAGGAAGAAACAGTCCAAATTAATTCCAAAATTAAGCCTCAGTGGCTGGGAAAGTGGTGATATGAATGAATGAATGTGTATTCTTTAAGCAGTTACTATGTTCAAAGCATGGTGCTATGTTCTGGGGATACAAATAGAAAAGCACAATAACCAATCTTGCTCTCAAAATGACATTTTAATAGGGGAGATAACTTACAGAAAGGCTCAGATGCAGGGTGGACAGAAAGAAAATCAGAAAAAGCAGTATTTAGAAGGAAGATGATGCGTGCATTTTTGGAAATGTTGAGTTTCACTAGTTTTGAAGATATCCTGGTGACAATATGTGCTTGCTTAGGAGAGGTTGGGGCTGAGGAAATCACATGCAAAGAAGTGATCATTGAAATCACAGGACTGGCTAAAGCGGCCAAGAGAATATACATGAGGGAGAAAAAGAAAGTTAAGGACTAAGCTTTGCAGGGCACCTTGAAGTAGGGCAGGAGGAAGAACTTGGAAGATGAATTAGCAAAGCTGAAAAGTCAGTCACATAGGAAAAGAACCAGAAAAAGCAGTGAAAGCAGTGACAAAGGGTGCAAGGAGAAAAAAGATGGTAATCAACAGTGTCAAATGCTACAGGAGAGTCAAGAGGGATAAGAACAAGGAAAAGGCCAAGATCTGGTATTTAGAAGGTGAATGGTGACCTGCACGAGAAAGTTGAGTAGGTTAGTGTGCTCTCCAGGTTGTCAAGGGTTATGGAGTGACTTGGTAGTGAGTTCTGACTACTTCTTCTACAAGTCTAACAATGCAGGAGAGACAGTATGCTAGCTTAAGAGGCATCCAGGTCAAGGGAAGGGTTTTTTGTTTGTTTATTTGTCTTAAAAAATCAGAAGGGAAAAGACAGACTAAGAATTTGAGAGAAAGAAATGGAATGGATGGTGGGGCAAGGTCCTATGAAAGAAAGAAGGGGATATTTGGCTTTGACAAATACAATACAGGATAAAGGTAGAAATGTCAGCTTTGGTAACCTCATCCTTGAGATTACAAGAAATGAACCATTTTGCTGGAAACCTGGAATCTAAGAATATAGTTATTATCACGTCACTTTGTTTTCTATGTCCTCTTGATTCTGCCCCTACTTATTTAGCAATTGACATAGATAAAGCTGGAACTGAAAGGGAATTCAAAGGTTGACACGTGTGACTGGTATTTTAAGAGCCTGTACCAATATGACTGGATAAAGCATGACTCATGACTTTCAATCAAAACTGGGACTATTGCTCTATGAAGTTCAGTTGTATGTTGGCTCAAAGATCATTATGACATTGCTTACCACATTCCACTGGCTTATGGGACTGATACAACTGTCTAATGTCATGGTTACTCCTATGGCAGCTGTTGTGTTCCTGAAGAGAGCTTCTTTCAGCTTGGTAGTCTGTGCTTTGTATCTGCCTCGTTAAGCAGGTAGTATAGTGCAATCCTGCCATAGACAGCATGCCCTGAATAGCTTCTTCCTCTGTGCTGGTCGAGGTAGGACATTCCCTAAAAAGAAGCAACACAGAATAAAATCTTGATTTCTTCTTTGAAATGTCACTACACTCCAATACAATAAAACCCAATCCACACCAGAAGGCCTACCTTTTACTTGGAATTTCATTTTTAGATGGCTTCTTGTTAGTTTGATACACGTTCATCACCATTTCAGATTGCTCCTTAAAATTTGAAGATATTTTTTGTTTCTTTTCATCACCTGAGCTTTCTGATTCTTCCCTGGTAAAATCATTTTTCTATAACAATAAATAATTTAATGAAATATATATAAAATATATGAAATTTTTAAAAAGTATTGCTGAGAACTGCAAGCTTCTGGACAACAAACTGAAAATGTTAGTGCACACAGGTGGCATTTTTATTACTGCTGTGATAGAGGCTGATAATTCAGAAGTGGAAAGCAGATTTGAGAAGTCACTAACTAAAAAGGTGAAATCTGAAAATGTAATTTAGATTTACGGACCGAACCTAAAAATAGAGGAAAGACAGGCTTTTGGCCAGGGATGGAGCATGCCTAACAAAGGCCAATAAACATACATTTACTAATCTTATGGAGCTGAACAAGAAGGACTTCAACTGAAAATAGAGACTATGGGGAAAAACTGTCCACATCCAACTGCCAAACTAGATGTGATTAAAAAGTACATTTCATGACACATAAAGAAGGCTAACAAGAGTCAATATCCAAAAAGATCACCAGAAATAAAACCCACGGCCTTAGACATCACCTTCCAATCACTAAGTTTACAACCTTAACAGTAATAATTGTCTCTGCCCTCTATCACCTCTCATATTCTATTATTTAAGTCTTGTTAGTTCAACTTCTACAATATCTCATCTCCAGCTTCTTCTCTCCACTCACACAGCCTCTACTTTAGTACAAAACCTCATCACCCTTACACGTACACGAAGTTTTCCCTGTTTTTATACTCTCTGACTTCCACTCCACCCTCTACACTAGGTGTCAAACTTGACCTACAATATGTGTAAGAACTAGATTAAAATGTAACTGGAAAATGTTTACCAAAATAAATAAAAATACAATAAAACAAAGATAATGTTAATTTGTGATCTGTTCTATTTGAGTTTGATATCACTGTTCCACAGAGCTGCCAAATTCATATTCCTAAAACACACATCTTCACTCTTCAACTTGAAAATTATCAAAGGTGTTTTAATTACTCTCGAATAAAACGGAATATAAATTCAAGATAAATGAGGGACAGGTAAGAGGGGTTCAAATCACCAAACCCAGATGAACTACATCCAGGACAGGAGAAATATGATTGTCAAACAACTACTGGTGATCTTTGTGAAAATGAAAAGCATAAAAATAAATGCTATCTGGATTTTTAAAAAATAAAAAACAGTAAAGTTTCTATACTACCGGCTGTCCAGCTTGCCTGATTCCTGAAAAATTCTAGAAGGTATCATTAAAAGAGAAAGGGAAGATTTCATCAAGAAGTGGTCAGGCCAGAATAACTTAATTTCCTTCTGGACAAGATGAAGAGATGTACAATTAGACTGAATGGCTAGACCCAAAGAAAATTATATTTAGCAGCACAAAACATCACCTATAGAGATCACTAGTAGAATAGCTCAGCTACTTGCCAGTGACGTTTAACATGTTCATCAATCACATAAATTACAGATGTAATGTCTGTCAAATTTGCAAACAACATCAAACTAGACACAGTAAATAATAGAATTAGCATCCAAAAAGATCTTAATGGGCTAGAACACAGTGCTGACTCCAATAAGTTGAAATTTAGTAGGGCTACATGTAACATTCTACAATTTGGTTATTAACTATATTAAATGAACTGAACAAAGTAAAGGCTAGTAGGGAACACATATTAAACTAGAGCTCCTGTGAAAAAACATCTGGGAAACAGTGCAATGAAAGCTCATAAGGAGGCCACAATGTAACATGGCAGCCAGAAAAGCTAATATGATCCTAGGTTAAAGGAAAGCATGGTATCCAGAGCATGGAAGATGAGTTTCCTTGTTTACTGCCTTAGCAGACCACATCTGGAGTACTGTGTTCCACACCAGGCACTTCATTTTAGGTAGGACATGGAAAAGCAAGAAAGGACAGCAGAGAACAGCCAAGGTTGATGGGAGGACTGAAAAACAAACCATATGAGGATCAGTTGAAGGAACTGGGGATATTTAGACTGAAGAAGAGAAAATGTGGGGGATCAGGAGAGATAGGATAGTTAAAAGGTAGAAAAAAAAGAGGACCTGTTCTGCTTGGTGCAAGAGAGGAGAACCAGGAATAAGCACTGGAAGTTGAAAAACACATTTTTGGTTCAACGTAAAGAAAAACTCCCCACCAATTCAAGCGGTCCAAAAGTGGAATGGGCTGTCTCAGGAGGGAGTACACTTGCACTTCCCTTCTCTGGCTGAAGACCCGCCCTTGTCAGGGATATTACAGCAGTGACGCTTATTCCTGTTGGACTAGATCTGATGACCTCTGAGCTCCCTCCCAGAGCTGAGATTCTGTCACTTAACTTTAATTCTGTCCAAATATATGATAATTACTATAAAATTATATTTAAAATGTAATGGTAGCCTGACAGTATTCTTTTATGTACAAGGGAATCCTGAATAAGAAATTTAAAATAATAATTAAGAAAAAGAAGAAAACAAATAAAACTCTGTTTTCTTTAAGATAAAGTTTATAGATAAACCTGATATAAAGCTATATTTAGCAGTCTTAAACATTGGATTATCATCTATAATTAATGCCACTGTCCTAAAAGTCAAAAATACACACCTTTTGGAAAGCACAGTATTTATCCTCAAACTGAGATAAGATGGTTTCATTTTGATCTTCCCCCGTCCCCAATATTTCCTTTAGCAATGCAAAAGGTTTTACCTGAACAGTGCAATCAGGCCCAGATTCCTCTGAATCAGAAATATCAGAATATTGTGAAGATCCATTTCTAAGTTCTGATTTCACACTTTCAAAAAACACTGGAAGAAAAAAGAGAAAGAGAATAGGAGTCATCAAAATATTTCACACTTTAATTTGCAAAAAAAAGGTCAATGTTCATTATAGATCTCTTATGTACAAAGCTGTATCCTAGGTATAAAATTATCTGGCATGCTTAAATCTGAAAATACACCTAGCAAAACAAAAGAACGTACCATTAGGATAATGGTAGCCCAATGTGGTAGAGCCAGGAGATTTTCAAACTAGTTTCCAGGAAGAAACTAAGACAATGTGAAGCTAAGACAATGAAGAGAACCGTAGTTCCACCCTTTCTTATTTTTACAGACTGAGGTCCTGATAAGTTAAGTGATGAGCTAGTTAGTGGTAGAATTTAAACAAAACTCAAGTCCTTCTGGTTTTCCATCAATTCTACAAAGAATCCCATGTAGTAGAGACTTCGTTTTAATGGATATAGCTATGTTTCCATTTTTATGGTGTTTTTATTCAAGAAAGAGATATCAAAACTCTTAGGTATTTCTCTCTACCACCCTATCGACTTGTTGCTAATAGTGGAGGGTTTGTCAAGTATTCAAGTAAAAAACATTTTAGTACTATTAGTACATACTGTTATATTCTAAGAAAGCCTTGATTTTAACAAGAAAAAGGTTTTGGGTTTGTTTTTTTTAATGATTCTAGATTTCCATTTTGAATTATATGAAACTGCTTCTCATCAATTAAATCATTCATCAAGAGCTAACTGAAGATAAAAATTCCAGACTAACCTACAAACCCTAATTCAGAATGGAGGAATCTTACTAGGAATGCATTATTATGTTTCTAAATAGGCAGCTAGTTTGAGGCTTGCCAGCATTAAAAAAAGAAAAGAAAAAAAGAAAAAGAAAAAGTAGTATATATTTCAAATATGAAGGGGAAAAAATATCAAAGTTCTGTTGGAATTGTTGGAGAGAAGTTCCTGGGGCTTGATGAGATCAATAGGAAATTCAGCTCTTCAGGATGGCTAGAGATATATGACCAGCTGTGAAGCTGGGGGCCTGGGGCTCAGGAATGTGTACTGGCTTTCTCTTCGCCCAAAGGAAGCAGCAAAGTAGAAAGCCCACTGACTAGAGTTAGTAGACCCCAAGCTCTGTCTCTAATTAGCTTTGTGATTCTGACAGAGTCACTCAACCTCTCTAAGCTACATTAACTGCCTTTACTTTCTCACCTCTGGGTTTACCTTTTAATCTGGCTTTTGTCCCCACCACTAAACAAAAAATATTTTTTCCAAGGGCACCAACTGCTTCTTTATTGCTAAATTCAGTAGCTTTTTCTCAGGCTTCATCCTTCTTGATCTCTCTGTGGCACCTGACATTGCTGACCAACAACTCTCTCTTTCTTGCTCCTCTCTCCTGCCTTGGTTTTCTTGGCACTTCTCTGGCATCGTCCTCTTCTACCTGTCTAACAGATCACTCTAAGTCCTTACATCACCTCTGCTATGCTGTTCTGTCCAGATTCCACTCCCTTTCTCTCCTCTCTTGGTGATGTGCTCTGCTCCCATGGATTCAATCATCTTCTGTATGCAGATGACTTCCAAATCTAGCTAGCTGGCCCATGTTCCTTTGCTGGACTATAATTCAGCACCAACAGAGTCTGTTAGATATCTTCACCTCAGTGCCCCAGAGAGATCTCAAACTCAACCTGTCCAAGACAAATACCCCCTAATTCACCTGTTTTCCTAACCTCTTTATTCCTACTGATGGCACCTTCAGTTCTTTCAAGTAGCCAGATTAGCAAACTAGAAACATCCTTCATTCCCATTCCTCACTCCCTCCCTTCCAATATCCAGTCATTTACTAAGTCTTGTCAATTCTACTTCTTCAACATTTCTTGAACCCATATTCTCTCCTACTAGTTGATTTTACCAAATCCAATTTCTTCCGTCTCCAACATGCACTCTACAAAGCTGCCAAATTGATATTCCCAAAGCACAGGTCTCACCATGTCATTTGTCTGTTCAAGAAGTTCCAGGAACTGCTTTTAGGTTAAAATACAAACTCCTTCATGAACTCTAAGCTCTAGCCACACTGCTCCATTTGCTCCTCTCTGTACATGACATTCCATCTCCCATTTCCTCTCTGAGTTGCTCTCCCTTTCCACTTCTTGGAACTCCTAGCTCCCCTGAAAAAGCCTTAAAAACAGTCATCGGCACAATGGACAGACTGCTGGAATGGAGTCAGGAAGATCTGAGTTCAAATTTGGCCTCTAACATTTACTAGCTGTTTGACCTCAGGCAAGTAACTTAACCTCTGTTTGCATCATTTCCTCATCTATAAAATAGAAATAATAATGGCACCTAACCTCTGAGGATTGTTATGAAGATAAAATTAGATAATATTTGTAAATTTTAAAGCATATACATGCTATTATTATTATTATCACTATCACTATTATTACCACAGTTAATATTCTTCTACAAAGTAACTACTTAATTCTTGGTAATCAACAAGATTAATAAACCTTAGTTTTCTCATCGATAAAATGAAGGGAATGGATTACATGATGCCTAAAGTTCTAAATCCTAAGCTCAAAAATCCTAAGATGCTCCTGCTATCGTTTTGTATACCTCAAAGAGGTTCCAGGCCACTCTCTCAGTTTGCAGCAGCTTCTATTGTGCCATAAGCTAGAAAGTATGTATCTAAGTTTTGTAGTATTTAATGTTAAAACTGAATAAAGACTGCTCTGAGCTGGGGAATAAAGCGCATGACTTCTGTTCTATGTTTCTATGACAGTTATATGAAGTTCCCAGAGATCAGTTTTTTTTTATTTGGGAGATGTGCTGAATATCAGATAAATGAAGTATAACATTACAATGCTGTATTAATAAACTAGCACTGCATATGAATGTCACAGTACATTGTTTCTGGAAACTTTTAAAGCTTTCTTACTGCTAAAATTTATATAATTAAACGAAAAGTTTGTCAACTAATGATGAAGCTGCCAATTAGATTCAACAGTTTGATCCAACATTATTTATTTCTTCAAATCTATCATGTCCCCAAATTCTTTCCAATTCTGAAAAGTCTGTGTCGAGTTTTTTTTTTAAAAGATGAACTTTTAATAACCGCTTTTATCAACCTATTAAATCATTCAGTTACAAAGTAGCTAGAGGGGGAAAATGAAAGTTCTGTGAGATTTTTCCTTAAAATGGGGGGAGGGGGGATGGAGAATCCTTTCCCTATATAAGTAATATATGGCACTTCATTGAGACGCTAGACAAAAGTCCTTCCCTAAATAACCCCAAAGCAATGAATCTGTCTAAAACAAAACAACCAGATTTGATCCAATTTTGTGTCAAGGTCCACTTTGTTACTGCCAAGAATTTTTTAAAAATTCAAAGTGTTAACTCATGGCTTAGTCAAATGAATTTGCTAAATTTATCTTTCTATTATTACTGTTTATTCTTTACTTTTACAGGTCTGTGAGCTCACTGATATATGTCCTAAGATGGTATAGATTGTAATAAACCTATGCCATGTTGCCCTGTACAATATTATTCATTGCTTTTGCAATGTGACTCTTTTTCTGTTCATATACGTCTCTGAAAACATCTTTCATAAATCTACTTCACCCACTCAGTTCTTTATCGGGTTTTTGATCCTTCCATGTACATCTCTACTGTCCTTTGATCTGCAATTTTGGAAACTTTTAATTCTTTGGAAGCTGTGTTATTTCATGATTCAAAATCATATAATATTCATTGGAAGAATATTGTAAAATAAGATTAGCCACTGTTTCAGAGACAAACAAGACATCATTTAAAAAAACTGGAACTTCCCATTAGCAATTCAGTCAACTTTCCTCTTCTGATTTAATTCTGGGTCCAGTTCATTGTCCAAACATAGCGTTTGCCCAAAACATACATAATGATGGACAAGCTGTATGGGTCAAGAATCCAACTGCCTATCATAGTGTGGGAAATAAATATTCTTTGCTGACTCGGTTTTCCTGTTGAATAGTTAGGCCAAATTCTTTTGAGTGATTTAAGATATCACTCAGAATGCACTAAAACGTTCTAAGGCTTAATGCAATTGGTACAATGTAATCCACAGATAGGAATATCTGGAGGCCTTTACCATCAATTAAGAAATTCTTTTCAATTCAGACTCTGTGCTGGACATCTTTGAAAGTAGCAAACACCTTTGTTGACTAGACGTCCTTTTTTATGATTTGCTTAAAAATTTTAAAAAGCACACATTAAAAAATAAGATTAACGAAATGAAAATCTCAGAAAACACTGAAAGACCTATCAATGGCATCATCATAACCTAGCCAAACTGGACTTCTCTTTAGTGGCAAAGCATCTCGATGTCTTTGCATGGGCCATCTCCTATGTCCAGGCTATCCTACCCTCACCTCTCCCTCATGGAACACATAACTCAAGCACTACTTTCTACATAAAGCCTTTCCTCATCATCTAACTGCTGGTATCTTCCCTACCTACCTTGTATTTATTCTCCTTAGATTTATTCTGTATATATTTATCCATATGCTTGTCTCCCCAATGGAATATAAGTTCCTTAAGAGCAGAGGTGTTTCATTCTTCATATTTGTATGCCTGGTGCCTAGCAGGCACATAGCAGAAGCTTAATAAATGCTTGCTGATCCACTGCTTAATATACTTTGCCTATAGGTAGTACAGAAAAAGACTGGGAAGATTTGGATACATGCAGACTACTGGTCACTGCAGAGAAGAACTAAAGTGAACAAGTTACATTATGAGAATAATGTAAATAATGGTAAATTATTTGTAAATTGTAAATATGTAAATAATGCAAAATGTCTGGGCAAAATGCTAGGCAACCAGTTTTCAGTTTTGTACTTAAACAGTACATGTTTTGGGATTCCAATACTAGAAAAAGACAAGGAAAGAGAGCCAGGATTATACAATTTGAGTGCATGCACTAAAATATACTGGAAGCATTGGCCATATTTCAATAGCTTATGGAGAAAGTAGAAACATGTGATCTCCCAAAAGCATTGCTGCACCTAGGTGGTCTCACTGTCTTTAGAAAGAACTTAGAGGAATATGGGGAAAAACTAATCAAAGTATTAGAGTAACTGGAAGATACTAGTCTGATGCTGTAATCTGAGAAGGGTCAAGTCTGCAGAGCCTCAGCCAAGCAAATGGGATATGCTGTGTTTCAACAGGAAGTGAGCACCAATCCAGTGAAGATAGACTCACTTATCAGCTGACCACATCCAAACAGCCTTTGATAACTCAAGACTTTTCTGGGATTTAGTGCTTGCTACTGGAAATTTTTAAAGATCGTGCTATTACCATTAAGTCACTTAATCATCTCCCTCATTGGGTATATGATCAAGAAAGATCAATATGGACTGAACCCTTTAATACCATTTGGAGACTGTTGTGATGTGAAATGTGAACAGGATTCTATGGACTTGGTCAGGTGCCTTATATATGTACTCACGCTGCACAATCATGCTAGCCAGGAAAGCTTAGGAGAAATCTTGTACTTACAGAGTAATCATTCACCAGAAACAAATCGCATTTGCAGTAGAGGATTTACTAAGTGTGAAATTTACTGTCCCTAACAAAAACTGGAGTTCTTGGCTTTGAAGTGGGTCACCCTTGAAAAGTTCCTAAACTATATTTATGAAGCACGATTTTAAATGTGGAGCAAAAACAATCTACTGATATATTGTGACCAGTGCTTACATGGATACTAATTACCAGAGATGGGCACCAGTATTAGCCAACTATGAATTCAGAATGTTCAAGAGCCTGAAAAACTAATATGTATGCAGGTACCTGTCCCAGAGGTCCTGTGAGTCTGATTACTTTTGTGACACCCTTGGAAAGAAAAGGCAATCTGCGACAAACGGAGAAAAAGTGATTCTAGAAGTAAAAAACTAGAGATATTTTCCTGATCTATCACTGCAGGGGAACATGGAAACAGAGTCCCTATTGGCTCCACAAATTTTGAAAGCAGAAATGAGCCTAAATTCAGAAAAGCACCAGGAAGACATAGTATCCTCAAAACAACCCAGGACAATCAAAGAGATGAGAAGGAAGGGTATAAGCATTTATGTAGAGCCTACTAATGCACCAGGTACTGCGTTAAGTGCTTTTACAAAATTTTGTTTTCATAAATATTACAAAATTTATAATGTAGGTAGAGCACAATAAGCCATGATCTGACTGAATAAAATCACAAAAATTCTTAGACTGAAGAGATTAGCATTGTCATCCACATCTAAGAGTAAAGAGGCAGCAAGTTCTCTGAGAGTAACAGAGAACTTGGCTGTTCTCAGAATGTCCTCTGGTGTTAGATGGGGCATATAAAGAGCTAGAAGTAAGTATTTCATAGACAGCCTATATCCAGGTGGATATAGATGCTCTATGCAACTCAATTCTGACATGCTGTCCTTTCATTGCCGCTGAGAATCTCCATGACTTTATGTCCCTATTTAAATTAAATACTATCTGTAAAATAAGCAATGTATATAAATTATAATAAATTTGTCTTCTGTTTTGGAACATGTAGGCAAAATAAATGCAGCATCATAGACTCATACATTTAGAGCCAGAAGGGACCTTAGTGGTTGAGTTTAACTACCTAATTTTATACATGAGGAAACTGAGGCCCAGCAAAGTTCAGTGACTTGCTAAGGGTCACAAACATCTTAAGTACTTGGATTTGAACCTAAGTCTTAATGACTTCAAGTTCAGTGCCTTATTTGGCCCCATGCTACCAACTCCTATAAATTTTCATCTGTGAATGTTTTGACAACTAAAGGTACCGTCAAATACACACTCATTTCAACATTATGAGTAGCTTCTTTGAGTATTTCCCTGTTGGTACTGATGCCTTGCATTTGTTCTGAAAAACTATTTAGAAATAACTTCATACAAACAAGAATTTTAAAAAGTATTTTAGAGACACCACAACAAATTTAATAATGCTTATCATCCCACATGATTTCTTAATTGCTTAGAAGCTTATTTTAGAGAATTAAACTATGTAATAAGTGGAGAACTAATATAAAGTAGTCAAATGAAAATAAACTTACTATTAAGTGGTTTCTGAGGTTCTATACTCCTCTGTCCTTCTGAAATCTGTTCTATCTTTAGGCTCTTTGCCTTTTTTGACCTCTCCATGTAATCTTCATTCTCACTGTCTGCTGTATATAGATTTCGATCTGTGAAGGGTTGTCTTTCATCTCTGCTTTTCCAGGGGGAAAAAAAGTCAAAACAGGGTAACTTTTAGGTAAAGCGGTATTTCCCTCCATCCCTTTGAATTCATCACAATTTGAAGCAAATTAAAACATGTATTAGTTAATTTATCCACAGTAAGTAGTAATGGAGATTATATGAATAAAGAAAATCAACAGGTAATGTATTTCCTTGGAATATATAACTATTTACAATGTAAGTAAAATGGGAAAAACTATTTAATTTCTAGATGTTTATTTTATAGCCAAGTCTGCTAAATATATCTATTTTGTAAACAGAAGCATACAATCATCTACTTCACATACTTAATTATCCTTCCATTTGTCAGCAGTAATCGGAGGTCATTATCTTTTGTTCTCCATTCTGGTACCGTAGAAGATGGCTGGAGGTGTTTGTTGAATCTTCCATTCAATTTAGAGCTCAAGTTATCCTTAGGGTATAAAAGTTGTATTATTTTATCTTTACAACAAAAATTAAAGTAAGACTTTTGAACACATAGTAGCTTATACTGGATTTACATTCTTTCCCCATTTTTGAAAGGACCAAGGGCCATCTTTTCTATACTCTCCTCAACCTCAGCTTATTCATGGCTCTTCTGACCAAGCTAGTGTGACCAACCTGCTTATTTCACCAAAACCTACAACTTACCACCATCTGCACATGACCCAACAGTTAAGAATAAAGATTACAAAATGTCAAAGGGTTGTTGTAAGGTCCAACTGAGATAGTATTTACAAAGGCAATTAGAACAGCATCTGGCATGTAGTAGGCATGTCATAAATGCTTACTCCATTCCTACTCCCTTCATAAAGACAAGAGAGCAGATTCAACATAAAAAATATTTCTTCTTTCATAGTCAAAAATATATATTTTCCTGACACTAATTAGGAGTTTGGGTATTATATTTAGTCTTTCTTTGATAGCTATTTTTGGGTAATGCAGGCTTAGAACAAAAATCACGTAATTTAGTTTCTAAATCACCATATTAAAAAAATCTTAATTCAGTAATCCTTCCAACCTTGTTTTATAATTACACTGAGTATTCTGAACTAGCTCTTCTTTCCAGATTTTAAATTACAGAAAGTACATTCTACAGATCCATCAACAACCAGTCCTGAAGAGACTTTAGTACCCAAGTGATAAAGTACATTCTCCAAGATAACAGCTTATATATGCTGCTTTCTTCAACCAGTATGGCAGTGATAAAATTCAATCATTATAACCAATACTCTCTGGTTTGCAAAAATAAAACATGATAAAACTGAGACTGCTTGACCACTAAGACTATCAGACACTTTCCATTTTATTTCTTATTCCCCCCTTCAGGAAACATTATACTTGCCTCCTCCCACGGGCACATTTCTAGTCTTTTGAGCACCTCTCTTGTGTGGAGTTCTAAGATGTCCAAGTTAGAAGGCGTTCTAACATTATGATCTCGAAGTTTCCTCATTCTCCGTCTGGAATGGTATGGGGAGGATACTTCGTTTGAGGATCGTGAAACTGGGCATGTAGTAAGGATTCCCTGAGATTTGACTGGCTTACTGTTTTCCTCCTTCAAAAATTGAGAATAATTCAGAACACTTTTGAAAACACAGCAAAACCATATTTTCCATTACTTAAAAGCTATAAAAGCATCTCGTAAAAAAAAAAACAATTCAGTTTTTAAATTCCTCAAAAGGACTGAATCATAGGACACAAATAGCTTTGCAAAGAATATCTGCAAAAATGTGTTCCCCAATGGTTGACTAGGAAAAAAATCTTTGTATGAAATATCTTTGACAGATGTTTGATTTCCAAGATACACACACACATACCACTAAAATACGGAAGACCAAAATTCATTCTCCTGCAGATAACTGGTCAAATGATATCAACTAACAATTTCCCAAAGAATTTCAAAGTATTAATAACCATATGAAAGAAAGTCCCAAAAAAGTAATAATAAGAGAAAAGCAAAGCAAAATTACACTTTATTAACATTTTGCATACTGGCAGAAATGAAAAGAGATAGGAAAAATCAATGTTGGAGGGAGTGTGGAAAGACAAACTAAGCATTATGGTCATATCATTCTGGAAAACACTTTAGAATTATTTAGAGATAACAGAAATTCCATTGTAAAACATATGTAATTAAGAGGTCAAATGGGGGGGGGAGGTCCCACATACACCAAAATATTTGTGTCAGCACTTTCTGAGATAACAAAGAACTGGAAACAAAGTAGACATCCACCGACTGGGGAATGGACAGATAAATTATGGTATGTGAATACAATGGAATATCACTGTTTTGTAAGAAACAGTGATGATGATGAATACAAAGAAGCAAGGAAAGACTCCTAGAAAACAATTCAAAGCAAAGTAAGTAGAGCCAACAGTATACCAACTTCAACAAGGTAAACAGAAAGAACAACTGAATGAAACCTCAAGTGAATGATACAAAATTATTAAAAAATCAAGCTTGGTCCCAAAGAAAAGGCAGAAGACATCTCTCACTTTTTTGCAAAGGAAGGAGAATTATGGGTGTGAAATATTGTAGATAGCATCAAAATCATTTGATATATTGGTTAGTTTTGCAGAACTGTGGAAATTGTAGGTGATATAAAAACAAAAGACGACAAATTTTTTTTTAAACAGGAAAAAAACAGGCTTCAAGGCCAGTTAAAAACCATTAAATGTATATTCATCTAATTTTTTTAAGATTCCTATTACTCTTTAAAAATCCTAGCCTTTTCTGACTTCAGAAAAACCTGGGAAGACTTATATGGTCTGATGCTGAGTGAAGTGAGCAGAACCCAGAGGACTTTGTATACAATAGCAGCCACATTATGCAATGACTAAGAATGTTAAACTGAACCCTTCTCAGCATTACGAGGATCTAAGACATCTCCAGAGGCCTCGGGATGGAAAATGCTGTCCACATCCAAAGAAAGAACTATGGAAGTTGAATCGCTCTCACTTATTTTTACCTTAAGTTGAATTTTGTTTCATCTTTCTGATGGTTCCTCCTATTGGTTTTAATTTTTACTTACAACTTCACTAATGTGAAAATATGTTTAATGGGTATGTAAATGTAAAGCCTATGTCAGATTGTGCACCGTCTGGGGGGGGGGAGAAAAAGGGAGAAAAAATTTTCAACTCAAAAGCATATGGAAAAAAAATAAATTAAATTTAATTTAAAAAAAAAACAATAAATAAATAAATAAATAATGAAAATCCTAGCCTTTTCTATTTATACTCTTAGAGAGGAGCCTAAAGCACTAAAAGGTTAAAGGTCATATAGTCAGTATGTATCAGAGATGGGATCTGAACTCAGATATTCCTAACTCTGAGGCCAACTGTCTATCTATTATATAATACTAGCCCCTCAACATGGTGATACTGAGAGTATTTACAACTTTTTGTTTTTAACTACACAAAGAAGTACAGAAACAAGTCAATTAACCTAAGTCACAGTTTCTACACATATAAAATGGAGGATAACAGCAACTGTCTTGCTGAGTTGTTTTGAAGATCAAATGAGATATTATATCGTAAAAGCATTTTACACAGAGAATCAGCAGGGTAGAATGTCTAATAAACCTTGAAGCTAGAAGACCTGTATTTATGTCCAACCTCTGACATATCCCACTTCTGACATATAACTAACTGCGTGATTCTGGGCCAGTCACCTAACTTCCTGGGGGTATATGCAGCAATCTGAGACAATAAATTGCACAAACAGCAAGTCAGCTTCCTCATCTGAGTGTTCCCTATATGCTAGTGAAACACCAGTCCAGCTATCCCTGGCGAAGTCAGCTATTTCTGGGCTACCAGCTCACAGCCAGACTAGCATCTGGCTTCATTGCTGTTCATCACACTACCACCAGTCTCTTCTTTCAACACGTGTTATGTGCAAGATGCAGCTAGGGAAGCCCTTCTTCCTCACTCCTGACTATCAGAAGCCTCATTTTTTCTTCCAAGTTCTGCTCGGATGCCACCTCTGATCCTTCCAGTTATTAGTCCTCTCTCTTCCCAAATTACTCTGTATTTATGTACATATTGAATCCTCCCTATAAAATGTAAATGCCTTGAGAACAAGAACAATTTTATTTTTCTTTGTATTACATCACTTAGTGCAGTACCTCATACATAGAAGGTTCTTAATAAATATGTATGAATTGAATTGTTTTAGTTATGTAACTCTCCTCCAAACCCTGAATTAGCTGCCAAAAAAATTTTTAATCAAATTAAAACTAACTATTTGGCTTTATGGCTATTGTTATTCTACCAAAGATACTCTCTAATCAAGTTTTCCTAATACTCCCTACTTCAATGACCTATATCTATCATTCCATAAAATCTCATCCTGCTAAATTCTGATGAAGATTTATTTCTCCAAATTTCGTTGCTTACTAACTCCACTGCTTCAGCTACATTTGTACTAGCTCTCTAATTACTGATCACTTATTAATCTCTTAGAAACTATAATCAGTTATGCATGAAAAACTGTTGAGGGCTCTCTGATTTTAGGCCTATACTCAAAACTGTATTAAATATATGTTTTTCTCCTTTTCTGAATATACCCAAAGGCATGCTTCCAATTAAAACACAGTATCATTAAGTATCCCCAAACTACTCTAAAACTTTCTGAAGTTAAAAATTTAGATCAATATTTTAAAAGGTCTAACATATACAGTATGGAATAATTTTCCAAAGTTTTTTTTTTAGAATAATATAATTATTTACTCCAAAAAAATCAGAACTTTAATATTCATTTAGGTAACTGTTTCTACTCTTACCTCTATTGAACGAATTACTTTAGAAAGTTCTTTAATGAGATGTCCCGGTCTAACATTGTCTGGAATTTCAAAGGCATGTTCTGATACAAGCTGTTTTTAGATAAACAAACAAAAAAAAGTTAACATTTCTTAAAAGTACCTGGACAAATTAAATATCCAACATACTTTCTGCATTCTGTAAGTTTTATATGCACATGTAAATAAGCAGTATGATGTGATATAAAGAGCAATAAACTTGGAGTAAGGAGCCTGGGTTCACATCCTAGTTCTTACATGTTAGCTGTGACAATGGGCAAGGTAATTTTACTTCTACAAGTATCAATTTCTTCTTCTATAAAACACTGATGATAACAGTCATACTATCTGCCTCATAGGATCATTGTAAGCGAAGTGCTCTGTAAATATTAAAGCACTATCATTATTAACTTTATCCTAAGTACTGATAACTTGCTTATTTTCTAAGTTTTATATTCATACGTTTATTTATTTATAGACAATAGCATGTATGTTAAAGAGAGCTTGCCTTTGGACACCAGAAGGCCAGGGTTCACATAGTTCCTCTAATACTTACTAGTGATGTAACCAGGTGCAAATCAGTTTAACTGAGCAAGTATAGTTACTTTTTGAACTTCAGTTTCTTCAAATGCAAAATAGATTTCATAGTACCCATAGTACCTATCTCCTTGGACTGACGTGAAGCTCAAATGAGATGATACAGGAAAGCCTTAAAGACCTCAAAGACCACATGAAGAGATACTGGACTTCCTTAGTAATGCTGGTCTCAAGGTCCATGCAACTGATGAAATCAATCTAGTAACTAGATACTGTTTTTATTTAAACAACTGAACTTTTCTGAGATACAGTCAAAGATAAACTCTGTTTTTACTTAATTCTATATTGTAGTTAATAGAGCAAGGCTCTATTGTTACACTGAAAAAACAAAACCCTACTTTACCAAAATCATTTGTTTAAAATTTTAACTACTACAAACTAACAAATGAAGACATTGAAAAGCTTAACTTTTATTTCAATTCACACAAATTTTTGGATATATACTGAAATGATCCTAGCTCTTCAACAGGAGTTCTAGTATGAATAATGGAGAAAACTTGTCCTTTTTCTCCTTCCTCAATAAAAATTAAGTTACAAAAAATAACTCCAAAGTAGAAAAGAACTGTTTGTGAGTTATGACACAAGATTATTATCTAAGTAGAGCCTACATACAGCAGGCACTTAATAAACGCCCTCAACTATAAAACTGCGAATCTAACCTGTATATAAGAGGTAGCCAGGAAATCAAGTACTTGGTTAGAAATCAGGAAGATCTGGCTTCAAATCTAGACTCCAAACTTAATAGTGTTGACCACGGGCAAGTAATCTGACTTTTCTGAGCCAGTTTCCTGATGGACAAAAAGGAGTAATAATGCCTGTAGTACCTACCTTTCTGGGCTGTTACGAGAATTAAATGGAATAACATATGTAAAACACTCTGGAAACTTTCAAGTGCTATACAAACAGCAATCATTATAGACACATTCAAATATCTACCTCTTAATATTAATTCCCTCAAAAGAACACTTAATTATGCAAACAAAAGGAATTATTTCATCTCATCTTTCAGTAAAATCTTTTTGCCTGCCACTATTCTCTGTAAATTAACAAGTGTCTTACAAAATAGCTAACCACAAATGTCACATAAAGAAATTCACTTTGAACATAACTTATGACACTCACCGTTGACATAATTTATGTATTACTTAATCATAAAATGTTCTGTGACACAGAATACCATATTGTTATCATACTGCTATTTAACTTTTCAAATGTTCATAAGTTCAAGCAAGGTCCTTTCTCTATCACTCTTGGTGTTGGTATCCAAGGAAGTACACAGGCCTTCCATCTGTTACTGCTCACTCACTCACTGTACATTACTATTGACTTCTTATTTCTTCAATACTACTTATTACATATACCTCTTTTCACATGCAGTTCTTTGATAACATTCTGTAGCCTATTCATGCCCACCATGAGTATCTCCATTACCCTTTAGGTAAAAAGTAACTCAAGTTCTTCTGAGACTTTGGTATTCACCGGATCACTGATTTAAAGCTTGAAATTATCTAAGCTTAGAAGTCATCTAGTCAGCCTCATTTTATAGATAAAGAACTCAGGTTCAGAAAGGCTAAGTGGTTTGCCCATGGCCCTAAACTAATTTCAGGAAGGAGGATATAGTGGAGAGTTCAGGAAAGGTTTCATGTGAGAAACAGCTCCTGAAGTGAATTTTGAGGGAAGTTGGGGATTCTAAGAGACCAATACAAAGAAAGAGTGTACTCAGGTGTAAGGAACAGCGTGTGCCACAGGTTGCCAAACTCCAAATCACTGGGTATAAAATCAGTACAACTCCTGCATAAATACATTTTTTCAATAAAAAATAAAAGTCAGCAAGAATAAGACTAACGTGGTAAATCTGTCCCAACCACTAACGAATCTATTTAATAGATTATTGCAAACTAGATCATATTTGAATAGGCCACATCAACAAGGTGGAGCATCTGATAAGCCACCATCAACCTGGCCCATCAAATTTCAAGGTGGGATCCAATTAGCCACCATCAACATCAGTCTGAGTAGACTTATGACACTGATAAGTTGAACTGTTTGTTGTATTTGAAAGTGAAGAGCAAAAACTCAGTGTTAAACAGTCATCATGTAGAAATAAAAAGCACTATAATATCTACAGTATTTCTCAATACTTATTCATTTTAGTGAGTACAACTTAATAACCTGATATTTTAGAACCCTCCAATTTAAAACTGTAGTAACTCAAAAACTGTTAAAGGTTAAGTGCTTGAAATTTTCAACAACTAAATTTAATTATCTCAAATTTTTTATTCTAACTTTTTAAAGTGAAGTAATATCACTTTGTGATAAATAAAACAACCAGTTTGAAAAGTAAATCTACTAGAACAGCTGAAACTACCGCAAAGACAATAGAGACAATTTAGGTAGTAGAAACAAACACAAAGGAAAAAACCCACATCCAGAAAATACACTAGGGATTTATGAATACTGTTACTGATGAAGAGGAAAGACTATAGTCTGACCTGTAGTGCTCTAGCAAATAAACTGAAATGACACCTTGAAAATGACCATGTCATTGCTGGGCAGAATGAGAAATTTTCAAAAGAGAATCTAGTGTTGTTAAAAAGCAAAACCAAACTGTGTCATCAAACAAACTGTTTATGGAACTACTAAATATGAAAAGCCTAATTTGATACAAAACAATTAGCCCTACCTCAGTTACCAATATGGTTCAAATGATGCAACATGATTTATACGTGAAGCAGCTCTAAGTTGTTCCATTTGCAGACAATATGGTAGGAAGGAGAACTACCCATGTCTCTGAAGACCTTTGAGTTCTGTTCTTTTTAAGCCTTCTGATGGTAATGCCCACATCAAAAAAAAAAATCCAAACCTTCCAAAATAATTGATGGATTTTTAATGAAAATAGTACAGAGAAGACTTGTGTTGTACACTACACTCCAGAAGTACAATGACTACCAAGACAGCCTCGGAACCTGGGGTGTACCCTGCTGCACTTTGGCCATCTTCCTGCCATGTTGCTACACATGTATACCCCTTGGCACCTCTTACTCTGAAAACAGCAATTAAATCAGGACAGGACAGGTCAACTGCCATTCACCAACCCTGTGACTTGGCAGACCAAAACTCTGCTGTGGCCACCACCTTCCAAAGTGTACTTGTCTTCACTTATTTAAATGACAGTGTCTTTCTATTTGCATTACAATGCTTATTATTAGCACAGTACCTTGCACATAGGAAGCATGTAATAAATCTTTTTCATCTATTCATGTCTTTATCTTGTCAGGAAGATGTTACAGTTCTTCAAGTCAGACAAGTCCGATACTTTGTTGCATCTTCCACAGTATCTACTACTGAGGCTCATCTGGAGGCTCATAGGGTCACCAAAACAGAAGGGATCTTAGCAGCCATTTAGTCCAACCCCTTCATTTTAGATAGAAAGAAGCTTGAGGAAGACGAGGTCAGAGAGGTGAAGTCACTTGCCAGGTCACACCAATAGCATAGCCAAGATCTGAAGCCAGATCCTTTGGTTCCTAATGCTGCATTCTCTTTCTATTGATACAGACTACCCTCTCTCTTCCTTCAATACTTTGTTCCCTTACCTTGTCACAACTTATAATCTTGCCAAGGCTCCATCAAATTCCCAATCTGCTCTTCTTCCCAGTGCTATCAAAGTCATGCAATCCATGGATTAGGTCACCTTAATGTATGTCACTCCATCTCAGTTGGGCTCTCACTACTGTATAGACACCCTTTAATTCTCCCTTGATTGAATCTTGTCACTCTTTTTCCAGTGACTATTTAAATCTCTCCTCAAATCCCCTTCAATCTTTCCTCTCAGCCAAAGACTTTGTCTCCTACTTTATTGAGAAAACAGAGGCAACGATCTCCATCTTCACACCTCAAAATTCCTCTAAAATTGTTTAGGTTCCTCTCCTATTTGTTCCAGTGTCTGTACAAAAGGTTACTCTCTTCTTTGCCAAGACTAGCCCTTCTACATACTAATAATCTCTCTCTTCCTCCTTCTCTATTAATTAGCTTCTTTCTTGCTGCCTACAAATATTCATGTAAGCTCCTTGAAGCTAATGACCATTTTTCCATCTGGTGTTGTATACATGGTAGGTATTTAACAAATGTTTACTGAACTGAAGCATGGCAGACAGTTCTTGCTTTACATAAATTCACATTACATAAATTTGATTTTACATAAAGAATTCTGAAAGAAGCTGGCATTCCAAAAAAATCTCTTTATTATTAACTATACCATACAATACTGCGCTCTCTCAATCCTGCTCCTGCCCCATCCCGTTGTACCAAAACAAGAACTGTCTGCACTCAATAAACAGGCCGATCAATTGCTCACCGGTAGAGGATCCCTGGAAAGATAACCTACCAATCACAACCCCAACCCATACCTCAAGGCATTTGTGAAGAACCAATCTCTGATAAGTGAAAAGCTGGAAATTTCAATCCAAGGTGTTACAGATTATACAAGTATTTATTTGTCCTTAAGTACCATAAGACTTCATTTTAGTGACAGTTGTAGCAAACTTACACTTGAATTATGTGCTACCTCTGCCACTAGAACTCATGCCAGAGGTTTAACATCCCTATTCTATTCTATGTCCAAAATACGTGTGAACTGCTTTTTTTCCCCTTATGATTCTCCCCATTGCAAGTCTTCAAGCACAGGCTGGATGATCACCACTAGTAAGGTTGTTACAGTGGGGAATCTTTTTGTGTACGGGTTATACAAAGGTCAAACCTCATCCCCAAATTAAGTGATTCCGTGAACACAGGTTGATTTCAGACGTAGATCTAGGATATACCTTAAATTCCTTCAATAATGGAACAAGTTAGAGAGAGAGAGAGAGAGAGAGAGAGAGAGAGAGACACAAACAATGAAATGTTTATCAATAAAGCCAATTTTTCCCCTCCTGACAGCCCATTCAGATTTTGTTGAAGATTCACACCTAAAGCATTCACATCTTAATCAATTTAGCTGATGAAAAATAAAACAACCATTATAACTAAAAAGAAAACAGCTTACTTCTTTTTTCATCCATAATTTTAAAGCAGCATGCAATGCCTTGACTCCCTGCACTAAGTAATTTGGGGGCTGGAAACCATCTTCTCTCAATTCTGGAAAATAAAAGAAATAAAGGCAACAATTTAGGTATTTTATAGGGCATAACAGTGAAAGTGGTTTAGAAACAAACTAGGAATAAACCTAAGTAATGTTTTGGGGTTTGTTTTTTTTGGTAGAACCAAAAAACAATAAACAAAAGACATAGATAACATTTGGAAGATAGTGAAACAAGAGCTATGGTACTAACCTAAATAGTATTATACCGTAAGAAATGACAAATATGAAGAATTCAGAGAAACAACGGGGCACTAGTACAGAATGAAACAGAACAAAGAAAGGAGCACCAAGAAAACAATATATATGATGACAACAAGAATGCAAATGAAAACAATACTAAAAGGTTAAATTCAATTTAAAAGATTAAATGCAATGAACAGCCCTGGTTCCAGAGGACATATGACAAAAACATTCCCCAGGAGAAGGGAAGACAATAGGTATGGAATGTTGCAAAAGCTGTCTGGGGTGGGTGCAGTAACAGTTTGGTTTACTTAACTTTTTTTGTTACAAGAGAGGCTTCTACTGTAGGGGGAAAGAAAAGGAGTGCTATTGGGAAATAATAATGATGTTAAACACCAATAAAACATTTTTAAAATGTAAACTAAAAGGAATGTTTGGGTTTAAAGAAAGGCTGTACACTCACTGGGAAACAAAGCAAAAATCATCACTTTCTGAAAAGAACCCACACATTCCCTCTTCTGTGTCATTCTCTTCTCCATGCCTGGAATGCCCCTCTCCACAAATCCACAATCTTTTCTGAAATCTTATCTACCCTTCAATGCCCACTTTAAATGCAGATCTGACTTCTCTAAAATCCCATGGAATGTAGAACCTCATCAGGGTACACTGTTTTATGGCATACTCACTTTTTTTTTAAATTATGAATCTGACATACATCAACAAACATGAATACTTCCATGCACAATTACATATACAAAGAACAGAAAAAGTATTGCAGAGTAATCATAAGCTTCTATCATAAGCTTGTTTTTTTAAAAGTGCATAACAAATATAATAATGTAGTACCAACTGTACCTATATTCATTTATATGCCTTATTTTTCTCTCCTCAGCACAGTGCTTGATAACATAGCAAGTCTTTAATATTTGTTAAGTGAATTTTGTATAATTAGAAATATTTAACTATTTTTAAAGGGGAATAAAAAATATGGATATCTTAAAACAGTATGTAGTTAACAATCAACTAGCCAAGCTGACAACGGCAGAGTAGGAGAAGCAGAATCAGGATGTAAGACAACAAGACTATAGCAAAACCAGCCTGACTTCATTTAAAGGCTAGCTAAAAATGAAGAAAATTCTATTAGTTCATTTTAAAATTTGCTCTCATATATACACTACAACTTAGCTGTCTGTGGAAACAAGGCTTGAAAAAATTGGTTTTTTTCTTATGGCCTTGGTAGAATCAGACAGGCAAGGTCACTGCAACATGATTAGAAGAAGTTATGTTAAGATACAATCTTGATAAATACCTGAGAAATATATTGATTATACCAAGAAGTCAAAGTTGTAAGTTTCTTAACTTCTGGAACTGATGCTATTAGATTAGTCTTAGATTTTCTTTATGAAGTCATAGCTAGTCAGCCTGCTCATATGGGCTCCTAACCACATTTGCCCTACTGCCCAGAAAACATCCTGATGGACTCCCCATCCTTGCCCAAAGTACATGCACAAAGAAGGGGGAAAATAATGTGTCGTCAGATGAGTTTTATAATTTTATAGCATTATGATATCCTGGAAGTAATGTTCTTTTTTATTCCTGATATACGATGATAGAAAGACAAAGCACTGAAATATTTTTCTTGTCTCTTCTTTCAGTAAGTTTATCTCTGTTCTCCTATAGGAAATAATAGTTTCCAGAAGTACAATATATTCGTTAATACCGTTTAAAGAGAAATTAATTTTATTAGCTGACTGATGAAATTAGACAAAAAATTAAATTGGACATACCATAAACTTTAATATTACACTGGCACAAATGAAATAAGAAAGAGAAAATAACTAGAATTAAACTAATAAGAATTAAATTTTACCAAACAATTGTTCTTTTATGATAAAAATAAAAAGCATGAAATGGTCAACTTCTAATATTCCATGGTAAAAAAAAATGGTTTCTGGTTGTCAGAAAATCACAGTTATTAACTTTTTTAACACTAACTTTTAAAAAAATAAACCCTGAAATAATATTAGGGAAGATGCAACTCAAAACACTGGCATTTGAGAAGTTCTCTGTTCCCCACGAAATACCATTTAGCAAGTTAGGTTCACGAAGAAGTAATTACCTTTCAAAGTTTCCAGTAGATTTTTGGCTACAAACCAACATATGGCTTCAAAGAAAGGGAATTTGAAAAGGTCAGGTGTTTTTAGCCTTTTCTCCATCTCGTAACACCTAAATGAATAATGTTTAAGGAATTATAATTACTTAATTATAATTAGTATTGAAACTAGATATATTTACCCAACTGATACAATGTTGAGAAAAATAAAATAGGCAGGCCATGAGGTACAAGACAAAGTACTGCACAGTCAAATCTTAACAAGACCACATTTGGACAAGACTGAACTGTGATCTCATCCAGGTAACGGGTTTATCAAGTTTGACTGCTGCACTTGTAAGGAAAATGGTGGACTTCATAAAACTAGGATACAAACCCAATGTGTGATCTTTTAACAGATGGAATTTTATCAGGATTCCACTGTAATAAATAAAAACAATATGTTTAGAAAACAGCTCCACATGCTGGGTAACAACTAAAATAGGTGTTCAGGCAACAGACTTGACTTTGGGTTGCTCTTTTTAGCACCATGTTGCACACTTGAGTCTGGCCAACCTTTAAATCGTCTTCCTCATTCAATAACTGCCAAAACAGAGCACGTGAATGGCTTAAAGATATTTAAATGTGGGCAAATCTTAATTTTTTCAGCTCTTGATATTAATTTTTTCTTGAAGAACTGAAATAAACTGAGATCTGCTCCAGACAAAATTGTTAAATTAATTTTTAAAAGCCTAAAAAAAATTCCTAATTAGTTCCCAGATCCTGTTCTCCAGTGATCCCACTTTAACATATGTTGGATGGTTATCTTTTTTTAAAAACTTGAAGAATATCCTACTCGAGAAAGGAAAAAATACAGACTTTTAAATATTGACAAGACCAACCTGAGCTGCATGCCAATATTAAGGTTGTGCAGAAAGTTTCCTCCAAAAGCCATACAGTCCTGAGACGTGAGCACAGCATGAATCCACCCTGAAATGACAAGATATATCAGTATGAAGCAAAATAGGTGTGCGATTAACCGGCAAAACAGGTAATTATAAGTAGTTAATGGATAAGAATCCCCTTACATACTACACCAATAACACAAGTAAAATGTAAATTATTTACTTAACAAAATAAATAATTATCATAAAGGTCCAAATATAAGAAAAGGGATTTTAATTTTTAAATACAAATTGTTGCACATTAAAAGACTATGCTTAGAGTCAAGCAAAATATTTTGTGAAATGAGGAAAGTAAAGTTGGTTATAATATTTCCAGATACTACTAAAGTGGCAATTCTAGGACCTCAAGACAGCGCTGAAATGTTTTAGTACCCCAGGTGGGGAAAGAAGCAGCTCCACCCAAGATCTGGTTCCACAAGAACAAAACACTGCACCTACAAGTATTCTATACCTGGAAAATTTCTGGAAAAGCTGAAATTATATAAGGTGAATATGACTTTTTATAGCAGTATTATAACAGGGAAATGGTAGGTGTTCAATTTTTAAAATAAACAATTATAAACACTTTATATAAAAGATTTAGTTTTATAGTCAATCCCAAGGAGGTCAAAGACAGGGAAAATGTGCATGTATACAAAAGTAGTGATAGCAGCATTTTTGTGGTAGCAAAGAACAAGAAACAAAGAGGATGCCAATCAATTAGGGAATGGCTGAACAAATTGTGGCATACGAGTAGAAAGAGAGCTGGACTTGGAGTCAGGAAGATGTGGATTCGAATTCTGCCACAGATATTGACTGTGTGGCCCTGGACAATCACTTAACTTCTGTGAACCTCAGTTTCCTCCTCTGCAGCCTCTAAGGTCTCTTCTAGCTCACAATCAATGATCCTCAACATGTCCAAAATTGAGCTCATTATCCTTTCCCCAAAAACCTTCCTCTCTTCCAAACTTCCTCATTTCCACCAAAGGGCATCACTATCCTTCCCGTCTCCTAGGATCCATAACCTAAGCATCATTCTCAACTCCTCCCTCAGTTGTCAAATCTTGCTGTGTCTACTTCCACAACACCCCTCCCATCTGACCCGTTATGTCCATTCACACATCTATCAACTTTCGCCTAAACAGCAACAGCATCCCCACTGGTCTTCAATCTCAAGCTTCAGGATATACTACAAACTTCAACCAAATCGATTTTCTTAAGTTAAGATCTGACCATATCACTCATCTACTCAATAAATTCCTATGGCTTCCTACTGTCTCTAGGATAAATATAAATACTCCTTTGTTCAGCTTTTAAAGCCCTTTACAATCTGACCCCAATCTACCTTTCCAGCCTCACTGAACATTACCCACCCATCCCTCTTCTATATTATGCAATTCAACCAAAATGGTCTTCTCTTTCCTCAGGACACATGATATGTGACCTTGTCCTGGCACTCTTTCCTTACTTCTGCCTCTCAGAATCCCAATCTTCCTTTAAGATAAAGAACAAACACCATCTTCCACATGAAGCTTTTCCTGATTCCCCAATCACTAGGGCTCTCCCTTTCCAAACAATGTTGTATTTGACTACTTTGTATGTATTTATATTGATTCACTTCATATTTATGCCATCTATATGTATCTGTCTCTCCCACTAGAATCAAAGTCCCTTGGGTGTAGAGATTGTGTCATTCTTCAAATTTGTGTCCCAGGGCCTAGACAGGGCATTTCACAAAGTAGGTACTTTATAATAAATACTTGCTGATTGATTGAAGAATTCAAGAAACTTAGGATGACTTGTATGAACTGATGCAGAATGATGGAAGAAGACTCAAAAGAAAATTTACAAAATGACCACATTAATGTAAAGGAAAACAACAATGAAGGACATTAGACCTCTGATCCATCTCCTGACTCCCCATAGGTCTGTTAATAGTGAAGTACATAGTATACCTCCCCTCTCTTGCCATAGAGGTTCTATGTAAAGCAGTACCAGAAGGATAACATAAATAATTTAAAACTCATAATTTCTTAACTGCCAGATTTGATAGCCTTTTCTCAATCTCTTTCTAGATCAGAAGTTCTTAACCTAGGGCTCACAGACTCCCAAGGAGTTCATGGATAATTTTAAGAGGGTCCACATAGCATTTCTTTCTATTTGAATGAAGGAACAAACATGATTCTTCGAAGGAGTCCACAGGCTTCACCAGATTGCCAAAGGGATCCATGATACAAAAAAGAGGTGAAACTGCTCTAAACCATTCTGCATTATTTGATTCTATTGACCACCTTCTCCTCCTGGATGCTGTTTCTCCCTTTGGGTTTTCATGACATTCCTCTCTCTTGTATGATCACTCTTCATCCTTCTTTGCTAACTTAACATTCATGTCATGACACATCAACTGACAGTTACCTGCCAGTCTGCCCAAAGCTCTGCTATGTGCCCTCTTCTTTTTTCTCTTTACACTCTCTCATTTGGTGACTTGATCAACTTCCATGGGTTCAATTATCATTTCTATGAAGATGACATCCAAATCTATATATCCAGCCTTGGTCTGTCTCAAGTTCCAGTCCTAACCATTACCAATTACCTTTTACATATTTCCAACAAGATTTCTTATAAGCATCTCAAATTCAGCATGTCTAAAACAAAACTCATTGTCATTCCCCAAAAATGAACTTGTGAACTTCCCTATTACTGTGAGGGCACCACTAACCTCCAAATCACCCAGGTTTGCAAACTTGATGTCACTCACCTATCTAATCAGTTTCCAAATCGTATCATTTCTTTCTCCACAACATCTCATATATCAGTCCCCTTCTCTCCACTCATACGACCACCACTCTGATTCAGGTGCTCATCATCTCTCACCTAGATTATTAAAGTAGACTCTTATTTGATTACCCTGTCTAAAATCTTTCCCCACTCCAATTTAACCTCTGCATCAAAGTGATTTTCCTCAAGCGCAGGTCTGACCATGTCAATCACCAACTGATGAACTCTAGTGACTCCTTATTACCTGAAGATCGAATATGAACTCCCCCAGCATCTAAACTTTTCACAATCTGGCCCCCTGCTACTTTCCCCAATCTCTTTACACAACACTCTCCTCCAGGAGTCCCATAATCACACCAGACTTAGCTAATTGCACTTCTACACATACAATATTCCTTCTCCCATCTTCATGCCTTTGCCCTGCCCCTCCCTTATGCCTAGAACATACACAGCTTCATGTCTAGGACTTAGCACTGTGCTCAGCATACTGTCTGCCACATAGTAGGCACTTAATAAAAGTTGACTGACTGATTCTACCATTTGGAATGCCTGGTTTCCTTCAAGATTCAACTCAAACACCACCTTCTCCAACGAAGCATTTCCTGACCTTTTCTATCCACAAACTATAGATAGATATATTTATGTACATGTATATGTGTGTGTGTGTGTGTGTGTGTGTGTGTGTGTATGTGTGTGTGTGTATTCTGTATACACTTATATATACACATTGCTTCCTTCTTTAGAAGGTAAATGCCTTCAGGAAGATTAAATGGGAAGTTTAATGGTGCTTTCCTGGAGGAATGGGAGATGACAGCCATTTGTGTTGGGGTGGAAAAAATGTTTACTACTTGATTCAATTCATTTTTATGTAATGATGATGATGATGATGATGATGATGATGATGATAGGTAACATTTATATAGGTCTCATTATGTGCCAGGCACTGTGCATCTTGTGTTTGATTATATGCCTTTTGCTTTGGAAAAAAAAAGGGAAAAAAGTCAGCTTCTTGAAAACAGGGACTGTGTCACTTCTGTCTTTGAATCCTCAAAACTTAGCACGGTGCTTGGCACATAGGAGGCACTTAATTCTGATTGGCTGATCAAATATTATAGTCCTGAATGTGCTTATCTATTATAATTTAACCAGTACTAAAATAACTGAAACTAAGACCAATAACTAGTTATACTGCAGTGTATTAGAAGAATATAAGCTCAATGATTCAAAAGTATGACGTGCTACCTAAAAACCTAATATAATCTTATACTGCATTTGAGAAATATGGCTTCCAGAACAGGCCCCAATGTATTCTAAAAGCTAATCAGAACATAACAGGATGGTGTACTAGTCTTACAGCCCGGATTTTACAAGGTATATTGACAAGCTAGAAGAAGCACAAACAGTGAATTATAACTGTATCATACTGAAGGAACTGGGGATGCTTATCATGGATATGAGAAGACTTTGGGGGAAGGGAATATGATAGTTAATTGACTAGTCACAAATATACAGATAAAGCTCAAGAAAATTTTTCTTTTGTTTTGGTGAGGCAATTGGGATTAAGTGACTTGCCCAGAGTCAAACAGGTAGTGAGTGTTTTATGTGTCTGAGGCCACATTTGAACTCAGGTCCTCCCGACTCCAGGGCCAGTGCTCTATCCACTATGCCACCTAGCTGCCCCTCAAAAAACATTTAAAGAGTAACAACGCACTTCAGATTCTGGTCACATCTGGTTACAGAGCTCAATGTTCTTTTACCACAATTCAGAGAAAACAGAAAAAAGAGACAAAGATACTTAGAGGCACTAATCAGTACACTGACTCTATTAAGAAAAGGACCTTCATGACCTTCCTGTTACCACTGGAAGAAACTTACATTTAACATCATTTGAATACATCTCTCTATATATAGTTACATACTGAATATTATAAAACTACGATGATATGATTCTGGTAACTCATCCTTCTAGAAGGGTACCAGGTAGAACTGGTATTTGAATCAGGAAAAGCATGGCTGGACCAGACTGAAATGAATTAAATAAGCTTTAAGGAATCAAACTATCTGCTCTAAAGGCTACTAATGAGGCTAGACCTAGAGTCTCTGACCACACTGCTGTGGCTTTCCTGGTTTCCTGGTCCCATAAGGGCATAGAAAGACTGACCCACATGGAGTCGGTGCCCTTCAAACCTGATGGGTATCTGAAGATCATGAGAGTAATCTTGCCTTGCTGACCAGACATGCTTTTATAATGGAGACTGGGAGGAATGGACAGTTGTCAGGTGCCTTCCCAAGCTAAAAGCTAGAATATCTTGTTTTGTGAATATCCTTTCTATGTTATGGCTAAGCAAACCTCTTCTGTTAACGTGAATGACCAAGTGCTTCATTTCACTGCAACATCGAACCCAAATCAGGCCTAATATGTGCCAAAGCCAGTCCATAGCTAGATGAGATACCTCTCCTCTCTAAAATCTTTGCTCTGCAATCTGTCAATCTGTACATTTGTATTCGGTCTTATTTCTTACATTTTTACATTAATTTACTTAGAAAGTTGCTCCTGAAAAACAAGCTTTGGCTGGTTAAGAGGAAAGGGATGTGTCCATACAAAAACAAGAAAGCCAAAAGCAAAAAAGAGTGTCCTAGAGGACTGGTGTGATTGTGGCAGTAACTATTCCCCTAGTTCCCATTCTATTTCAGTTCTATACCTCTCATGCTACACGAAGCTGTGACTTGCCCAAGGTCCCAAAGCTAAACATTTACTAAATTCCCACTACATACATGGCACTAGGCTAGGCCTGAGGACACCAAGTTAATTTCTACATAGGTCCTGCTCTTAAGACACTTAGAGTTTGATGAGATAAAAGAAATACATAGAACAACCATGATCCAAGAGAGGAACAACGTCAATGCCAAGAGGAGGCGCAGGCAGAGAGCTCAAGGAACAGAGGCATTACGTGGGCTTTGGAAGGAGCGCAGACAGAAGCTAAGGGAGAGGGAGAGTTCCTTTTAGGCGGGACGACAATTCAGACAGACCAGCAGAGCACAGGGCTGAAGTATGTAGGAGAGGGCTCTGCTGAAGGGGCGGGCCACTGATCCAGGACTGGGTAGATTGAAAACAAGACCAAAATAGCTTACAACTGTGAGCTGAGGCTTGTTAGAGAGCTGAATATTGAGAAATGCCTGAATTTCAGAGCTAGCAGGCACCTTAGAGGTCATTTAGTCCAGTGCTCATGTGTTAGATACTGACAACTGAGGTTCAGTGAGAACTGCAAAACGTGAGTTACAAAAGTTAGAAACCACGAAATTCAACTCTTAGATGAAGGGACAAACACTCATAACAGAAGTGACTTGCCTAAGGACACGCAGTTAATAAGTAGTGGAACCAAGCCTAGAACCCGGGTCTTCTGAATCCTTCCCACTACACCCAGCTCTCTCTCTAATATGCCAAGGTGTGACTTGTCCAAAGTTACACATCTAGCTGCAAGAAGTCATGATTAGAACTGAGGTCTCCTTATTCCCAGTCCAATGTTTTTTCTAGGACAGAACTAGAAGTTGCCTGTGATCACTCACCTGGGACCCTCCTGTATAGATTCTCCCTTGGCAGCTGCTCTTAACATAGTTCTACAAGCCTATCTAAGCTCTACTTGGATTAAGACCCAAGTGATCTTCAAGTCTGACTTTAGGCCTCAAACACTGAAGCCAAATTTACAAAAATCATTAATGAGCTGGGATGGGTCACATGCTTCCTTTGACACAATATCCTTCTTCTCCCCCAAATCCCCACCTCTTCATCCCCTAAGAGATCTCTGTACCAGTGATGACCATTGTCCACATTCCATCTGAGCCTGAACCAGGAACACAGCAGAGATGACCAAGAAGAGGTGGAGAGTCAGGTTTGGTCTACATTCATCTCTTCTAAATGCTTACTGTTCAAGGCATCCAATGCCCCTTCTCTAAAAAGAAGGTGGGCAGAGACACAAAAGCTACAGTTATATATTGCTTTGTGTTCCATAACTGCAAAGTGCTACCACAAACAAGAAGATAGCGATACTCAGAGTTGCCATCCTAGTCAGGCAACTATAGAATCAGAGAACCACACAAAGCACCAATGCCACATCCCAAACTCACCCACCTGACACCTGTTCCTAACTCTACAGGTAAGGCCAGTGACCAATACCATGTCCATCTCAGGGTCTTGGTACCTGGTATAATGTGAATATTAAAGCCCCAGGTTTTTCTCTGCAGGGTTAGGACCAGAGTTTGAGGATGACAAAGGATGGCACTGAAACACAGCACCAAGACTAGTGAGCATTGTCTGTGGAGCCCTCAGCAGGGTACTAGAGGCCAATTCCAGGCTGAAGCTATAAAAGGCTAAGTTTACTCATGTCATTACAAAAATTGAAGGCCTCTTTTAGCCTCTTCGCTTGAATAACTCTACATAACTGTGGAGGGGAAAAAAAACTTACCTGTTGGAACAAATAAGGTATGTCCTTGCTTCACAACACACTTGTAGCATTTATCCACTTTTTCACCAAAGTACACTTCACTTTGGGTGACAGATGAACTCCAGGATTCATAGAGTGCTAAATTTTCATCTGTTGGCTTTATCAAATAAAAAATCTTCTCACCCTATGAAGGGAAAATAGGAATTTTTATGAAAATAAAAACCTACAACCTAAAAGTTGACCAAAATTAACCCAAATTTTTATTAGGGAGAACCAAATTAGATATTCTAATCTTTTATTAAGCATAGAAAAGCATATTCCAAATGCTTAATCAATAGCTGCTAACCAGTATGAGCTTCTTCAAAGCTACTGCAGCCGTTCTCAAATAGGTACCAAAAGAAGCAAAACCAGGACTAAGTCTCTAACCCATGAATATAATCAATAAGTATAGTTTCCAGGATTTCCACAAGCAGCAGCCGTAAACACTGTCAGTGAATTTGAGGCTGACTTCAACTTCAAGGAACTACAACCCTATTGTACAGAATATGTTACACATGTGTATGCAGCTATTATTGCATCTACCACTGAGTCTACCATTTCTAACAAGGATCACTAGCTTAAAGACAATGACTTTGGGTTATTGTGGGCAGACTCAAGCAACAAACAAAAGCACTCAGGCAATAGGTCAAAAACAGGATACTACAGAACACTTAGAAGGTTCAGGAGAAAAAAAAAATTTAAATAGGGAGTGGCTCCAGATTTGCAACTAAATCAACGTGCCAAAAGAAAGGAAAAGTTATCTTAAGGGCAGTCCTGCCCTAACCCACTGGACAACCAGACCTGACCTTGCTCTGAGCAATGAGGCAACTGGAAATTCCAACACCACATCCAACAGCAAATACAGGATGGAGAAAAAAAAAAGAGCTGTCAGTTTTGGTTTGGGAACAGTGGGGTAAAAAAGGAAAGTACATAGGGTATAAAGTTCTGGAATGCCATCAAAAAACACCTGAGGCACCACTCAGCAACCAGGGAGTACTGAAAGTTTGTGATAGGCCAAAAAGGATTTAAGTGGAGGTTACCAGATTGGGACTCAAGAATTCCAGGTCCTAGGGTCTAGGTCTACTAAAAGTAGCAAAGGGCAAAGTACTTAACCTATTTTTCCTATTATTTCATTGATAAGATAAAAAAAAAACCAATCAATACAGTCCCTTCTAGCTTTTAAATTGCATTTCAAATGAGTTTTACAACAAAACAGAATCAAAGAACCTCAGTTAGAAGGAACTCGGAGGCCATCTACTCTAATCCGTACCTGAATGACAATCTCCTCTACAATGTCTTGCCTCCCACCAAACTGGTCATCTAATCTTTGTTTCAAGACCCATAGTTTTCCACTACTTTGCAAGGCAGCTCATTCCATTTTTTAAAATCTCTTAAATTTTTCCCACCTCTATATCAGGAAAACCCCAGCCATATTTTACTTCTCCCTCCTCTCTGGCTACCTCCTCCCAGGGCCTCCCAGCCAACCACCTTGATGCCCTCACCAGAGACCATATCTTTCTTCCCATAACTAACACACACACACACACACACACACACACACACACACACACATATATATATCAAAGGGCTGGGCACAGATTTCTGAGGAATCCAAAGACTTCTTTCCAAAGTGCCATCATCCCTTACTAGTTGTGTGACCCTGGGCAAGTCACTTAACCCCAATTGCCTTAAAAAAACAAAAAACAAAGTGCCATCAAACATGAATGACTATTTATTTGAAATGGCCATTCCCTCAGTTCCAAATTCACCTAAATAGACTATTATCTGGCTCTCATTTATCCATCTTATCTACAGGGAAAGCATGAGAAACTTGTCAATACTCCGCAAAATCTAGCATTTCCAAGTCTGAGAACTTTATTTTTTAAAAAAAAGAGAGATCACTCTAGCAAAACTTTGTAATTGGATTACCTGGTTCAAGTGTACCCCTTCTCTAATTCACCCTACCATGGATTTTCCTAAAGTACAGGGCTAACCATATTGCTTCTTATTCCCTCTACGTTCAAATATAAAGTTATCCAGTTGGCATTTAAAGCCATTCACAACCTGGCCCTTTCCTATCTTTCAAGTGTTCTAAGACATTACTTTCTTCTCCACAAATTCTAAGGTTCAGCCATACTACCTACTTGGTGTTCCTCACAAAGGACATCCATCTCATCACTGTACCTTTTCAACAGCTGCTGTGCCCCAGTGCCTAAAATGCTCTCCTCTTACCTCTGCTTTCTGGGATCCTTGGCTTTCTTCAAGGCCCAAATCAAGTACCACAATCTGCAGGAAGCTTTTTCCAGTCCCCACAGCTGCTAGTCTTCCCTTTTAAGACTACTTTCCACCTACTCTGTATCATCTTTGTATGTGTTGTCTCCTCCATTAAAATAAGGCTCCTTGTGGGCAGGGACTAATTTTGCTTTTTCTTTGTATTCCTGGCACATACTAAGTGCTTCTTAAATGATTAATAACCTGTTTGTAATGAAATGATGCTGGCTCTTTGTAATCACCACTATCTTTTCTTAACATTCATTTACCATCCCTTTTACATCACATTCTAGAATTTTATTGGTATTCTCTCTCTTTTTTTTTAACTAAACTAACTTCCTTCTCTAGCCCTATGACTGAGGCTGAAACAGGAACACAACAAAAGCCACCATTTAGCATAACAGATAACCAAGAAGAGGTAGAGTCTCCAAGACCTTTCAAATATTGTTGACAGAGAACTGTTAATCATATCTGCCAGTATTTTAGAGTATACGTCACCTGCACCTGGCATCAAAGTCCCTTAAAACTTTGAGAATGAATACAAGAGAGCTTATTATAGGTGACTTTAATCTTAGTAAAGCTGAAAGCCAGGTCATTTGAGAGGAATGAAGGATGTGGAAAGGAATTGAGAGGAGAAAGTGTAAACTGCTGCTAGAGAGAATATGATAAGGAACGAATCAGATAATAATAAAAGTAGGAGATAGTTAAGATTAGATAACATGACTCTATAGTGGAGTCCCTCCACAACTGGATACATTCCTTGTTCCACCTGAGATGGAAAAAAAATGTAACCTGAAAAAAAGGAAAAAGAAGATATATAGGAAAGAACTGCTTTTCAAGGAAAGATGAGATGCTGAACTTTCTATTCCATCCACTGGCTTATTTCCTAATTTTTCTTCTCAGTCTAGGCAAATGAAAAACAATGTATTTGGTGTTACTAAATGATTCTAGGAGATATAAGGTTAAAGAGACTAAAACAGCAATGTGCTTTGTCTCTCTACAAAGCACAAAAATTCTACTACATACAAATATCTGAAATGTCAATGAACATTAAGAGTGTATGCCACCCATTCTCACCCAGAGAACATGGTACCAGACTGAAGTGCCACCAAAGTCAATGTGAAAATCTGTATAGCTGTCTTGAACTCCCATCAAACAATATTTCTGAACAAATGGCTTAGGGAAGACTGAATCATCTGGCCAGTAATTTTCCACCCAAGAAAGTTTTCGGGCAATATCAGGAACTTCCACCAATTCCGACATCCTTTAAAAAAGAAATATAAAATTGAAAACTTATCAACAATAATGTCCCTCCCCTACAAACAATTCTAAATAATTTTACCTCAAATATAACTATAGTTATAATCAAACTTTAAAAGGAATTACCTCAAAAATTCTCATATTGCTCCAAAGCAAAAACATCACCATTGTAAAATTTTTGAAGACTGAGTGTGCTTATTACCATACTCAGTTTACCACTGAATTACGCTTCACCCCATTAGCAACCCCTAAACCAAACTGTCTAAAACTACTCACTTTGTGTCTGAAAATTCGAGGCTGATCACATTTAACACCTTTGGACGGTTAGGATTCATGAAGTATTTAACATAATTATGAAGCTTCATTTTGCTGTCTGCCTGCCTTGCCACATCAATGACATCTATTACTTTGTCACCACCTATGGAGAGAAATTACAAGTCTAATTGGTGTTTGAGGAAAGAGTTACCCAAAAAATTCTTAAAATACTTTAAAAAACCTGAATTAATGTGGGCTGACCACTAAAATCATCTAAAAATTTGTAGCACCAACAAGGACAATTTCTAGATTTTGATTTAAGTAAAATTAAATACCTTTTTGCTATTAATGTTATATATAAAACTACTTATATTGTATCATAAGATATTTCATAAGCTCATGCTTTCAAGCTTAAAATTCATACCCAGAAGAGCAACACACACACACACAGGGAGGGGAAAACTGCTAGATCTAGTTAAAAAGACTGGTCAAAATAGTGTCATATGATGAAAAGATCAACGGATTTGGAGTCAGAGAATTTGGTTTGAATCCTGGCTCTGCCACTAGGTCACATGACCTCTCTGGACTTCAGTTTCCTCATCTGCACAATAGAGGGGTTGGGCTATATGACCATTAGGGTCCTTTCCAACTCTAGATCTGCGACCTTATATTCAGTTTCTCCATCAATAAAATGAAATTGTTTCAGATGGTTTCTAAAGGCTTTCTCTAGCTCTAAAGTTCTATGATTCTAAGTCTTTAAGTTCCAAAGAAAGAGATCTGCCTACATCTTCTAGTCAATACACTAAGACTGTACAAAGACTTTTAGAAATTGCTATATATACGTGGCATGTGATCCTGCTGAATCATTCATATAGCACACTTTTTTGATAGTGTCTTCTCTTTAACAAGATCCTTTAAAGAAAAGATAACTCGATGTTGAAAGGTAGCTCCTCTTCTCATTGAGAGAGGTGATTGGATTAAAATAGATACTAAAATATACTGTGCATTTCACAACTTCATTGTAAAACTGGGCTTGTTAAAGAGACAGAATAAGGCAGTGATTTACAAAGGCTGATAAGGAAGTCCACAAAAGACCTATTTCTTCTGCCTCAATCCTGGCTTCCACCTGGCAAGTGAACAAGCATTTACTAGGTGCATATCACAGACTAGGCATGTGTGTATGTGTATGGATATGGATATGTATGTGTGTATGTATATTCCAATGACCTAAGAAATTGTCAATTTAGTAAACTTATCCTATACAAAAATTCTTATCTATTCCAAATATTTGGACAATAATCATTTTTACTTATGCCACATCTTCCCCTGGGTATTTTAAAATTTCAGTGTAAAGTTCATACCTACATAACGTTCCACATCCATAACAGAAAAAGTTGTGGTGGGAGTCTAAGTCCTAGATCATCTATTTTGGGAACCATAATAGGCACATCAAATCCATGTTTCTCCAGGTATCTTTGTGTCAGCTGGCTACCATTCATCTTTACAATGATTTCATCAGCACTAAAAAAAGTTAACAAGAGAGATCATTCATTTAAAATTCAAGTAAGTTTAAAGAAGATATTCTAATGTATATGAATATATGTGTATGTATACAGATATGTACATATATGCTCTAATTCTCTTATCCTGCAGTTACTCTTCCTTGCTAACATCTGAAATTCTCTCTTCTGTCTCCTCTACCAAGGTTCCAAATTCTCTCTTGACCCAATTTCAGTCAGGTTTTGAAATTCCTTGCACTTTATCATCTTTTCCCAAAGACGCTAACTAGAGCCTTGAGCAATCATAATTACCCAGAGTCACCAACATTTCATATGGGAGTTTGGGAACTTGCACAGAAGAAGGAGGGGATGGAAAAAGTCAGTATGGTTGTGATGGAAATAAGCCCCACAAACAGTATGTGCAGAATGAGACCCACCTTCCCACTCTTCAGATAAAAATCACATATTACATGGAATCAGACCAGAGCCCTCATTTCAGAGACTACTCTGTTACAAGAATGGAAAAGATAAAAACCCTTAGGATAATGGCCAAATAGCAAAAGCTGTGGTAACAGAACCCAAAAAATACAGTAGCAAATATGGAATATGTAAGATATTGACACAAATTCATTATTCTAATAAATATATGCCCTATTTGAATGCTAATATGCTCTTCTATAACCTTTAAGTAAATGTACCAGTCATGAAAATGATGAATTATTTACATTAGAAATTATTTATATTAGTACAATAAGCTTTAGCATGTTTAATTTTTCTATTCTGAACTCAAACATAAAAAAGCATAACCATATACAGAGCAAAACATAAAACTTTACATAAAACTCTACTTCATGCTTTCTTTTTTTAAGTATATACACTTTAATTTTTTTAATTGCATTTTTTCAAATTTTTATTTTAAAGGTTTAAACAATTTATTGAGCCCCCAAATAGAAAAATGTCCAACACAGATAAGTGAAAGCCTCAGGGCCCCAATCCCTTCAAGCTGGGGAGGCTGTGGCCCCCTGTACACTGCACAGAAAAGGCATCAAGTTCCAACAGGGTCCCCACGCTCGAGTCAGGAGAACTGCCCAGCAGCCAACCATCAAATTCTCTGGCCCCTCTCCTTCCCCATCACCACACAGGTTCCAGAAACTGGAGCCTAAGGAGCTGTCGCCACTGCAGAACCAATAGGGGCACACCAGGGCTGTTTTAAATTCTAATGTAAACAACAACAAAAAATCACTACATTATCGGGGGGCCGGGCAGGACATGGGCAAAGGCAAAGTAGTGAGAAGGTAACTAGGAAGGGCATTCCAAAACATTTTAATTTTTAAATTTTAATTTAAAATTTAAAAAAAAATAATTTAAGGGCAGCTACATGGCACAATGGATAGAGCACCGGCCCTGGAGTCAGAAGGACGTGAGTTCAAATCCAGCCTCAGATACATAACACTTACTAGCTGTGTGACCCTGAGCAAGTCACTTAACCCCAATTGCCTTACCAAAAGAAAACAAAAACAAACAAAAAAATTAACTTAAAAGTTGTACTGATGCTTTGGTTTTATACTACAAATATTTACAGATTACCCTTACACTGAAAGGTCTTATAACAAAACATTTAAGTAAAATTGATATAATGATCTCATCTGAAAGTGTGTGTAATGTAGCAGCACCCCCACCTCCACACCTGTTTTAAGAAATTTTAATTAACAGAATCTTTTATCTCCCTCCCACCTCTCACCATATTGAGAAAAAGAGCAAAGAAAAACATATTCCCTATAATAAATATTTATAGTCAAGTAAAACAAATCCTCTCCTTGCTTGTTTGCAAAAATGTCTCATTCTGTACCCTAAATCATCACCCCTCTGTGAAGAGGTGGATAGTATGTTTCATTATCAGTCCTCTGGAATCTTGGACGGTGAATGCATTGATCATAGTTCTTCCAGCTTGCAAAGTTTCTTGTTAAAGTTGTTACTGTATAAATTGTTCTCCTGGTTCTCCTACTTTTCTCATATTCACACATTATAGATCTTTTGGGGGTACAGACAATAGTGGTACAAACTGTTTAGTGCACAGTTTAATCACTTTCTGTGTATAATTTCAAACTGCTTTTCAGAACGGTTGTATCCATTCACAGGTCCACCAATGGTGCATCAACGTGCCTATTTTCCTGCACTCTTTCCAATATGTATCATTTTCCTTATTTCTTTTGTTTTTTTGGTCATCTTTACTCATCTAATGAGTATGAGGCAGAATCTCAGAATTGCTTTAAACTTCTCTAACTATTAGTGATTTGGAAGATTTTTTCATATAACTAGATAGCTTGGATTTCTTCCCTTGTGAATTGCCTGTTCATAGCTTTAGACCATTTATCAATTGGGGAATGACTCTTATTCTTATAAATCTCTTCTTTTTAAAAATTCTTATAAATTTGAAACAGTTCCTTACATATCTTAGAAATGAGACCTTTATTAAAGAAACTTACCACGAAGATTTTTCCCCAGGTAACTGTTTCCCTTTTAATATTAAGCTTCATTCAATGTTTGTGCAAAACTTTTTTGAATTTTATGTAACAAAAATTATCAATTTTATCTTCTACGATCCTCTTTATCCTTGTTTAGTCATGAAATTTTCTGATAATTTTTTCCATGTTTCTCTAATTTGTTTTTGATGTGACAATTAATATTTAGATTACATATCCATTAGGAGATTATCTTTGTACAAAGTGTGACATGTAAATTTCAATTTCTTTCATACTGCTATGCAATTTTCCCAACAGTTTTTGTCAAATAGTGCATTGTTATCCTAGTTGCTGAGACATGTGTGTTTATTGAATATAAGTTAATAGATTTATTTGCTTCTGTATGTCATATACCTAATCTGTCCCACTGGTCTATTTTTTTAATTAGCACCAAATTTTTTTGAAAATTACTGCTGTGCAATCATCAAAACTACTTGGTAATGGCTAAAAAAATCAAGTGATGGATTAGGGGAAAAGATTAGGTATACACAACACTATAGTAATGTACTGTTTGATAAACCCAAAGATTTCAGCTATTTGACAAAAAAACTGCTGAGAAAACTAGAAAACAGTATGGCAGACACTAGGTATAGACCAACATCTCAGACTGTACTCCAAGATAAGGTCAAAATGGGTACATGATTTAGACATAAAGGGTAATATCATAAGCAAATTATGACAGCAAGGAATAATTTACCTGCCAGATTTATGGAGAAGAGAAAAATGTATGACCAAACAAGACACAGAGAGCATTACAAAAGGCAAAATGGAAATTTTTGATTATATTAAATTTAAAAGGTTTTGCACAAACAAAACCAATGCAACCAAGATTAGAAGGAAAGGAGAAAGCTGGGAAATCGTTTTTATAGCAAATATCTCTGATAAAAGCCTTATTTCTAAAATATATAAAGAACTGAGTCACATTTCTTTCATTTTTTTATAAGTTTATTTATTTTTAGTTTTCAACATTCACTTTCATAAAATTTTGAGTTCTTAATTTTCTCCCCATCTCTCCCCTCCCCCTACCTCAAGATGGCGTGTAATATGATATAGGCTCCACACATACATTCATATTAAACCTATTTTTACTTTAGTCATATTATAAAGAAGAATTAGAACCAATGGGAGAAATCACGAGAAAGAAGAAACAAAAAGAGCAAATAATATGCTTCAATCTGCATTCAAACTCCATAGTTCTTTTTCTGGATGTGGACAACATTTTCTATCATGAGTCCTTTGGAGTTGTCTTAGATCCCTGTATGGCTAAGAAGGGATAAGTCTATCAAAGTTAGTCATCACGCACTGTGGCTATTACTGTGTACAATGTTCTCCTAGTTCGGCACATTTCACTCTGCATCAGTTCATTTAAGTCTTTTCAGGTTTTTCTGAAGTCTGCCTACTCATCATTTCTTATAGCACAAAAGTATTCCATTACATTCATATACCACACTTTGTTTAGCCATTCCCCAACTGATGGGCACCCCCTCAATATCCAATTCTTTGCCACCACAAAAAGAGCTGCTATAAATATTTTTGTATATGTGGGTCCTTTTCTCATTTGTATGTCTCTCTGGGATACAGACCTAGTAGTGGTATTGATGGGTCAAAGGGTACACACAGTTTTATAGCCCTTTGGGCATGCTGTCAAATTTCTAAGAATATAAGTCATTCTCCAATTGATAAATGATCAAAGGATATGAACAGACAGTTTTCAGATAAAGAAATCAAAGCTATCTATAGTCACATGACAAAATGTTCTAAATTATTACTGATTAAAAATGCAAATTAAAACAACTCTTAGGTACCACCACCTCACATCTATCAGACCGGCTAACAGAAAAGCAAATGATAAATATTGGAGAAGATGTGGGAAAACTGGGGACACTAATGCATTGTTGACAGAGTTATGAACTGATCCAACCCATTCTGGAGAACAATCTGGAACTATCCTCAAAGGACAATCAAACTGCATACCCTTTGATCCAGCAATACAATACTAGGTCTGTATCCCAAAGAGACCATTAAAAGGGGGGAAAGAATCTACATATACAAAAATACTTATAGCAGATCTTTTTGTGATGACAAAGAATTAGAAAGTGAGGGGACACCCATCAATAGGAATGGCTGAACAAATTGTGGTATATGAATGTAATGTCATACTACTGTTCCATAAGAAATGATAAGCAGGCAGATTTCAGAAAAATCTGGAAAGACTTACATGAACTGATGCTAAGTGAAGTGAGCAGAACCAGGAGAACACTGTACACAGTAACATGTGCGATGATCAACTGAGCTCTTCTCAGCAATACAATGATCCAAGGAGCAATACAATACAATTACAAAGGACTTATGATGGAAAATGTTATCCACATCAAGAGAAAAAACGCATATAGTCTGAAAGCAGATCAAAGCATACTATTTTCATTTTTTGTTGTTTTTTTATTTCTTCTCTTTGTTCTGTTTCTTCTTTCACAACACAACTAACATGGAACAATGTTTT